CTTTTTGCATGATGCTCCTCAAAAATATGTACAGCTGGTCAATCATATGTAAAGCGCCTTTTGGTGTCTTCAATTGCCTTCCTCTTTGCCTCCTCTCTTGTATCGCCTTCAGTCACATACTCCTTTATAAGCTCGCGCTCAAACTCCCACTTCTTTGCAGCCATCTCATCCTTAGCCCGGAGTTCCTCCCTTTGCGCCTTCACATTCCTCCAATTGGCATCGTCTTCATCCCTCTTCCTCTTCGCCTGACGCTCCTCTTGTTCGATCTTAAGCCTCGCTTCATACCTTGTATCCTCTACCTTCAACCTTTCGTTCTTCATTGTCATTTCTCCCTCAAATCTTCTCGCTTGCTCAGCGACCTTGTACTGCTCAAGCGCCAGCGCCGCCTGGGCTTGCTGCTCCGCTATCTCCTTACGCCCCTTGATATTGGCCGTGGAATGGTCCTTAAAAAGACCTTGAAGTTGCTCGCGCCTGCCCTTGCCAGAGGTTGGGGTGTCTTGGGCATTGAGGGACGCCCGTGCCCTTGATCCGTTGGAGAGAGAGCCGGCACCCCTCGCCCCAGAAGTCGGCTCGTCAGCAACCCCGTGATTATTGCTGGTAATGTTGGTAGACAGAGAATTGGCTCTGGTCCCCCTGACGCTGAAAATGTCGTCATTCTCGTCGGCCTCATCCTCCATTCCAACGGATTGGTCCTCGATGTCGGAGCGCGAAGACACACGGCGGGCCATAGAGGGGGTGATTGAGACTTCTCTGTCGCCCATCTGATGCACACTGCTTTGCGCAGTGATATTGGCGTTTCGGTCTTTCAACGAAGGGAGGAGGGTGAAGAAGAACGGGCATTTCTCTTTGATTTTAGCTATAGGCAGAGTCAGCACCTGACTACTATATTGGTTGCGGCACCTACCCTCCCACGTTTCGATGCCTCTAGCCAGGTCATCCTCCGTGACCCCTTCTCCAGTGGGCTTTTGGATGGCCAACGCTTCATCGAATGCCTTCTTCATTTTTTGAATCTGTAGATGCAGATCAGCGTCATGCCACATCTTGGCTGGTCTCAACTCACCCGATCCTGGACCCCAGAGGCCTTAGCCTTGTCGAAATTCTTGATCTGTTTCTCGAGGAGCCATTTGTAGATCACCGTAGCGGCGAACTTGGCTCTATCGTTGGAGTCCGAGTAGGCAGCCCAGTTCTCGGGCACGGACATCCAGTCGATGAGGTAATCTTCACCAGTACGCCCATCCGGTCCAACACAAATGGTGGAGTTCTTCTTGTTGTGTTTCCACCTCCAGCCGGATGCATCATCACCGTCTGTCTTCTTGTTTCTTGTTCGATCTTTTGGCTGTGGCGGGGGTGGAAGGAGGAGCAGGCATGGCGATAGGAGCAAACGGAGTTATGGGGCTTCTGGATGTAGATTTGACGAAACTACGGATGAAGTGCAAAAGCATGCGTACGCGTGGGGGCAATGACAGAAAGGGTGATCACGTGGTAGACATGTGGTATGCACGTGGTATGAGGAATTATTTTAAATCGCCGGTTGCAAAAAAGTTACTGTCTAGAATCGCCGGTTCCAAAAGTGATTTACTAGAATCGCCGGTTACGGGAAGAGCTGTATCACATGCATAGTTCAAGATAGAGAGCTGGTTTGGGGCTCAATGCATAGCTCGGATTCGCCGCTACATGCATGTAGGTTGGGGAGAAGATACAAGCGATATTGCCTGCGTTCTCTGCGGCCTCAGCATACTGGGTATGTGGTCGCCTCCAACATTTTGCGGCGCATTATGGGCCAAAGTCGCCCCTCCTGAGCCACTGTATGGCAACCGGCGATTCTAAATAATGCCCCTCAGCCAACCGGCGATTCTAACTATTCTTCGTTGCCGAATTTTGGCGGGTTGAGCGCGCCTAACTGCTCCCAGCCACTGTTAGGTGCGCGTCAACAGGGTCATCCAGGGGCCTCGGCGCGCTCTGGCTGGGGCGACACGCTCAAGACGCGCTGCTGGTCATGTTGGCGCTGCACTTTGCATCTCTCCGTAACATCTACTCTCACCCTCACCGCCCATCCACCACTCGCTACCAATGCCATCGACCGCTTCTACATCTCTTCTCCACCTACACCAAACACCCCCTCCCGACATGGACGACGCGTCGCTAGATGGCCCAGCCTCGCTGGAACGCGCTCTCGCGGCGTGGGCGGAGGAAGATGAACAGCTGCAGGATACTCTCATGCGTAGCTCCCCGATTCATCCGGTAGTGGAGGAGGACGAGGAGGACGAGGGGACACCTTCCCCTGCCGACTTCCGAGAGTTCCAAGGCGACGGTACAGAGGAGGAACTGTCGTCCGAGCTAAGCTCGGGGATGGAGTTTGACAACGCGGACTCTGCCAAGGTGGCGATCATCGCTCACTCTCTTGCTCAGAGTGGCGCATCTGCGAAGGGCGAGTCGAACGCCGAGCGCATTCGCTACCTGTGTGGCAGCGAGGTGGACAACGGAGGGGCCAGTGCTGCGTGCGGCTATCACGTCACTATCACCTATCGCAAGAACGTCAACAAGTGGGTTGTGGCGAATAAGAAGAGGTCCAAGCAAAACCTGGTGCATACCTGTACCCCGCTGGCTGGAGAGCGTCTGTCCCACAGCCGCCAGATCTTTGTCGAGGCAATGGTGAGTCCTCAGCGAACGGTTGCGCGTGAGAGAGTGTGTCACTGACCAAAACGAGTAGCTCAGGCAGTATTGTACCGTCACCCGCACTTCCCCCGCCAAAGACCTCCAGAAGACCCTCAAGGACAAGCTCAATTGCGAGGTCCCTCAACAGGCCATCTACTGCGCCAGAGTCGCCATTACCAATGGTGACGTCGACCGCCAGGCTGCAGCCTTCCGCCAGCTTCCGGCGTTTGTTGAGCGTTTCGTTGCATTGCAAGAGGGGAACGTTGCTGAGTGTGATACGGCGATGGGCGTCTCCTTCTTTGCTCCCAAGCTCAGCCAGCGTGCGTGGCAGCATCTGCGCCCGCTTGTCAGTGTGGATGGCGCGCACTCCAAGTCTTGCCATGACTATACCCTCTTCCTCGCTGTCGCGTCTGACGCCAACAAGCAGAGCGTGACCTTAGCTTGGGGTCATGCAAAGACGGAGAAGCGCGAGTCTTGGGAATGGTTCTTGAGTCGTTTGAGCGACTGCTACCCTGGGCTGGACAGCAAGGGTACGGTAATCATGAGCGACAGGGGCAAGGTGAGCAGTATCTTCTTTGGCGAGCTCAACAGGCTAACCTCTGCCATCAGGGTCTCGTCCCCGCTATCTCCAACGCCCTCCCGCTCGCCACCCCCAGCCATTGCGCTGTCCACCTCATCCGGAATGTTAGGAACAGGAGGCGTATCGGTTCCAATGAAGAGGCTGTGAAGATCTTCAAGAAGATGATCTGGGCGGAGACGCCAGAGGAGTTCCAGCGGCACAGGGCCCAGCTTGCCGAACCTGCGCGCAACTACATCGATACCTTCGACACCGCGCTCTACGCTTGCCACGCTTTCCCTGCCGCACGCTTCGGTCTCGTGTCCAGCAACACCGTCGAGCAGCTCAACGGTTGGTTGCTGGTTGCCCGAGGAGGCGACATCATCACTCTCTTCTCCACCATCTACGATAACCTCAGGGCGATTTTCCGGGACAGGCATGATTTGCTTGTGTCCAAGCCCCAGCTCGTCGAACGTGAACTTATCCAGCATGTCTACGGCAGGGTGACGGCGGAGAAGGGGAAGTCGAAGGATTACAGAGCGCTGGTGACCAACCACGCAGGGGGGAGTATCGGGGGAGCAGATGAAGAGGAGGACGACGAGCAGAGGTTCTTGGTCGGCCATGTGCGCAGGAATGGGATGGATGGGAATGCGGGTCAGAGGATTGTGAACCTGGAGTTGCCAACGGGAACGGGGGAGTTCAGTCTGGAGGAGATGGGGTCGTTGGCGATGTCCTGCAGCTGTGGGGAGCCCAAGCAATGGAATTTGCCTTGCAGACACATTTGGGCGGTACTCCTCAACGATTATTCGTCGAGGAGGTTCAAGAAGAGGTTGAATCCAATGAGGTAAGCGCCTATCTGCGCTATCTGAGCACGCGCTGACTTATGACCACAGATACATACCTCACTACCACTCCTCCTATGCGTTCCGCGAGTCCTACTCTTTCCAGTTTATCCCGCTGCCGACCGACAACTTGGAGGAGACTCAGTTCAACCTTCCTGACGAGATAGCGGGACTGGGTCGTCGATCCAAGAAGAGGGGGCAAAGCGGAGTCGCCCCCACCCAAAACTCTCAGCTGAGAGTGGAGGGGGGGATGAGCCAACCGGGTGTGGTGAAGAAGAGGGGGAGGCCGAAGACGAGCAAGAAACGAAAGCAGCCGGACGGGACGTTGGCGCCGTTGGGGGAGGATGAATTGCCGCCTGCTGGTAAGCGCCGTTACCAGTGCGGGTTGTGTGAGGGGGGGGCGCGTCACAAAGCGAGGTCGAAGAACTGCAAGTACTTTGGGGTGGCGGTCGGTGAGGAGCTGGAGGTGCCCAGGGACGACACCGACTGGCGAGACTGGGAGTAGGCAAGGGGGGGGGACTAGGAGTAGGCGAGTGATATGTACAAGTAGTGCTGTGGCATACGTTGTTTTACAAATGCAGATGACATGTGGTCCATGGGAGGATAACAGACATCAACCATGGCTACTCAATGACACCAATCAATACGAAAAAACAAGCATACAATGCATCGATAACCAGCAGGTTGCCGGCCTGAGTGCGATGAATTATCTCTAAGTCCAAATTGCGGCCCAGAATTCCACTTGGGCCGCGTCCAAAACAATTCTTCACCCAGACGCGCCGCTGTTTTGGGGAACCAGCGATTCTAGATAAAGACACTTTCCAACCGGCGATTCTAAATAATATCTCCACGTGGTATGCATGTGGCGTTCCTGGCAAAAACCATCTCAGGTGATTTTTCAAAAATCACTTTGGCCTGAAAACCCGCAAACTGTTTTTTTCGTCCGCGACGTTTTTGATCCAGCCAAAAACGCCTGACGGAAGCAAATTTCGTCCGAGGTGAAAAATCACCCGCGGTGGTTTTTTGATATTTGAAACATACTATTGAAAACTCACTCAAGGCCTTGAAAACCCCCTTATGCATTATTGAAAACCACACCAATCTCATTTTTGAACTTGAGAAGGTTTTAATCAGGTCTTGAAAACCATTGCCAAGGTGCCGCTAGTATCGCTGGCTCACGCACATAGCACGGCAGACGGTTGTACATAGCAAGCCTGGAATGGAAGTTGTCGAGATACTTTGTTCTGCATTCTTTATTTACATAATATTCTACCTGTACCCAAACATCTAAGGGCCCAAGACCCCATGACTCCATACCACGCCTCCGCCTGGGACCACAGCTTCTTGTGCGCCGTCTGCTGACGCACGAAGTTGCTTGGGATCACGCGCCTGAGGTGCAAGCCTCGTGTCAGTCATGTATCCAGATGAATTTTGATGCGGTAGCAAGGGTCACGACCTATAGTAATCCTCAATGAGCTTGGGGGGGAACGACATGCCCTTGAAGTATCCAGAGATCTTGAGGTACTGTCCAATGAGGTGGAGCTTGTTGGCTTGATCGATAGACGGTTGGTCTGAGAGGAGGTACATGATCTGTTCCAGCGGGGCGTCAGCCGAGGATGTGAGGTCGGAGTCCATAGAGTCAGTGTCATCATCGGGGTCAGGGTATTTGGGCATGTTGTGAGAGAGTCTCTGTGAGTTCTGCATGTGGTTATGGTCAGGTGGGATATCAGAAGTAGTACGAACCAAACGAAGGCGAGAATGAAAGAGTTGGGGGGCTACATATATCTATATATATGTATTCATGGTGGCCTGTGTGACGCTAAGTGTGTGCGGAAATTCGGCGATGCCCGAGTGTGGTGGCTTGTCCTACCGAGTCTTCGTGCAGTTGCGGTCGCTGGCTCGGCGCAAGCCCTTCGGGTGGGGAGGGGAAGGGCTTGTGTCTAGCCAGGTTGCGGGCGTCGTTGTGAGAAGGCTGAGTGCGATGGCTGCAGGCGGGACTGTCGTAACGTCCGTACCATATCTAGTCATACTGACTGATGTACCACAACATTGTCACTTCGATCCAGCTACCCCTACACTCTTCCACCCCCTACGCTCTTCCATCCCCTTCGTTCTTCCATCCCCTCTCATTCTTTCATCACCTCTCAATCTTCCATCCCCTCATATCCTTCAACATCCAATGCACACTTCTTCGGCATATCCCTGGGCGGGTCGCGGCAATGGTGAGCACTTGCTAACTCGCATCTCAACACTTACAGCCGACTACCTCGCAAGTTACAGTCTCCTGCTTCTCCTACGCTCTCCGTTGGTATCAAGGTCTCGACTTCAAGGTGTAAGGAAGTAGGAGTAAGTGCACCCCACGGCACTGACTACCTTTTTCATTTGCTTCCGCGTGTCCAGTCACTTCCCGGACTTTATGTAATCAAACTAAACACGTTCCAGCACCACGCACATGCGCACAACAACCCTTCACAGCACACTCACTCATCTAACCATCTTGCATCACTGAATCTTATGCATCCCCAACGACGACATCCCCACTGCTGTTCGCCACAAGCCCTATCACCGATACAATGCCTCGTCCCTCTCTGCTCCCTATTGACCCCAGCACACCCCCGGAGCTCATATGTCCCTGTCGCAAGCGTGTGCGACCACAGCTGGGAGCATTTTGCGAGTCCTGCGCCTCGAAGTCCAAGCGACAGGCGGCCAAACGGCTTGAGGGGCGCCAGGAGGGCAAAGTGGCCAGAAAATTGTCTGAGTTGAACGAATATCCTGTGCGTAGTCTTACTTGCAATGATGGTGCTTGCTGACGTGTTTTTGCAGGTATTCAGCACCAAGGTCGACCTACAGACAGCCGCCATGAGTCTTCTACGCACCCATCATGCTTCTCCAGAGACATATATACACGCCGCTGGATATGCCGATGAACCATCCGATGACGTGATAAGTATAAGGGGCTCGTATCAGTCACCAGTGGAGATACAAGCAGCTTGGAGCGTTCCACCAGGAGAGAGACCATTGAATTTTGGAGACGCAGAGCAATTCTTGCGACGTATAGGTCCAAGGATAGCAGGTGTGGATACTGACTCCCCTTACAAATTCACGTATGTCCAAGCCTTTCTTTGCAGGTAGTCAAAGCTGACACCATGTACTTCACTGCAGCTACCACGACATCCCTCATTCTACTGACATTCCTGATACCAGCACCGATTATGATTGCGTTGCCCGCTTCATATGTTGTCAGAGCCTCCAGTATAAACGCAACGGTCGCGAAAAGGAAAAGGATCCTTCAAAGAAGGCCCGCCTTGGCCGCACGTGTATGCGTCGTTTCGATTGCCAAGGTGAGATGACGCTTCGATATGACTTCGCGTTGAACGCCCTCAGGCTTTGTATCAAGCACAGCATCCCACATGTCACTTACCAGAGCGTCACGTTCCCGGATGAAGCTTTGACTGTTGTTGAACGACTGGTCGCAGATGGAACGGTTGATATAGCGCCCATTATGCAGCGTATCGCTTTCAAGTTTCCTCTTGACCTGGATAAGTCGAGCTCAGGTCCGCAACGCCGTGCGGGAGACGCTCTCCTCGCGTTATCTGCTGGACAAAGAGCCTATTCAATCTCTGAGAGCAGGCCTTGCACAAGCGGCAGAGAACGGTTCAGTGGGACTGATCGATATAGACGTCCCTGGGGTAACGGCGATAGCTTGGGCTGTTCTTCCTATCTTGGACGGGATCAAAAGACGGCACTTGACAGTTGAGGAAGCTTTCATGGATGCGACTTGTGAGTTCTGAGACCCACTGCCTGCAGTAACAAGCTAACCTGGCGCGATAGTTGGTACCAACACGTCGAACCTCGAGCTCTATGTCATTATGCTCGACGTTGAGCACGGCGTACCTGGTTACTTCATGTTTCTAGACACGAAGGTGGCCATCGAGGATAATGCTGTGGGTCTGGTCGGTTCCGTCTCCAGTCTGACTTCACTAACAAGCTCTCAACAGCGAATGACAGCTCTCAGTGCGCTCTTGAAGACTATCCATGAACGCTATAACTTATCTCCTAAAATCTTCCACACGGATAAGGATTTCGCGGAAATCGGGGCAATCCAGAGATCTCTGTCTGGCACCAGACCCTTTCTCTGTTGGTGGCATGTACTCGGTAAGTCTTCCAGCGTCATTTCACCGCCTGATCCACGCTGAACTCTGCAGATGCAATCATAACCCGCCTCTCAAAAAAGTCACTGGAAACCCGCAGCTATGACCCCCTGGAGGCTCCTCAATATCTACCTGGCGTAGATCCTCACTTTCTCTCGGTCCTACATGCTTCGCCTGCATCCTCCTACTTCTCTCGAGAGGCTAGAACCGCCCCTTCCTCTCAGCCATCTCGGACAAGTTCCACGCACCCTTACCCCCTCGAGCCTCCCATCTACCTCACGAACGTCTTCTACCCTACCAAAGCCAATGCAGCGGACTTGGCTGCGATCATGAGTCTTGAGAAAGTGAATTGCGACAGCAAAGCCACCAAACAACAGCTCATCCAGCTCTTCGACACTCATATTCGGCCTAGGCGACAACAATATCTGCAAGAGAGATATGGCATATCTCAGGTGTTCACAGAGGAGCGATTTTGTTCTCCAGAGCTCCAAGAGAATATCTTGCACCTATTCAACCAAGCCTTCCACGCCCACCCCTCCATTGCTGGCCCTTGAGGCCTCAGCGCCGAGTCTATATATCAATGGGCTGGGCACAAATTCTATACTTTGTGTAAGGTCAGTATCATCACCCTTTGTTCACGGATGGTATAAATCGCTGACCACCATGGACCAGAACCACGAGGCACCTACCTTATGGGCTTACCTGTATGTGAATTGGCTGGCCCCTGACCGCTGGGTTCTTTGGGCAAGGTCGTCATTCGAGGACTGCATGCCCCTCTTGCCGAAAGCTTGTGAGTATTTCTGTCACCGCGTTTTGCCAATATGACATTGACAGTGTGTTAGCTTTGCAGTTTTGAAGTCGGGAAACTTTCTTGGGAAATCCCGTGCACGCCTTGACGAAGTAGGGCATGTGCTGAACACCTCCGTTGTCCCTCAGTACCTGCAGAAGGTGAGTAATAGCATTAGTATCGTTGGCAAATGCTAAATAGACTCAAGGTCACGAGGGTCGGCCTTCAGCTCGGAGGCAGGCCGCGCGTTTCAGATCTGGCATCATGGAGAAGGGACCTTCAGACGATGCTTCTGGCTTATGGCAGAATGGACATCCGTCCCTGCAACGATGTGTGGAAACAAAACCCAGCAAGTGGTACTTGTAATTGTCCTGCTTTCCTAAGGAGCCCGTATGTCTACAATATCATCTGCGCGGTCATATGCTTATTATGTGGCCAGACATTTCTTTTGCAAGCACATCTACAAGATGTATACCCTTGAGGGTGCGAAATGGGACAAGTTCCTGTACAATAGCACACGACTCTGTCACCCCCCCCTTCTGGAAGTCTCCATCCCTCCCACAGCCTTCACAAGATCTTCCCCCCCCACCCTCCTCATCCTCAACGACTGCATACGAAAGTGAAGATGAGGAAGAGTTGCTGGAGCAATTAGAGGATGGATGGATGGATGGTGTGTCTCTGAGTGACACTGATACCCGACGAGCTGGTGCACAAGCAACTCAGGGAGCAGCAGGAGCATTGGGCGTTGCGGAAGCCGGGACATCCGTCCTTGACAGCATCACCGAGGCTGAGAGGATGAGACGCGAGGCTGGTGAAGTGGGCAACGAAATGGTGAGAGAGGTCGAGACGTTGTTGAAACGAATGCGGATCCAGGTCGCTCAGAAGGATTACCGGCATGTTAAGGAGCTAGGGGAGACTATAGGCGCCATGGCAAGGAAATGGAATGCGGATATGGCAAAGCAGGAGCGGGCAGTGACGTCTAACACGAGAGATACCAATACCCAGCGCAAGAAGAGGCGGGGGACGGGACAATGGATTTTCAAGTTTTACGACGCCATGAAAGCTGTAGCAAGTATGAAGAACGGTGAGCCAGGTAGCTCTGCAGATGTAAATTAGTTGCCAGTACGCAAGTACGGCATATGCATTCCTTCCAATCGATAGCTGTCCCCATTGGCAAACGTGGTTGGCAAACTGTTCAGCATTGCATGGTCCTGAAACATAAAAACAGCAAGAAGTCAGCATCCATTACTGTGTATGTACATGCAACTATACTACTTATAATGTTACTTTAGGTGCGATGGACTTGACTGGTTTGCGGCCATGTTTGAAAGGTCCGGACTTGTCCGGTCAGTGTCCGGTTCAGCTTTGTCAGGCCGGACTTGGCGGAAGCAAAATGAAAAAGGTAGTCAGGGCCGTGGGGTGCGCCTACGCGGTGTATTCAAGGAGGTCAATTGTCTTTCCGTCGTTTTGTGTCCAGTATGGGGTGTAAGTCATCTGCTATCTCCTTGCTTCTCTATCTGACATGTTCTAGCCTGGTGGCAACCGGACTGCCAAGCTTGGCAGCATCCATCTATTATTTGTCAGAACTGGAGAACTCCTTGTCAGTGCTTGTACAGCAGCTTGAGACGATATTCATGAACATACCTGGAGAACTCCTTGTCAGTGCTTGTACAGCAGCTTGAGACGATGAGGAGACTCCAGACAGGGTAGCTAATCTCTATACGGCATGGCAGGGCCGGGAGCATAGAGCGTCACCAGTAATTTACGTAATTCCTTTTTATCCTAAATCTCTCTGAGTCCCTTAACGCCGATTCCTACGTCTGTACCTATTCTTCGGCTGGACTCCGACATTATTCACTGCCTGTTTCACCAAACTCCCTCCCTCTCGAAAATGGCAGTACGTCCTCATGAAGGGCGAGCTTACCCAAAGGATGTCCCAGTATCGATGATTTGTGGTTGACATCTACAAAATCTACCTTCCACTCTTCAGCCCCCCTCCACTCGGACTCAGACTGCCTCGCCTGCCGCCGCAAGGGTCAAAAGAAAGTCAATCAAATGGAAGAGAAGAGCTGCAATGGTAAGTGGTTCATTGGGAGCGGGTTCGTCTAGAGGTGAGCAAGAGAGGTGGATGGCGTTGTCAGAGACGAAAAGGGTGTGAGGGGTGGGGAGCAATGAGGGCTGGAGGGCGTGGCTATAATGTTGAACGAGTGGATGTATGGTTGAGATAATCTCGAAGATGCTGTGCCACTGTTCAGGGATAGAAGACGCGCGTAGTAGAGACTGGGGCGTGAAATGGTCATAATAAGGGTGAAGCTAAAAATACTCTCAGAGGTCGCAAAGAGTAACCAGTCCTATACTTATACTTCTACATACTCTCTTTCTATGAACTCTATGAACTGTCTGTTGTCTACGAACGACCAGCCAGATTCTTGTCTCAGCCCAGTCTATCTTAGTACTCCTCCTGATTTGCCCTGACACTTCCATACATCTCACAATAGTTTCCTTTGAGAGTACATGATGTATGGTCATAAAGTCAGGGCCAATTTGGCCATGTCACTTCCGCTTGCTCAAGTCTCTATATGAACCCCCCGCCCCCCGGGAATAGGGGCGGGTACTTTGCTAGTCTCTATTGACAGTAGTTCAAGTTTCATCATTGAAGCTGCACTCTCTCAATACCAATATGAGCTCTTACAAATGCTCCAGCGTGAACATCCAGCGGCCATGTCTGCAATCCTTTCTATTCCCAGACATTTTCTCACCCTGCTGTACGATCAAAAGGTAGGGATAGACCTAACAGGGTGTCCAACACTGCAAACAGCCATGAGAAATCAGGCAGCAGCTTGGATAGCCCAGGAGACAGGAGTGTGAGTGACTTGATGATATTTGAGGTGATGGAAATGATAGAGGAGGTCAGTGAGCATCAAGCCACCAATAAATACCCTACAACAACAGTATCTTCAAGCAGTACATCAGCGAATTGGGGTCGCGCCTTGGAAAATACGCCAAGGTCTTGAGGTGGTTTTCCAAACCGCGGCACCAGTTTTCAAGGCCAAATTTGGGCCATTTTGGGTTTTCAAGGCGCACCCCCAGTTTGAAATCGTTTTCAAGTGCATTCCAACCCCCGCCTATCATTCTTTTGGCCTTGATTGAATTGTCCTACCCTTGGCAATCCCACTTGGCTATATGTACATACATGCATAAGTGCATACTATGTACGTGTACATACATCAGTCGGTATGACTAGATATGGTACGGACGTTAGGACAGTCTTGCCTGCAGCCGACATCGCAGTGCTCAGCCTTCTCACAACGACGACCGCCTTGCCGCTGACTGACAACTTGGAACGAAGGCCGGCCTTCCGTTGGTAGGACAAGCCGCCACACTCGGGCATCGCCGCATTTCCGCACACACTTAGCGTCGCACAGGCCGCCATGAATACATATATATAGATACTTTTAGCCCCCCGACTCTTTCATTCTCGCCTTCGTTCGGTTCGTACTACTTCTGATATCCCACCTGACCATAACCACACGCAGAACTCACAGAGACTCTCTCACAACATGCCCAAATACCCTGACCCCGATGATGACACTGACTCTATGGACTCCGACCTCACATCCTCGGCTGACGCCCCGCTGGAACAGATCATGTACCTCCTCTCGGACCGACTGTCTATCGATCGAGCCGACAACCTCCACCTCGTGGGACAGTACCTCAAGATCTCTGGATACTTCAAGGGCATGTCGTTCCCCCCCAAGCTCATCGAGGACTACTATAGGTCGTGACCCTTGCTACCGCATCAAAATTCATCTGGATACATGACTGACACGAGGCTTGCACCTCAGGCGCGTGATCCCAAGATACTTCGTGCGTAAGCAGACGGTGCACAAGAAGCTGTGGTACCAGGCGGAGGCGTGGTATGGAGTCATGGGGTCTTTGGCCCTTAGATGTTCGGGTACGGGTAGAATATTATGTAAATAAAAAAATGCAGAACAAAGTATCTCGACAGCTTCCATTCCAGGCTTGCTACAACCGTTTGCTGTGCTATGCATCGAGGGGTGCGTGAGCCAGCGATACCAGCGGCACCTTGGCGATGGTTTTCAAGACCTGATTAGTGCATCCAAGCCCCGGCAAACCTTCTCAAGTTCAAAAATGGGATTGGCGTGGTTATCAAACCACCATAAGGGGTTGATCACCTCTTGAAATGAGTTTTCAATACTGCATAGGGGGTTTTCAAGGCCTTGAGTGGGTTTTTCCAATTGAGCACAGTGGTTGAGAACTGAAGCGTCTTGAAAGGGTTTTCAAGGCCTTGATTACGGTTTTCAAACCCACCCAATCCCAGATTTATGAGCCCGCGTTTCGGTGATGTACTGTCTGGGCATTTTCTCATATCATCTGTCTCTTTTTGCCTTGAAGCTTTACATCATGTTATCCTTATCACATGTCCACCACTTGCAGAGTCACAGGACCCCATACTCATGGTTTTTTTTTTTTTTTTTTTTTTTTCTGTTGGTATTGCAAACTCCGCTCTGGTGGTTGTGGGGCTTTGTTAAGCCTACAGCCATGGGCCACTGCTCTCTTGTGTGCTAGTCCATTACAAGACATGGGCTGTGATTGTTATCTTCCCCTTCTATCTTCTTCTCCTTAAAGATCAATAAGTATTTTACATAGGTCACTTCATCAAAACCCAACCCTGTTTCCTCCATAAGACCTTGCTCATCCCACATTCTCATTTGTTCTGCTTGAGAATTGTAGTGCATGGATGATTACATTTCAGATACTCAAGGTAATTGATCATTAATGGGATCAGGACCAACAACAGAATTGCTACATTATCAATGTCAGCTGCCATTGCATTGTTCCACATAATCATGGTACTCACGAGAAAAATATGACTTTCATGGCAATGACTATGATTCCATGAAGTGTCACTACAGCACCAATGAGAAGCTGTGCAAACTTGTTCTCTGCCTGCATAGTGGTTAGCTGATTGTGTGTCGAGGTATCATAATCACTTACTGATGCAAGGACTGGATATATGTTGCGCACACTATTCATCAGCAATAGTTTCTGTATTTATTCAAAACTCACAGAAAGTAGCCTGAGCTTATGCCTCCCAGGATGATTAGAACCCATCTTACAATACCAACCGGGATCAGACAGAGTAGACTGATGGGGATGAACACTCCCATGGAATAACCATAGACCCCCAGGACCTCGGCAATCCCCCATTCGCCTAGCCCAAGCCATTTTGTAGCTCCCCATAAAAGAGATGGGACAAGCAGGCCATATAAGTACACAGTTGACGTAGCAGTGGAAAGCAAAGGGAGACTGGAGCTGGCAGGATCAGAGTTGAGATATTGCGCAATTGATTTGGTCAAAGTCGACGTGGTGTAGAGAATAAGGATGAGGGTAGTGAGGGTCCAGAATGGGCCTAAAGAAGAGTCAGTCTATAGATCTTGTGCGCGAGAAGCGGATGACTTGCCATATATGTCAATTTGACCGTCGCAGATCTCAGCTATAAAGTCCGGACGCGGTATCATGGCCATCCCAACGCGCTTGAGAACCGTGTTGGTATCTACATCAAAGTATATCTACAACAACCCCGTGAATTGGGTCAATAATGCGTACATAAGAACTCCAAGGTGTAGACTGACCTGATAATAGGCCAAATTGAAGAGACTGAAAGGGGCCTCCTGAGGCGTCGACGAGGATTGATTTGCTCGACTGCTATCAGAGACTAGGAAGGCCGTTATTTATCAGCTGATAGGCTCATGGGGTCTATATGAAACGCTCACATTGGAACTCTAGCCCGGGCCCTCGAGACCCAGAGGGCTGTAAGGATATATTAGTTCACATCAGACACGCCAGTAGTATTCACCCACCTCTTCGTCTACATCGACTACTGCGTATCCTTGTTGAGCCATGTCGTATGTCCAGTCGCTGTTGTTTTACGGGCGACGACAAACGGCGAGTTGATGAGCACCGCCGACGCGCCTCTTCTCGCTGGCAACGAAGGTGACGTGTTCGGCGATGGCCGCCTTCGCCGCCCGCCGGGTGACGCCCGGGGCCTAGCAACGGACGAAATCATCGACTCTTTGACCATCACCTCGTATTCGCAGTATTTTCGATACCACCCCCTCTAAACTGCGCTTAACCCCTTCTCCCTCTCCTTCTCAAACCGCTCCCGCGCCCTGCTCATATCCTTGCCCGCGACCTGGCTTGTCGTTGATATCCACCCACAATGTCCAACCCTCAGACTCCCTCGACCGCCGGCGATTTTTCAGCAGCCTCGACACCCTTAAAGAAGTTCAAACTTGTATTCCTGGGAGAGCAGAGTGTTGGAAAGACCAGTTTGATCACTCGATTTGTACGAATCATTTCTATCAAACTCGGATCTTTGTCGGTGCATTGCAACTGACACAGTGTCAAGATGTACGATACCTTTGACAACACTTATCAGGCGACCATCGGTATGCAGCAACTCGTTCTTCCCACACCAGGCTTACCCTCCCCTCCTACAGGTATCGACTTTCTATCAAAGACGATGTATCTAGAGGACAGGACGGTGAGGTTGCAGCTTTGGGATACTGGTGAGTCGACATCGTGCCCCTGCTACATCTGCTGATTTGTCCCTCAAGCTGGGTAAGCTGCCACCAGAGACGATCGCAAGTGTTTCCATGCTAATGTGCTTGGTCGGTCATTGTCATAGCCAAGTGAGCCGAGTGTCAGTGTGGATTTGCTCAATCTACTGATGCGCATTGCAGGAACGATTCCGTTCTTTGATCCCTTCCTACATTAGAGATTCTTCGGTTGCCGTCATTGTTTACGATATCACAAGTAGGTTTTTGCGGTGGATTGGCGCCTGCTGATAGTCAGATCGCAACTCTTTCCTCAACACCACCAAATGGGTCGACGACGTCCGTAATGAGCGAGGACAGGACGTCATCATTGTACTAGTTGGAAACAAGACGGATTTGAACGACAAGCGGTCAGTATGAAAGCTTTGCATCGACTCTCTATGCTGACTAGCTGTTTCAGTCAAGTAACTCCTGAAGAACTCGACAAGAGGGCGAAGGAATTGGGTGTCATGTCGATCGAAACCTCTGCCAAAGCGGGGCTCAATGTCAAGACCCTCTTCAAGAAGATTGCTATGGCGTTGCCTGGTGGGAGCGAGTCGAAGGACGCAGCGGCGACTAGTGAGATCTGGTCTTTCCGTAGCGCCGAAGCTGGCTGACCGGTATAGAAATTGATGTGTCGTCAACACCTCAAGATGTGCCTCAGGCCTCTGCCTGTTCTTGCTAGACTTGGAGTATGGTTTTAGATGTCTTGTACAGCAAAGTAGTCTGTACATACTGTGATGCACGCGCTAGTTGACTGAATACGTAATGCGCATCCTTTGGCTGCTGCCTGGTTGAAGTGACGGGATACACAGCGAGACAGATACAAGTAAGTACGTATAAAAACGCTCCGCCATGCATCTCCCCGTCCGTGTCCACATGTCTTCCAACAGAGACAGCCTCCTCTCCGCTGACTCGGCCTACCCCTCCACCCTCTTCCCCCTCTCCATGTCTGCCCTCGGCCTCACAGACTCCCCCCTTCCCCAGCGACACCGCAAGTCCCCCTTCGTCGGCTCTTCTCCCTCGTCCTCTCCCACCCCCCAGAAGCCGGTCCGCGCCACCCCCTCCAAAGCCTCTCTCCGCCAGGAGGCAACCACCAATGCCGCTGCCAAAGTCGTCCACCAGCAGCGCTCGGCCGAGTCGGTGCGTAGCTCTCATCAGCGACGGACCTCGCAATCCGGCACGAAGGAAAACCAAACTGCCAAAGCCGTTGGTGCCACCAAGAACACTCCAACCAAAGCGGCTCCTAGAGCCTCTGCCCCGCAAGCCGCCCGAACTTCAACCCTTCAGGTCGTCCAGCCCGATCAGCGCGTCACGTCTCGTCCGTCAAGGACGCCGAAAGAGGCCCCTCTTGCTGATGACTGGGAGGAGCAACTCACTCGAGATGCCAACAAGCTTTCTTTGGGGACAACCCCTCAGGCGCGGGCACGTGAAGAGCCTCACCAACTTCCTGAAGGGGACAAGGAGTGGGAGCGACTGGGACAAGCCATGTCTGATAGCAGGAAGAAGGAAGACCAATCCAGGCGCGAGATCTCTCGAGCAGTCGGTAAGGTTTTCAGCAATGGTCTGGATGATTGTATTGACTTGGTTGGTCTAGCGTTGCCCCCGTCTACCCCTCGAACGCCTATCCGTGCTGTTGTCAATGGCGTGACTTCTATCCATGTCGGAGTCCGACCTCGTCTCCACCCATCTCGAGAGTACGAGTCCATGACACTCAATCAGCCCGACCTCTACTCTCCAGCTCCTTTTTTCTCTCCCAACGCGGCCAACTCTGACCTGCAGACATCGAGCCCCCACGTCGCCAGACATGGTGCCGAGCTTCTCCAGAAGGCTCAGAAAGAGTACGAGGAGTGGAATGCGAGAAAAGAAGAACGAGAGGGGGGCATGGAGGCTGGGTCGCGAGACTGGGAACCGAAGACTCGAGAGATTGCAAGACCCAGTGCCCTCTCCCCGTACAACACTCTGACGTTTTCGCCGGACGAGGAGGCGCGCAATTTCGAACAGTACCACCCGTCCACTCCCGCTCCTCCCATTCAACCAAACTCACAACCTTTGCAAAGAGGCAAGTCGAGTAGCTCGCGACCCTCTCCAACCAAAGCTACGCAGCGCCAGGATATGCCTAGCCCCCGCCCTGACGACATGGTGGACGTCACGCAGGCTCAAGGTATGGCGGCGGATCAGTACATGCAGCAGTATCCGGGAGCGAATGACCCGTATGCTTATCCATATTGGGACCCTTCATACTGGTGGGCCATGTACGGAGGAATGGATCCTATGGGCATGGGCGCGGAGAATATGCAAAGGTTTGATCTTTCTTCTTGATGGGCCATACATACTGACGTCTCACCTAGCGGCCATTACTCGGGTGGTCTCAACGGTCAAGCAGGCGGCAGCTCCGAGCTCGAGGAACAGCAGGCATTTGATCTGTAAGTGTTCATGTTTGATTTCGAGTCTCTCTCAACGGGTCCCTTCTCGCGAAGGATGCCTTTCGCCCCTGCCTTTCAACATGACCTTGTGACGGAACCGGCCTGGGTCGTCAGTGGTCCTTTCATGCTGTGCCAAAATCTCAGATATGGTTCAAAAAGCGCATCTCTCTCCATTCATCCCTCTGTTCTCCAGCTTTTACCTTTTTTCACTTTTTTCACCTTCCTTCGTTTGCTATGTGGGGAACTTCACCGACAATGGATCCAATGGATCTTCCCGGCCAGGGCATGGGTGGGCAACACCACATGTCTTACCAACAGCCCATGCCACAGCAAACAAGCTACGGCGGTATCGGGTTCGGACTTGGCGGTGTAGGGCCCATGGGCGCATCTCATCACCAGCAAGGTTCACCGATGGGTTTTCCTTTCAACAGTATGGCTTCGCAAGGAAATTGGGGAGCCATGGGAGGTATGGGTGGTATGGGGGGCATGGGAAATGTGGGAAATATGGGCATGTCTTTGCAGGGCATGGGCAATCCTCAGTCCGTTTTCTTCTTTCTTCTCGTTTTGCGTTGTCCGGGTCTTGCGACATTACTCCTTTGAGCTCCTTTGTGACCTGTTCCGGTACAATTCAAGCCCAATGGAGCGGGGTCCCCATGACTCGAGCGAGGGGCGCCAATGCCTTCTGAAATGTTGATTCTCTTTCCTGTTATGATCGCCCGGATTGGTGGATATAAGCTGACCATTGACTTTGCACGCCTCCCAACCTCTACGTATGACATCGAAACATCATCCAATCGTGCGATCTGATTCCAAACCACGCGTCCGTCACCACTCTACGGCATCCGACTACTTTTCTATTTCCCCATCTTCATCTCGCGGCGTCAAATCGCCTCGTCATCGATGCTCGCTATGTCCACACACTCCGACACCGCCTTCTCCCTCTCCCCACGGTCCTCACGTTGGTTCGCCGCTCAGATCGAGCATGATGTACAATCCCTATCAGTGGGGAGGTGGTATGGGAGGCGGCATGATGGGCCACGGCCAGAATGGGTATCCCGGAGGCCAGAGCATGTACGGGCAGCAGTCAATGATGGACGGCAATCGCTCTATGGGGATGGGTTCTCCCTCCGCGATGGGTTCCGGACAGACCCAAGCAGGCGGTGGCGGGGACCTCAAAGCTTTCGACCCTACCAAAATGAAGCAAGGTCGACTGGGTCATTATGGATATCTTGAAGGTCGAGGTATGCACCCAGCCCAGATGTAGATCTATTACTCTTTTTCCGTTTGTTGATGTTTTTTTTTTTTTTTCTTCTCTCGAGAAGAGTTGGCAGGACCTCCTCCTGGATATGCACCGGCCGGTATCGCTCCAGCTTCTTCTCCTGGTCCAGCTACAGCAACATCTCACCGCGGCGGCAGTACAGTCGGACCGCCCTCTTCAGCTGGTTACGGCGCAGGATCGTCTTGGGGCGACTCGTCCAACAATCCACGTGCGCGTTACGACGGAGGTGTGTTTTCTTTCCATTGTATTGTTGCCCTAACTGACAGACTGCACCCATCCTGACATTTTACATCCGCATGACAACCCCTCAGCTGCTCATGGTATCGGCTACGTCCAAGCCGACCTCGATTCGCCGTATCCACGCGCTCCAAGCGGGCTTGGAACGAACGCCTACTCGCGTTATGGTGCGGATGGGTCGGTGATGAATGGAGATGCTCGTGTGAGCCAGCGAAGGATCCGGGAGGGAAGGGTGTGAGCTTTGTGCGATCTGTAACACGAAACTATAGTTCAAGTTGCTGTGTGTCATACAAGTATATACAACCAATGCATGCTAATAGTATACAGCACCACTATCTCTTTTTTGGGGTCGGTGTCCACCCTGTACTTTTTGTGGAGCTCTTCCCGGCCCAGTCATTCGACGAGGTCCTACTCCCAACGACTGGCGTCCTGCCGACCGTCCTATCCAACAGTCGCTTTGCAGCCGGTGTCAAGTTTCCTGCTTGCCTCCTCGGTGTCCCCGGCGGCCCCATATCCCCCTTGCCCCTGTTCCCACCTATTCCAGAAGTAGGCCGGGTAAATCCTCTCGCACGCTCTTTGATATCCCGACCGGCTTTATCAGCCAATTTGCGGCCGAGCTCGTCTCGCCTTTTTGTCTCTGGCAGCCTGAAGCTGGGCGTCGAGTCGAGAGGATCATTGTTGCCGTCGAGGGCTCGAGGGGTGGCGAGAAGAGAGCCCCAGGTGAGAAGGGATGGCATATCTTGCGGGGAGGGAGAGGGGTCGGTTGCTACCAGCGGGTAGTTGTTGACCGTCGGCATGGCTTCGCCTAAAGTCATGTCAGCAAGTGGTCATGCAGGTATTAGAAGGGCTTACGAGGACCTCCACGCACGGCCGCACTGACAACACTCCTCGACGGGCTACTAGCCCTCGTCGAACCCGCTCTTGTGCCCATGCCACCTGCATCTTCTTCCGGTATACGTGTATTTGCATGGGCGATACTCGGACGCGGACCATTGATGGGGAGAGTGTGGATGGAGGGAGGTTTGGCGTACGGGTCAGCGTTGGCGTCTGCTGGGTACATGAGGTTGTTTCGAGCCTGGTATGACATCAGCCATGGGTCAGTGGAGGTTGATCAAGACGCACCTTGTACTTCCAAAGATCGACTCCACTTCCGCCGAGAGAAACAGTCTCCTTGTCCCCTTCACCCATTACCCTCTTTTCCAACGCCTGTCCTTCCTCTCCGGTAGCACGCGCATCGCTGCCTGTGGCGACTTCGCGGTGCGGCACAATCTGTCCATCTTTTGCTGATATCAGCGCAGTGGTGGGCAGACCAGCGTCTGTGAGGGCTTCTGCGAGTGGGTGTTTGGGAGGCAGGGGTATTTCAGTGGGGAGTTGAGTGGGTTGGTCAGAAAGCACCAGAGCCTGGCTCGAGGAAGCGGGGACGAGGGCTTGGGACGTGTCGCCGGTTTCAGACAAGGGGGCAGCGCCAATGAGCTTGACATCTTTCCAAGCTTCCCCTTCTGCCTTCTCCTTGCCACCTTCTGCCAACCCGCCGATGAGCCGCTTCCCCTCTCCATTCACTCTCCACTGGCCACTCGTCGCGGCATCCAAAATGGCTTTACGCTTCGTCTCTCCTTCAATCCGTCTCGTCTCTGCGGCCTTTTCCGCCTCGAATGCCCACCCAAAACGCTCCTCTCTCTTGACCCTATTGTCTTCCTGCACGATCTGGGCAAACGAGGCATTGTCTTCCGACGTAAAGTTGCGCTGAAACGTGTCGAGAGAGAGGTCTGCGCGGACTGGCGGACGGCGCTGGCGTTTGCTAGACGATCCTAGGGACGGACGATCGCCCTCTAGCGAGTCGAAATCCGACGAGTTGCGTCTCCGGCGGGTGCTCTGTTGCGGGGTATCCCATCCTCTGGCTCCCACCGGGGTGCGCATGTCCCTCGCCCCCGGGACCGAGATATAGGGTGTCCCTGTGGTATCGCGCCTGATACTCTCTGCATCGATGTCATCTGCGGCCCTCCTGCGGCGATCGGTCTGGCTTGCGAGGGCGGCGAGGGTGCGGACGGAGGAAGAAAGGAGGGCGGCGTCGTTGTCCTGGAGGGCGGTGAGGTAGCCGTTGGTGGCCCGGAGGTGGGGGAGGTGGGGGAAGAAGTCGCGGGCGATGATGTGGGAGAGGGCGGCGGTGTATGTGTCTTCCTGCGGCGGTCAGCGGGGCCGCAGCCGACGGGGCGTACATTTAGCACGTGCTGGCGGAAGAGGCTGCGCTCGGGCGCTCGGTGGAGGCGGCGGGCGGGGCCTGTGCGGGGGACGAGGGCGTGGTCGTCTGCGCCCTGGAGGCGGTCTGTGGGCAGCCTGGGCATCGAGAGTACAGCAGAGATGGGAGATGGTGGAATATTCAGCAATAAGTACTACCCCGGTCACGTGCCCGTTCAGGCTGACCGGATAAACATGTCGGGGTATAAGAAGGCGATAGATTGTGTTGTGCCTTGTCCATGCACGATGTTCAGAACCACAATCAGAATCGCCCTCCTCCTGTGCGACACCCCCAACGACGACGTCATCGCCGAGGCTGGAGACTGTAAGCGCCCCCCGCACAGACCCCGCTGACGGCAGACCACCGCATCTACTCCGACTGGCTCGCCGCAGCCCTCGCCTCGTACCCAGACAAGGCCGTGTCAGGGAGCGTGCACCTCCTCGTCGACCCGTACGATGTCGTAAACAAGCAAGAGTATCCCTCCTGGGACCGTCTCCAGCACCGCGCACCCGACGCCTACCACGCAGTCATCATGACAGGATCCAGTCTGTCCTCCGCCTCTGCCTCTTGCCACCGCTGACCATGACAGAGCACACGGCATACGACACTGCCAACCCCTTCATCCCGCCCCTCGTGTCCTTCATCTCCGAGATCGCGTCTTCTCCCGAGACCCAGCACGTCAAACTCGTCGGTGTCTGTTTCGGCCACCAGATTCTGTCTATCGCCCTCGGCGGTGCCTGCGAGCCTGGTCAGAATGGCTGGGAAATCGGCGTCCATGGCTGCCAGCTTACCAAAGAGGGCAAGTACTGGTGGACGGGCGACGTCGAGGGAGAAGGCGGTGAGGACAAGGTGTATCTCGAGCAGATGGTCAGTCTACCTTTCGCCTGCAACATTGCTGACGTTGTGCAGCACAAGGACCACGTCCCGGCTGTGCCCCCTGGCTGTCTTCTCTTGGCCAAATCTACTCGCTACCCTGTCCACTCTTTCCTTAAACCCCACCCGTCTTCTACCCCCGAGCACCCCTTGGCCCAAGTGCTCACCATCCAAGGCCACCCCGAATTCACCCCCTCTATCGTAGGCCATATCGTCAACGCCCGTGCTGCCACGGGTGTATTCAACCACGAGGTCACGAAAGAGGCCAGGCGGAGAGCCGGTGGCAAGGACGGTACTGGAGGCGAAGGCTTTGGAAGGATTGGCTGGGCCGTGTGGAGAATGTTGCTGCAAGACCTCCCACCGGCGTAATCTCGATGCATCTATTACTAGAAGACAATTCATAAATCACATCACATTTCGTCAAGATCCCTGACTCTGGTGTCCAGCACCAACCCATCTCTAACTATCTAGTACTGTTCCCTTCGTATCCCCCATACCCACTCGATGGGTATCCCCTACTATTATACCCCTGCTGACCCCCGCGGGCCACAGCATACCCGACAGAATCCGACGACGTCTCGCGCGAAAGAGCAGGCCTGTGCTCTCGCTCCCCGCCATCCCACCTCGTCACCCCCACATCCTCCTCCGAGTGGCCCGACGCCGCTCGCCTCATTGTAGGAGGCACATACCCCAGAGGCGGCTGGGTATAAGCGGAAGGCGGGTAGGGCACACCTTGGCCTTGGTTTGGTCCGCCCCACGGATCTTGTCCTAGCAAAGGCGAGGCCGCATCTGCCATGTCAAGATCCGAGACGTCCCTGTTATGCACCGGCGCGGGATAGGGCCTGCTGGCCTTTCTCTGCGGCCCTCCATAGAACTCTGACCTACTCCCGTCCATCAAAAGCCGATCCGTCGACGGATTATCCAGCGGGACGGAAGGATGGAGCGAAGGCGACGACTCCACAAGCGGCAAGGGATACTGCTTGTAGTCTTCCAACCCAGGAGAGGGATAGTTGCTTCTGCTTCCGAGTGTACTGAGCATATCCGTTGACGCGACAGAGCGCGCGTCCCAGTCGGCTTGGTGGATCTCGTCGGCCGGACCATCGCGATCCGGATTGTACTCGAGGTTTTCCTCGCGCACAGCCCTGATCTCCACCCCATCGTGCTCGTGCTTCCCCGCAAACCACGGGTACGCACTCAAAACCTCCCTCGCCACCGATTCCTGCTGCTTGTGCACCATCACCGTAAACAGCTTGTTGTGCTGCAAAGCAGGGTGTAGGAATCGCTTCTCCATATCCGAGTGCTTGGTGCGCTTCTTTTCGCCCGACATGAGCGCGAGCTTTTCTTGCTCTTGCTCTTCGACAGTGGGCTTGTAGTAGCGGAACTTGTGCTCGGAGGTGCGGGTAATGTAGAATTTGAAGGCGATAATGATGAGCACGGGAGGGGCCGCTGCGATACAGTCGAGCCAGCGCGAACGGATCAGACCGGTAGCTGCGTAGCGTCAGCACATATCTCGTCTGATGTATTGAATACTTACTAAGCACCATCAGCAGCTGCATCAAAACGCAGCATGCCAAAAGACGATTGACATAGACGTTCCACGTCCTGCCGCCGCTCTCGGCTCGAGAAATGTAGACGTAGAGCAGCTGGTACTTGTACTGCGCCGAGTCAGCACATGTTGCTTGATGACAAAGAGGACGTACCACCACGGAAGAGAACCAAAAGACACATGTCGCGCCGATAGCGACCAGCGGCGCGAGCGGTGCATAGATCAGACCGACAGCGGTGATGAACAGCAAGTTGACGACGACTATCTCCCCATCAGCTCATCCCCAAGCTTTGCAAAAATGACTGACCAATGGCATACTCAAAGAAAGGCGGCTTGGTCATCTCGCGAATGTCACGAGGGGTATAAGAAAACATGAATCTCTTGATAGACACGAGAGCGAGCTTGATCAACTGGATGAGCTCAAATATGACCAAAAAGCCTCGCAGAGGAAGCCAAGTCAACCAATCTACTCTCCATTAGCTCCGCTCATCGCCACGCGCAAAGAAAGTCTCACAAGTAGACTGCTGCACATACGTGCCCTGGATTTGATCCGGGATATCGTTAAACCCTTTGATGATTGTCGAAAAGCTTTGATGTTTGCCGATCTGCACCACAACCCTCGCTATCGCCGCATAGACCACTCCCAACAAGGAGAAGATAAACAAGTTGGAAATGATCATGAAGAAAAAGTAACGGGCGATGACGGCTCGGTCGAGGCGGGAGCGGGTGGGCGCGCCTTGGTATTTGGAGACACGGCGGATGACAAGCGGGAGGAGGTAGCCAAAGATTGCAGCGACGGCGGACGGGAGGATACCAGAGACAAGAGAGAAGGTCCAGTTTCCCCAGTTGCCGGCATCTTTCCAGGACTCGAGGAAGGTGACGTAGACGGTCAATGCAGACAAGTTTGCGAGTATAGACACGACAAGGAGCTGGAAGAGTCAGACGAATACCTTTCCAGGATGAGATACTCACAGGAATGGTGTTGAAGAAACAGATGATGGCAATCAAGCCCCACCCAAAAGTCCTCCTCGATCCAAGCTCTGCGGGTTCCTTGGAGATATTCTCCCACACAATATCATGCGGCATGGGCGCCAGCTGCAAGCTCGCTCCGAAAAGCTCCTTTAGCTTGCCCCTATGCGTCCTGGCAATCCGATGGGCTTCCGCAATAGTCTTGAAGGTCACAAAGCCATAGTTTTCGCCTTCCACACGAGACACGACACCTTTGCCGCCTTTAGCTTTACGAGCATGGCGCTCTTTTCGGATAAGAGAGTCGATGGCGGCGCGCTTGGCATCGACCTTGTCTCGGAGGTGTTTGATCTCTTTGGCGTAATAGTCGATAGCGTCCTGTGCGATGTTAGAAACCGGCATTTCTGTATTGATAGGACTTGCCTTCTTGGTACCACCGAGACCGAGAAAGCCGCCCTTTCGGACGGTGGGCCGCTTTGTCCCAACTTGACCATTCTTCAGGTATTTGACAAGATGCTTCTCCAAGTCCTTTACCGCGTCATTATGCTTCTCTACCATCTCTGGAAAGTCTTGCAGTCTCCTTCCGATACAAGTCGCCTCGATCTGCGGACCAATCTTGATCCCATCTACTTTGAGCAGACCCATGAGGGAAAGGAGGCCGGCGTCCGAGCGGAAATCTTTGCGGACGTGGCTGACCATGAGGGTTCGAGAGTAGATTTTGGTCTGGTAGGCAGGGGAGCGGAACCAGCGCGTTCTGAGCAGAACCATTTGCTGCCAATTGCGCCAGACTATAGTCACATGAGTAATGATCCGATTTTGAGTGGCTGGACGTACTAAAGAACATGACGATAGCGTTGATCACATAGCTCGCACCCACAGCGGGCCACATCCACCCTCCCTCTACGTCTGCGATAGTCGTAAGACTGAGCGCATTCCGGTTACTGCTGTCCACGTTTTTGCGATTGTAGACAATGTTGATGGTTAGCAGCGCCACACCGAGGACCGAGACGCATGAAAAGATGTTGCGGAGCATTCGCAGGAAGCGCAGAAAGGTGGCGGCGTCGAGACCTGCATAGGTTTAGATCATGCAATAGAATGGCTGGGAGACGACTCACCAATGTTGGCAACCATGGCTTCCTCCTTGAGGTGCAGCACCGGGCTGAACCACGCAAAGAAACCATTTGATATGGGAGGCGGAGGCGGTTCATAATCGGGATCTTCTGAAAGGTCTTCGGGTCTTGGCAGTTGGTATTTTATCTGCCGGGGGTTAGTACGATCCAAGCGTGAGAGTCACGGCGTCAACACACTTTGGGAGCATACACCTGCGCACGAGTGTCAGCATTGTGCTCCACGACCAGGGACTATCGCGGGAGATCCCGCAGCGACCGACCTTTTTCTCGCGGGGTCTGAAGAAACTGAATGCTAGGAGGGTGGCTATTGATATGCCAGTCATCAATGCAAGCTGTGAGCCGACAGCCTTGACGGAGACCTGTGAGAGTGTCTTTTCATAGTTGGCGACGAGGGAGGAGACGGCGGCGCCACCGTCAGTAGTGGACGTCATGGGGGTGCAGGCTTGTAGTGGGTGGGGAGAGAGGAGAGAGAGGAGAGAGTGAGAGAGAAGGAAGAGAGGCAGATTGGAGATAGAGATAGAAGTATGCTGCATGGTGATGCGGGAGATGGGGCTGACAATAGAGGGCAATCAGGCACGCACTGGAATCCACGGGTCGAGACCATGCATGAGTGACGGAATCAAACACAGCATGCACTGCGGGGGGTGGAGGGAGGGAGGGGATGCATACGGCATAGAGACACAGAAGATAGAAGAGCGATGCATGGAGATATCCAGAGTGTGCCTGGGTGCCACAGCGGAATCACCGGGGCGGCATTAGCACTTTGCGATTTCTATTGTCTCTTTCACCGCCAGCCAGCCAGCCTGAACACCATACAAAACACCATGGCACAGTACGATCTCACCCAGAAACTCATCCCCAACCTCGACAGGCATCTCGCCATCCCCCTCCTCACCCACCTCGCAGACACCCACATCTACCCCCAGGAGCAGCTCGCCCGTGCCCAGTCAGTCGCCCCCATATACACCCTCCCACATGCTGACCCCTCCCAGATATGACCTCACAAAGAGCACAAACATGGTCGACTGGGTCCAGCAACTCCACTCTCAAATTGGCGACGCCGAAGCCGTCGACTTTGACAAATTAAAAACCGAAGCCACAGCAAAGTACAATGAGCTCCAGGAGAAGGCCCAGCCCGTCACAAGTGTCATTGAGAACCCCGAGGCCGTCGCCAAGCTCAGGAGCGGTGGAGACAAGGAGAGAAATCTTGAACTGTTGAGGACCGAGTACAAGGTGCGTAGACTTTGACTTTTGCACGAGGCGTGCCGCCGGCTGACGCTGCGGCCAGATTGACAATGACCAAATCAACGCCCTCTACCACTTTGGTCAATACAAATACTCTTTGGGCGAGTACGGTGCCGCCGCCGACCTCCTCTACCAATTCCTCATCCTCTCCCCCTCTTACGACCTCAACGTTTCCGCCCAGTGGGGTAAGCTCGCCTCCAACATTCTCGTCGGTGACTGGGAATCTGCCCTCGCCCAACTGCGTGATGTCCGAGACACCATCGACAACTCGCAGGGCACCTCCCTCTCAAAGCCCACCGCCCAGCTCCAGGCCCGCACATGGCTCCTCCATTGGTCCCTCTTTGTCTTTTTCAACCTCGACCTTCAAGAGGGCCAGCAGGGCTTGCTCGACATGTTCCTTTCCCCCGCCTACCTCAACACCATCCAAACCTCCTGCCCCTACCTCCTCCGCTATCTCGTAGCCGCCGCCATCATCACCCGCCGATCCACCAAATCTTCCGCCCCTTCCCGTTCCAGCCGAGACCACATCAAGGAGCTCACAAAGATTGTCGATATGGAAGAGTACCAGTACTCTGACCCCATCACGGCCTTCTTGAAGGACTTGTTTGTGGATTTCAACCTGGACCAGGCGCAGGAGCGATTGACGGTGGCCGAGGAGGTCGTCCGTCAAGACTTTTTCCTGTCGGGCTTTGTGGATGAGTTTGTGGAGAATGCGCGACTGTTGATTTCCGAGGTCTACTGCCGTATACATCGAAGAATCGACATCAGGCAGTTGTCCAAGACTTTGAACATGTCTGTAGAGGACGGTGAAAAGTGGATTGTCAACCTCATTAGAGATTCCAGGATGGGTGTCGAGGCCAAGATTGACCTCAAGGAGGTGAGTTTTCCGTTTACATTTCGTATTCCGTCTAATTCGTTTCAGAACATGCTCCATATCACACGGCCCCACCCCTCGGCCACCGCCTCCCTCATCGACGTCACCCGGGGTCTTGCGTTCCGATCCCAGGCCGTCCAGTTCGCCATACAAAGCAGCGTCGGCGGCGAGACTGTACAACGCGAGAGGGGGGACCGAGGTGCCAAGGGCGGACGAGGAAAGCCCAGGGGTCAGGAGGTTGCTGCTTAGATCTAGATGTACAGGAGGGGAGCATTTAGTTGTTTTTGGACGTCTGGCATAGTTCATCATCTTTATACGAGACATGTATAGGTACCATTTCATTTCACAATACATAGTGTCATTGCAATGCTGGTATAGATGCTGATGCGGATGAGGATGAAGATGCGGCATTATTGGCTTGTTGTCTGAGATGTGCTGAAAACCTCTTTTGCTCAATTGTCGCGTATACCACTGTTTTCACCCAGTTGAACAATTGGCCGACATACTCGTCCTAGACGTCGTCAGCATGATTCACAAAGTTATGATCAACTCACCAAGCGTTCTGGGTCTTCTGATAGAGGCGGCCTCTCCTCGTAGAGCCCCTCATCGTCAATCTCGTCTTCATACTCGTACTCTTCATCGTCTACATCGTCATAGTCTTCCTCGTCATCCTCATCCACATAATCGTCTTCGTGTTCGCAATCGTATTCCTCATAGGAATGACAATCGCACCCACAATCGTTTTCGCAATCAAAGCATTCGTCCGGCTCTGGTTCGGGGATGTACATTTGACATCTTTCATTTGTCAGTCGACTGACTGGTCCACTGGAAAGACGTAAAAACTCACTGTCCACAAGTACATCCCTCTTCAAGAACCACCTGTCCGTCCCCCTTTCCTCCAACCCTGACCGGCATCACCCCCATGCCGACCATGCCCACACCGCCCTCCGCGATCCTGAACGGCATGCCCATGCCCATGCCCCCTGGCCCTCCCATAGGCATCGGCAGCGGCAGACTGAACGCCCCCTCCGGCATGGGCCTATCCATCATCTCTCTCAACCCTTGAATCTCTTTTTGCCCCTCGAGCTCTTCTTGCATCTTAAGCAGCTTGGCTTTTTCGCGATCCAGGGTGAGCTTCGCTTCGAATAAGGCCGCGAGCGAGGAGGGCAGGTCTATGGGTGAGCCCGTAGCAGGATCGGGGTATGTGTGCGTGTGGTGATGCCCATCGTTATGCCCGCCGTCGCGATTCTTGGCAGATCCACTGCCTGACCCGGACGGCCTGGCAGGCCCCATGAAAAACCCTCCATCCCCCAGCGCTCCTCCCCCCGTCAAGCCCCTGATTTGACTCTCCGTCAACGTCGGCAGCCCCATACCTCCTTCTCCCTCCCCACCCATATTCAGGCCCATGCTCTTGAGAGCATTGGCAGACCAGGTGTGCAGGGCGGCCGACAGAGAGGCGGGGGTCATGGATTGGTGCTGCGAGTGCGAGTGCGAGGGGTGGTTGTGGTTGTGGTTGTGGTGCGTGGGGGAATGTGAGTGGTATTGGGAGCTGGCAGGGGACGAGTGGGCGTTTGTGGAGTCCATGACTGGTGGGAGAGTATGAGGTGGAGGAAGGGGGAAAGCGGGGAGGGGAGGGAGGGTGGTCGAGTTGGAGCTCGATGGTTGGGGCTGTTCTGGCTGAGGGGGGCGTTGCTTGGGAGGGGGTTTCTTGGAGGAGTGTTTCTTGGAGCGGCCCATGGTGGCGGGGGATAGACACAGGGGGGAGGGGGGGGGATGGGGAGATGGAGGTGACAGAGGAGTTTAAAACATTTTGCGCGGCCAACAACAACTCCAAATCCGATCGAGATTTCGGGTGGAGGTCATTCGCTGTCGTTGCTATCGTTCAATCCTTTCAACGAGGTCTTGTTTGGATGTATGCTTCCAGTATGGCTTGGCCGGCCTCTAAGAAGCTGCCCAATGCTACCGAGCGTGCGTCAGCGATTGTATAGCAGAAACTCCCATATCTTGCCAACTGATGTAGCTAAGTAAGCGGTGGATAATGCATATGCAGAATGCTCAAAAACAACCAAAATGGGGTCTATCAATGTATAACTATATGTGCTTGAAAACGCCTCGCTATCTCTTCGCCACCCGCATCATCTTCATCATCTTGCTCGGCTTTCTCAACGAACCTCCGAGCGCAAGGATGGCCGTCAGGAGCAGCACACTGCCGGCCTGGTGCATCGAAGCCAGAGGGATCGGTACAAGGTAGAGCAGAGTGCTGATACCGAGCGAGACCTGGGTGACGGCGGCAGCTGTAGCAAGGCCTGCAAGACGGCGAGAGCTCTTGAAGGGGAGACGGCGGGCAGCGAACGGCAGAGTGCAGAGAATGGTGAATGTCGTAGTGGCCTACACCAAAGTCAGCATTGTCTATACCCCATCTGCAAAGATGCTTACCAAAACACGGTGATCAAATTGAGCAGTGACGGGGTTCTCCAACATATTTCTCCAGATCTTGTCAGATCCGCTTTTAGCGTACCTCTGGTCGTACAGATCCTCCGTTGGTGGTACGAATCCCTCGCCCATGTACGGGAACTCGTTATATATCAGACCCGCATCCAATCCCGCCACGAAAGCACCAGTGACAGCGGTCAAAAAGACCATCATCCCAGAAAGATGAACCAATCCACGGAACTTTTTCACAGCGGGGTTGTTGAGCGCCTGGATGATGGCCGGGTTCTTGGCCAGCTTCATGTCGCGATGTATGCCGATAGCTGTAGAGAGCATGCCGACGTAGAGGGCGACAGCAGCAGTGTAGTGCGCAGCAAGACGGTATTGAGAGACTCGGGGGACGGTGTTGTCTTTGATGATTTGCTCATCGAGACCAGACTTCACCATCCACCACCCAAGGACTCCTTGAAATCCAATACCGAGACCGATGAGGAGAAGCTTCATGGGAAGGGGACGGGGAAGCTTGTAGCGGGCTAGGTAGTAGAGAGTGGGAAGAACGAATCTGCAACCAGTCAGCTTTGCTTCCAGAATCCAAAAGTATACACACCCCATACCGAGAGCACGCCCGGCAATTCGATGACCCCACTCCATGTAAAAGATCTTTTTAAACTCGTCGATGTTGATGTTGGCGTTCATCATTATCCCTTCCGGCGACACCTTGTACTTTTCCCATTCCAGATCCCAGTCCGCTTTGGTGATCGGCGGCAGGATACCCGTTATGGGATTCCACTCCACAATACTCAGCCCCGATTCTGTCAGCCGCGTCAGGCCTCCAATGACTACGATCCCAAAGACGACTGCCGAACAGCCATACAGCCAGTACGGCAGCGATCTTGGGATATCATCGTATACCGGGTCGGCCTTGGCTTTGGGAGCAGCGGTGGAGAGGGATCTGGGAAATTTGTAGGTGTGGGAGGGGAAGAAAAAAGAGGTTCGTGATGAGGGGGTGAAGAAGGGCAGATTTATTGGGCGAGGGGTCTGGCGGGCGAAAGAGTGCTTTGAGGGGGCCGATGAGAAGGCGCGATGAGGGAAGCGGGTTGCTTGGGCGTCTGCTCTTAGCGACCTGCAGACAGCCCTATTTAGAGCGGGGACGAGCATCGTGCCGGAATGTATAAAAAAAAGTGGATGAAAGAGACAATCTTGGTTCTTGACTTTTGCACTTTCCAGGAACAAATTCCGGCGCGAATCGGAGGCTGCCAAAACCAACACGGTGTACCGTGAATGCCCGGCGGCGACCTAATAGATGTCCGTCTTATCTACAGGTATCTTGTGATTACAAAGGGCCCAGTCTACAGACAGACTGGGAGAGCGCTCATTGCATCTCATAAATCAAGTTGTACTGCTCTAGGTTCTGCACCAACATTCCCCGACTTTCTCTGATCGTGTCCACAGTCTGCGCCACCATGTCATCGTGTATCGCCTCAGGAAGCAAGCCTAAAGGGGACTTATGGAATGCTACTCCAGGCGTGAGAAGTGACGACAGTGCGATGAACGTGCCGGTACGCCCGACGCCAGCAGAACTACCATGCGGTCAGCACCTCGTAAGCCACGCCTTTATGTTGACTCACCAGTGCACCCATACTTCGCAGTCTAGCTCCTTTCTCTTTGCCTCAATCTCCAGCACCAATGCCCGAAGGGCTTGCACTCCTGGCCCTTTCGGCACACCATGGTCTGGCCAAGCATCGAAATGGTAATGATGCAAGTTCACGCTTCTGTCCTCGCCTTGCAGAACCATCTCGGACAGTGTGCTGGAGAGCCCCTCCAGGCGGTACCTGCCCGTAATCAGCGGTACGATGCCGTCCATCTTGTGATCCCTTATTGCAAGTTAGCAAAGGGCAAGTATCATAACCGTGGACCTACAGGTACGGATCCGCCTTGGTAATTCCTCGTTCTTCCCAGCCTGTGAGCTGTACAATCAGAGCATCTTTTGGCTGCTTTCCTATGGCAGCCCCCGTATATATGGCCCTGAAAAATAAGTCAAACGCTCGTGGGGGAGGCGCCTGTGCCATGGGTGAGCTGTGCGCAGTAACCGTAGTTCCAGACCCACCTGAGCAGCGACCCATAAACCCCCCTTGCCGTCGTCTACCACATTTGCATTGAGATAGTTGCCGTTCACGACTACAGCTGTCCTGTCGTATGCGAGAATGTTGGAGTAGCGGTTGTCATGCCTGTGGGCGAGCGAGTTCTTGACCGAATAGAAGGGATGCACCTCTTTGGGGTTGGCAGAGTATGCTGCCGAGTTTTCCAGCCGGACCTGCTCTCGCTGTGCGAGAATGGCAAAGTTGCGGTGTATCCTTGAAGACATTATGCATGAAGAGAAGGTGTCCGAATTGTGGTCGTTTTGTATAGGTAGAAGCTGATGACGTCAGAAGATGGGTGGAGGATTGTTGATTTGTTGTTGTTGTGACTTGTGTTGTCCTCATCGTAACATCGCCGCAAGATGCCCCCCTCCCCGTACCTCCCCCCGCGCTTCACTGTCCCGCCCCTGCCCCCCACCCTCCACCGCCGCATGAACCTTCTCCCCCATGACGCCGGCATCATCCTCGCTCCACCGGGAGGTGCCCCGGGCGTGCTCATCGGTTGGGGCGTCAGGGGCAAGATCGAGCCTCTCGACGGCGCAGAGGAGGGCGAGCTCGTCCTAGGGGGTGTGCTGGGCATTGCAAGACTATGGGATGGTGAGTTTGATCCGCCAATACTCGAGCTTATATCGTAGCTGCATACTTGTTTGTGTTCCTACCCCGCACTGGCACCCCTCTCTTTCCTCCCCACGACGACGACGAGCCCTCGCACGAGGTCTACACCTTGGGAGATATCCATGCCATTCCTCTCACCCGAGACGGTTCAGCTGTCTCCATCAAGCGTCTTATTGCGCTGCAAGAGTCACGCAAGCCCAAACCGAAAGCCACATCAAGATGGAGCTTGGCGATCCCCATCTCAGGTGCCGGTGCTTTGCCTCAAGAGCGCGACCATCTTGCCGCCTCCTCGGATGAGGACGATGACGATGACGAGCCCTTGACACCGGAAGCGGACGAGTCACCCATCCCGACCAAGGCCCGCCAATGGACCAAGTTCATCCCCAAATTTCGAAAGCGATCTGAATCTTCCGCGGAACCCCCAAAGAGACAAGAGCTCGAGGAGAAAATTGTGCGGCAGATCAAGAGGGAGTTTGAGAATGGATTCTTCTTCTCGTATGACTTTGATATCACGCACAGCTTGCAGGCGAAGCGGCACACCGTCTCCCAACGGGCTGCATCAGGTGCTGCGCTGGCCGATCTCATCCCCAAAGAGAACTCGCTCTTCCCTCCCTCTGTTGCTAGCACCCTCCGATCGAGTAACGACACCCCCACCGGGCACTCTACTGGAGAGGACTTTGTCGAGCCCGACATCTACGTCCCATTATGGCGCAGGGCCGACAAACGCTTCTTCTGGAACGAATATCTCATGAAGGACTTTATCGATCTAGGACTTCATTCTTATGTCGTTCCCGTCATGCAGGGATGGGTCCAGTCGTCAACCTTTACGATACCCATCCCGCCCAGCCCTCTTGACCCCACTGCGCAGACAAGCGGAGTCCCAGTGGATATTGCGGTAATCTCTAGAAGAAGTAAAGATCGGGCGGGATTGAGGTATCAGAGGAGAGGGATAGACGACAATGGGCATGTCGCAAACATGGTCGAGACTGAGATGACTGTACGGGCCAAGGTACGTCGAGCGTGTGTCGATTATCCTGAACTGACAGGCCGCAGGTCGAAGGGAAAATGTCCTTGTTTAGTTTTACCCAAGTCCGAGGGTCTATCCCTCTGCGCTGGTCTCAATCACCTTACTCTATGAAACCGCCTCCGGTCCTGAACGAGCCTGTCGACAAGACGTATGCAGTGGCCAACCTGCACTTTAATGATCTCGTTTCCCGATATGGTCACATTGTGAGTGTCCCGTTCTTATATAAACTCTTACTGACTCCCGACAGACAATCATCAACCTATCCGAGCAGCATGGTAAAGAAGCTCCGATCACAAACGGCTACAAGCAGCTCACCACCGAACTGGAACGGGACGACGTTACATATACCGAGTTTGATTTCCACGCCAAGTGTTCCGGGATGAAGTGGGAAAACATTGTAGAGCTGGTGGACTCGTTGGATTTCGAGACGATGGGGTACTTGTGGACATTGCAAGGGGAGGCTCTTCGAGAACAACAAGGCGCTTTCAGAACAAAGTAAGTCTTGCAAACTCTTTGATAGAATAGATCTGATGTGTAATAGCTGCATTGACTGTCTTGACCGAACCAATGTTGTCCAATCCGCCATCGCCCGGCGCGTTCTTGTACATATGCTTATCCAGCTTGGACTTCAAGCCGAGGGGCCGGTCGTCGAAAACGTCTTCAACGACATATGGGCCAACAACGGAGACATGATCAGTCTCTGTTATGCGCATACTTCTGCTCTTAAGGGTGACTTTGTCAGGACTGGCAAGCGAGATTTCTCTGGAATGGTGAGTCTTCCGGATCACCGTCGATGTCATTACTGACAGCGATTAGTTGCACGACGGAGTCAGCTCGCTCAGTCGCATGTTCTACGGCGCCATCTCTGACTTTTTCGCCCAAGCCGTCATCTCCTTCCTCCTTGGCCACCGCAATCTCGCAGTGTTCAGCGAGTTTTTGGAAACACTTACGAGTGAAGATGCGGCTAGTGTGATTAAGCTGGACAGGTTGCGGAACGTCGCGAGTGAGTCTGACTCTGCTTTCATGTGGTGGGTGCTGATGGAACTGCAGTCGAGACGTGCTCTGCGAGGGTGTTGAGTGAAGGTGAAGACAAGATTGGGGGCTGGATCCTTCTCTCCCCTGAGGCCAAGAGTACCAAAATCAGCTCGGCCACTGAGGAGAAGATCCTCATCTTGGTAGGCCTCTTCCGTCGCCACACCGGCATAGCTGACTCAAATCGGTAGACCCAAAAGGCCATCTATGTCGCCTCCTTCAACTATTCCCTCGAGAAGGTCACCGAATTCACCCGAATCCCCCTCGCTAGCATAACCCAAATCCAACGCGGCGCCTACATCCTCTCCACCCTCCAAGAAGCCAGTCGCGACCCCAAGGAAAACGCTGGCCTCATCATACAATTCTCTCCCGCAGACGAGTCGACGCGGTATAGCACTTACTCGCTGCGCAACAAGGCACCGCCACCGTCTGCTACCAGCTCGGAACATCCTCTGCACACCCCACTCCCGTCGGTGGAACATGCGTCGATAGATCCGCTCGCCAAAGAGTTCTTTGCTTTCAAAGCATTGCCTGGGCAGTCTGGTGACGCGACGTGTATGGAGACGGTAAAGGACATTGTTTCTCAACTAGAGAAGGCGTGTAAGAGGGACGGGCTGGTTGTGGAGAAAGACATTGTCAGGTAAATACCATGTCTGTGTGTCACTTGAAGTTGCTGACTCTTGTGGCAGCCTAACGGAAGCAGAATCCTCCACTACTCTCCTGGCAAAAATGGACTATGCTTTTAAGAGAGCGCTGTGGTTGTGAGGTGGTATCGAAGCGTCTACCACAATTATATAATGAGATAAGACTTTCTTTCCCGTAAAAGTAGCGCGGGCTTCTGTTTGCGCTGCTGTACTAGTATGAATAATGCCATGCCGTCCACAGTTACACTACGCTCCGTCGTGCAAGACCCTCAGGATACAGCTGAGAAGCTGTCATCATCGTCAGTGCTAGCCGCAACTTGGTAGCTTTTGATTCCTTATCAGCAGCAGTCATAGCAGCCTCCGGCTATGGTCAAAGCTTGTAGAGATCATAGCGAGTAGTGCTACCTATCTTATTTCATCATGAACTAGGTGGCGTTCTTGCGACTCCAGTCCTCCTTGATCTTATACGTCTCTCTCGCATCCTGCATTTCGAATTAGCTATTTGTTTCCATCTCCCGCTGGTTCTACTCACCTTCAAAACACCAACATCAACATCCACAATCTTCACCTCCTTTCCAACACCACAACCTCCTACCCTGCCTCTCAATGGCGCCCAAACTCCACTTCCGCCCATAAACCCTTCACGCGTATCTCCGCCTGCATTAGACATGACAAATACAGTCTCTGTCTCGAAAGACCTAGTGAGGCAGAGGGCCGAGACAACAGTGGTCTCGTAGTCGGGGTCATGTTGATGTTTGTGGATCAGACTTTCAGAAAAAGTCGGCATCTTCAGCAGGTTGAGGACATGAGACAGAAGACGTACGGTTCGCTGTCCGTGGCCATCCAGTAAGTGGGAGCGAAAATGATGTCTGCTCCCAGGTTGGCGAGGTCTTGAGCGGCGGCGGGGTGGGACATGTCCCAGCCTAATCCAAGCTGAGTACTGGTGACAAGCAAAACTGGAATCGAGACCTACAGATGAGAAGACCAGCCTTACCCCATTTGGTGTCAAAGACCTGCCTGGGCTCAACTCCGGGCTTGAGGTACTCTCTACACCTCCCGTTAGCTCTACTCATACCGGGAGAGTGAAAAGAACTGACCTCTCGGGGTGCCACAGGTTTTGCTTTACATACTCTCCCACAGCCTTGCCTTCATCATCAATGAAGAATGCGGTATTCTTTGCCACTGGTTCGACTCCTTCCTCTGTGCTGAGCGGGTGCTGCTCGAGATACTTGGCCCATTCAAGCTGGGCAGGTGTGATCTTGCTGTGCTCGGCTGATGTGGAGGAGCCTGAACGGAGGGGAATATGGGAGAACGGGTTTACTTGAGGGAATGGAGCGTGGGAGCGGGATCCGTGGACGACCGTGCCAACGAGAGCAACTTTGTGCTCTTTGGCGAGCTCCTGGAAGAACGCCAAAAGGTACTGCGAGGCAAATGTCAAGTACTACTTTGCGTCAGTCCCATAGCTTCTGATTCACCCGTCCACGCACCTGTCTGTTCTCATTCAAGATACCCTGCAAGAAGTACTCTGGAAAGACAACTACATCTGCGCTTTGCTTGACGGCCTGTTCGACGCACTGGACGGCATCAGCGAGGTTGTAGTCGATGGAAGGGAAGGGAGAGGTGGAGTGGGGCTTTTCGAGGGAGGGGACGCCTGGGGGGGCGGAGAGGGGGTTGGTCTGGGCGAGGGCGATGCGGACCATGGGGGCTGGGAGGGGGGTGTAGACTGTAGACGGCTATGAGCAGAAGCAGCGGGTTACTCGTACAGTAACTTCTGAGTTCTAAGCTTTATAACCGCCGGCCGCCGGGATGTTCACCGATGTCATACTCGTAAGGTACAAGCAGCCTCCTATTGACGCCATGTCTTCGCCCATACTTACACCTCCCAACCACTCAAGTCCTCCTTATCGGTCGCACGCCGCCTTGACCAAGAGGTATGGGTTATCTTGTGAGACTCTGTCGTGCCGGGGATAGAGCATTGCAATCGATTCTTGCTCTTTAGCTCTTTAGCGAGGAGTACCTAATAAGCAACATACCGTCAGCACCGTCGTTCCAGCATATCGCCCGCGAAAGGCCGGGAGCGATGATGTTAAGGTGTGTACCGCGATCCTTCTTTGACTTTTACTGACGGCAATACAGGGCTACACTCCCCTTCCGCGTCCAAATACCACATCCCCCGTCCCACCTTCACCACCCGGTCTCGTGGTTCCGCGAGGCTACCCATGGCAAAGCGCCACCGAGACAGCCATCAAGCTACACATCGCGCGCCCTTGACTGGGATCATGGCCAAGGTCATCGACAGGATGATCCTTGATCTCTACTGCACAAGAGCTGAGCCCTCTGTCGCGCGACAGAGGCTTTCGATCTGTCTCGATTATCTTGAGGGGTTCAAAGATCCCTTTTACTTCTGGGTCTCATTATTAACAAGCTCCCTTCAGTCAGGGAAGACCCTTTTTGGCTTTGGGCATTCTTCATCCCTGCTGATCTTCGTGAACTATTGGAGGCGCCTGAGATGCCTCGGTCGCGCGCATACGCAGCCTCGTTCGGAACCTGAGCTGCCTGGTGGGTGTATACTTGGAGGTGGGAATAACAATTTCTCCACAGAAGGCCGGTCCGCACTCCAAGACAACGCCCGACAAGGCTGCACCCCCTCTTCGACCTGCCGTATACACAAAGACCACCCAATCAGTCTTCACAATGCCATTGCTCTGTTTACACAGATCACCGAAAGCGTCTTTCGCGTGTACTTGGACACCGTCCATGTGGCCCAAGACCGTGAAACAGCTCATCTCGGTAGACGGCATTTCTGGTTCACTCGCCCGCCCAACTTCGACCGAGGAATCAGCGAGAATCCTATCAACCAAGAAGAGGTACACCAACAGTCATAAATGTCTCGAATTCCTTATGTCTGCCTCTCTCCTCCCCAAAGAACATCTTTGTGTGAAAGCCGAGTCTAGTCTTGTGAATAACATGAATATTCCAATAGCAGCTATACCTACAAATCGTCTGATTGTTCTCCCCTGGACCAGGGTAATGAAACGACAAACGCAGCCAACCCTAGCTTCCCACAATGACATACTTCGTTCGAGGACTTTGATTGCTGCTTGTCTTCGAACTGCACCATTGGAATGATGACGGACATTACATGGAATGGTGATAAAACCCGACACTACTGGATATGTGATGACTACAAATAGTACAAAGCTAGGAACTACACTGCTCAGAAACACGAAAGAATCAAAAGGATCATGCGAACTCTTCTTCTGAACCCCTACGCCCTCCAACTCTCGACAATTATGATCGTCGCCACAGATAGCTGTCCTCTGTACGGTCGCCAAAAGACGAGCCCCTCAGAAGATGAAGTCCATGATTTTCTCAAACTTGTTCTGCGCCATGTACTTTTCCCTGTCGGTGACCTCCAACTCGTCAAATTCCCTTCTGCCAGTTTCAAAGTCGATCTCGGCCAGAGGGATCCACTTGGTCTTCTTCCAGCACTTCCACCCGACCCAGCATACAGCAAAAATTGGGAGAGTGATGTAGGCGGCGATGAAGTCTCCGGTATCCCAATTACCGGTGAGGAATACTGTGAAGCCGTTGAACTGCAGAAGACCTTATCAGTATCTAAGTCTTTGATCATCGATAGAGGGAGATACGCACAAGAATTACAGCGGTGAAGAAGACAAAGCTAATCCAGGAGAGGTATGGCTGCAGGGGAGCCTTGTATGGGAAATCTTCACGGCTGATGCCCTGCACCTTGAGACCATAGTAGAACCGAAGGTACGACAATAATATAGTCCTAAAAAATAGTGAGTTTCCTTTATTTTACTAAGGGTCTTGAAAACCTACCACCAGGTCACGATGGCAGTGATGGTAGAAAGGTTGTAAAGCCAGTTGAAAGCCTCCTCTGCGGTTTCTCCACCAGTATTCATGTACGCCAAAAGACCGAAAGCACCGGTGATGACCAACGACCAGATGGGCAGACCGCTCTTCGTACACCTCCTGAAGATCCGCGGCAGCTGTCCATCAAGCGCCAGCGCGTAAAAGGTACGCGAGGCAGCATACATGTCTGAGTTGCCCGCAGACCACGCAGAGATGAGCAGCACGGCGTTAACGATGGAGGGAAGTGCTTTGATACCTGCGTTCTCAATGGCAATAACGAAAGGAGAAGCAGCGGCGGTACCAGAACCGTTGAGAAGGTTGGGTTCGGTGTAGGGGACGAGGACAGAGATGACAAAGATACCGCCAACGTAAAAGAAGAGGATTCTACGGCTTGTCAGCTTGGCCATCACGGATGAATGATATGATACTCACCGGAAGAAGACTCGCTTGATAGCCCTGGGAACGGTCTTCCTAGGGTTCTCGGCTTCGCCGAGGGTAGTGGCAATGATTTCAGTACCGATGAAAGAGAAGGCAGCCTGAACAAAGACATTCCAGAACGCAAGGAAACGGCCCCAGGTTCCCTCGATGACATCGTCACCGCCATTGATGGTCATCTGGGCGAAAGGTCCGGGGTTGCGCCAGTATCGGAAACCGATGGCGTCATGGTTCTGCATTCTTGTCAGTCTGCGGAGCAAGGGAGTAAAATGTGACTTACGGGACCACCACCACACATAAGTATGATACCAAGAATGATCAAGCCGACAATGGCAATGATTTTGATTGTACAGAACCTGCAGTAGTATAAGAGAAGATTGCAAGTACTGCCATAAATGAACGCACCAAAATTCAGCCTCGCCATACGCCCTAGCACCCAGAAAACTGATGGAGGGTCAGCTAGAACACCACGAGTAGATGGCTACGCACTTGATGAACCAAATGGAGACAAGACAGACAGTGATGTAAACAGCAGCGTGCGTGTTGCTGTCCCAATAAGTAATGACAATCTGCGCAGCAATAATCTCGGTGGGAATGGTGATGGCATAACTGTGGATCGTGAGCTCTGGCATTTTAACATATATCTGATTGAACGTACCTGTACCAATAGTTGATACCTGTGGCAAACCCAAGCGACTCGTCACAGAAGCGACTAGCGTAATGTACGAACCCTCCAGCAACAGGGAACAGAGCTATGTCTTGTGAGTAAAGACTCCTTCGTAAAGGTCAACAGAACTCGCCAGCCATCTCCCCCAGAGCCACCATCATCGCGTAAACCATAGTCCCCATCAGAATGTAACCAATCCAGAGACCGACCGGACCTCCTGAAGCCAAAGCACTCCCAGATCCAACAAAAAGACCAGTACCGATGGCACCTAATGAGCGTATGATCAGTACAGCAATTTTTGGCTTGACCGAGTGGACGAACCTCCAAGTGCGATCATCGCCATATGTCGCTGCTTCAATTGCCTCTTGACATGATTTTCTCCGGGATGGTAGGTATCTATGAGATGTCTCAGTGCATACATCCGATTAGACGAGGGATGAAACGCACTGCCTTCACATCCACCCAGCTCTCCAGCATGAGGGTCCAGAGAATTTCCCTCAGCGACCTTCTCCGACTCGTACGGTACTTGGTATTGCGATCCGCCGAGCTTGTCGTCCTTCTCAAGATCAGCCATCCTGTAGCCTTGGTGTATTGTTGTATTAGATTAAGAGATAAGATGTAGAGTAACAGCGGGCGGCTACGGCAAAAATGGCAGGCGGTGGATTCCTCCTCGAAAATAATTTGTTGGGAGGCTTCGCTTAGAACCTTGACTAGTACGACGAAAGTTCCCCGGATCTGCTGACGTCGTGTGAGCAGAGTCGAAATTTAAAAGTGGCAGGTTGAAATGATGAAGATACAAAGACCTTCATCTATGTAGTGATCCCATGCTGGAGAGGCGAGAGATAAGCCCATGACCAATTTCTTGGATCTTGTGGAGCGGCGAGGAATTACGACTTTTACGAGAGATCGGGTGGAAAGGGGCTTTTAATCCCCGCTGTGCAGGACAGCAGCAGGCCACGTCCCGCATGGTGATTGGTCGTCGACGGAACGAGTCGACTGTTTCGAGAATGAAAGAATGAAAGTGTAAACACAAGTTGATGATGCCAGTGCGACAGTCGAGACACATCGTACCTTTTCGGACTTCAGTTCTTGTGTGGTTCCTGCTTTCGATCCTTCTGGTCTTCAGCTCTTTCACACTTTCACAGTCATTTCCGGAGTAGTCCTGGAGCCAAACCTGGAACACCTGGATGCCCCAATAATCCGTGCTTGCAAGCGACAAAGATACATGCATCGTAGTGAATATCTATCATGATAACGACTACAAAGACTAATGAGTAATATGTAACAACTATAAGAAATCACCTCTCCAAGCAATGATGTAACTTCCCTCACAATCCTGCACTCCTACAGCAATATGACAAGCATCCTAGAACAAAATTCCCATAATCTTTTGGAACTTGGTTTCCGCCTTGAACTTCTCATTATCAGCCGCCTCATCCTCATCCAACTCTCTCCTCCCCGTGTGGAAATCGATCTGATCCAGAGGCACCATCTTGGTCTTCTTGACAACCTTCCAACCGATCCAGCAGACGGCGAAAATGGGGAGGGTGATGTAGGCCGCGACGAAACTGGAAGTGTCCCAGTTGCCTTTGAGGAAGACGGTAAAGCCGTTGAACTGAACGAGCATGAGTGCATGTTCAGTACTTATGGAGGGACGAGAGGGACTTACGAGGATGATGACGGAGAAGAAGAGGAAACCGTACCACGAGAGGTACGGTTGCAAAGGCGCCCTGTAGGGGAATTCATCTCGGGTGAGGCCCTGCTTCTTGAGGCCATAGTAGAATCGGAGGTAGGCCAACAAGATCGCCCTACACAAAAGTCAGTAACAGTCCCAGACTCGGCAATACAAGGGCAACTTACCACCAGGTGATGATACCAGTAATAGCAGAGAGGTTATAGAGCCAGTTAAAAGCGATCTCGGCAGTATCGCCACCAGTGTTCATGTACGCAAGTACACCGAAGATGCCGGTGATCGCCACACAGTAAATGGGCAGACCTCGCTTGGTGCACCTCCTCAAGATCCTAGGCATCTGACCCTCGAGCGCCAAAGCATAGAGCGTACGGGAAGAAGCGTAAAGATCAGAGTTGCCGGCGGACCAGGCAGAGATGAGGAGGACGGCGTTAACGATGGAAGGGAGAGCCCTGATACCAGCATTCTGGATAGCAATGACGAAAGGAGAGGCGGCCGCGGTGCCAGAGCCGTTCAGGAGGTTGGGTTCGGTGTAGGGGACGAGAACGGAAATGATGAAGGTGCCCATGACATAGAAGAACAACAAGCTAATGATCTGGTCAGATAGCTGCCACGCTAAAACAGAGTTAAGTACTCACCGGAAGAAGACACGCTTGATAGCCTTGGGCACAGTCTTTCGGGGGTTTTCAGCCTCACCGAGGGTGGTGGCAATGATCTCAGTACCGATGAAGGAGAAGGCGGCCTGCACAAAGACATCCCAGAAAGCCAAGAATTGTCCCCATCTGCCCCCAATGACACCGTCACCAATAGAAATCTGGTTGAACGCGCCGGGGTTTCGCCAGTATCGGAAACCGATGGCATCGTGATTCTGTTGTACCGTGAGCTTGTGTAGAGTAGGAAAACGGGATACGATTGCACTTACGGGACCACCGCCGCACATAAGTACGATACCGAGAATGATCAAGCCAACAATGGTAATGACTTTGATAGAGGAGAACCTACAAGAGGGTTAGAGATGATCGCAAGTCCGCGGATATACGTACCAGAATTCAGCCTCGCCATACGCCTTAGCTCCCAGGAAGCTATGAAAAGGGTCAGTTTGTGTCAGTATCGATCGACGAGAACGCACTTGATAGCCCAAATCATGACGAGACAAACAGTGATATAGACGGCGGCATTTGTGTCCGCGTCCCAATAACTGATGACGATAGTCGCGGCAACAATTTCTGTAGGGATAGTAATAGCGTATCTGTAGACCAGCGTAAGTCATGCGCCTGCTTTACAATGGTGAGGACTCACGAGTACCAGTAGTTGAAACCCAAGGCAAAGCCGAGACTCGGGTCGACGAATCTAGCGGCGTAATGCGTAAAAGCTCCAGCCACGGGGAATAAAGCTGGTGACTCATCAGTAAGCATTGGGAAGGGCAACAAATACTCACCGGCCATTTCTCCCAGCGCCACCATCATCGCGTACACCATCGATGACATCAAGATGTATGCCAGCCAAAGACCAACCGGACCACCTGCTCGCGGTCAGTAATGTTCCTAGGATCGTCAATGTCTCGGGAATCAACTTGCCTGTAGCGAGAGCACTTCCGGATCCAACGAAGAGACCGGTACCGATAGCACCTGACGAAAGTATGATCAATACATGATCTCGGGCTTGAGCCAGGGGACGAACCTCCAAGTGCAATCATGGCCATATGTCGCTGTTTCAGTTGTCGGTGAACACCTCCCTCGGCGGGGTGCACAAAGTCTGAGCAGACCATGTCAGCTATATGGCTGTAATGAAAGTAGAAGTGGGACTTACTGCCTTCGCCGGCGTACCCGCCTTGCTCCCCATTAGCAGGAGTGACAATGCTATCGACACCACCATCCTTTTTCGACGTTTCGTACGGCGTTTGTGTTCCGCTGCTGTAGCCTTGCTTCTCTGAAAGCGACATGTCTGTGGCGGATTAAAAGAGATGGAAAGTACAATAAAAGAACAAGTCAAGAAGAGAGGGAGGATGGGCCAAGGACTGTGGAGTATATATAGCCAGGTTGCCGCTACCGCGCTGTGTGCCCCACGGCGAATCAGAGACAAAGTTTGTGGTGCAAACTTATCTTCGCATATGTTATCTGAGCCAATCAGCTGCTTCTGAGGTTATCAGAGCCCACGCGAGCAGACGCAAGCAGAGAGTCGTGCGTCTTCGCATCATTACCGAAGGCAGCAGCAGAATTTTAGAGGAGTGAACCATGTGCGTCCCCCCGCCATTTCCCTGAGCCCTAGATCTCCACCCCGCCTCCCATTGGCGCTCCCCGCCGCGTTCGCTTCAGATATCGTTATCGACTGCAGTATTTTCCGACGAGCCTTTTAGCCTAACGAAGAATGTCTTTCTCTTCCAAAATATATTCCTGCTTCTCCCATAGAGCGCTCAGCGCAGCAGCAAGGTCTCACTCTGCCGCACTTTGCCAAGTTCCTCCGCAACCGTCAAGTTGACATTCGTCATGCAATGACGCGGCGTATCATTTGGTTAACATGGATACCACTCAGCCATGTTGTAAACAAAGAATAGATTTTCAAACGCGTTTGCTTCCGTTCCCTTCCAGTGCTCGCCCCAGCCCTTGCCCCCCTTCGCCTCAAGCCTACACCCCCCTTCAAAAAAATAGCTCTTCCTGCCCGTACCGTTTTCGACCCATGCATGCATAGTCGACTCATGTCGAACTCGACGGAGGTTGGACTCAAGGTTCAAGGAACCACCGCGTTTGCTTCCGTTGCCTTCCAGCGCTCGCCCCAACCTTTCCTCCCTTCACCTGTCGCCTCGACGCACTCCAGAAAACCTAAGCCTTCCACCGCATACCGTTCTTTCCCCATGCATGCATAGTCCACTCATGTCGAACTCGACGAAGACTTGAAATTAAGGTTCAAGGGTCCACCCGTCGCTCATCGCCGCCGCGCTTCATCTTCTTTCTCCGTTGCTCGCTTTCATCCTCGCTCTCTTCGCGCTCTCACACTCTCGCTTTCTCCAAAGAGCAAGACTCTTCGCCAGGAAGCCGCTACTCAGCTGCAGGCCCTACCGTACGCGAAACAACCGCCGTTTCATCAACCATATTCCAGCCCTACGGCCCTCAACGCGACGTTCTCCAGTACTGCCTCGGTCCCCCGAGCATCGTTCCTCTTCTTTTGGCGTTTCTCGCTTTCATCGCTGCTCTTTTCGCGCTCTCTTCGCAACCGATCGTCATCTAGGTGCACCGTATCCAGTTGCAGAGCTCATCATGCAATGATCCCTCTCACCACCCGCTCATCGCCGCCGCGCGTCATTCCTCTTCTGTTGGTGTTGCTCGCTTTCATTGTCGCTCTTTTCGCGCTCTCACACTCTCACTTTCTCGGATTATTCACTCGCTCACCGTTATCTACATGCATACTATCCAGCTGCAGAGCTCCTCATCCGCCACGCATCATTCCTCTTCTTTTGGCGTTTCTCTCTTGCATCGTCGCTCTTTTCGCGCTCTCACTCTCTCACTTTCTCGGCAGAGTTCCTCCCTCACCGTTATCTACATGCACTGTATTCAGCTGCAGAGCTCATCATACAATCATACCTTTCACTCCCCCCACCACGTTCACGCGCGCCCAACAACTTCCGACTTCCGACTCTTCCCGACAACCACTCAACGCCGCTGGGGTCACCACCCGCCTTTCCCTCGCCTCTGGCTCTCGATTTCCTTTCAACATCTCAACTTCCGCCCATCGTTACTATCAAATTGCTCCATCACTCGCTCGCTCCGGTATTTTCCCTCGAAAATGCCAAAATCTGCGCCACCAAAACCCCTTTTGACTACCAAGCCCTACGGCGCACTACGAACGAGGGTCAACAAAGGCGGACGTCCTCCTCAACCATTCCCCACCAACACTGTTGCCCTTCGGTCTCATCATCGACCTCCTTCCCTCATCTACCCGCCCGCGTCCTCTTCATCTGCTATTCTGTTAATCCTCTCAACCCGTTCACCGCCGCATCTCCTCGCCCGCCCGCACCCGATGTACTCTCCACCACCACCCGCTTTCAAGCACCATAAATCTATGCCATTAAACGCCCCATTCACCGCCCCATCTGCCCCCACATCCGATCCTTACACCCACATCCTTCAATTATGGTCCCTTCTGTCCCCAGCACCTGGCTCGAAGCCCAACCTGTACACAGGACAAGAAGGGGGACTCGGCTGCTTTCGTCGATGATCAGCTTATCTTCGTGTCCGCGTCGCCCCCTAAAGATCCTGCAGTCGAATCTTCCTCGGGCCCCACCAAGAAATCCAGAAAGTAGTCGCCTCTGCCTTTGTCTGTTGTACTATATACATCCTTCTCGCCCGTCTGCCAACCTCTGTTGCCTTTACTGTTCATGTTTCCGCCAGACTCACTTCATGTACTTTGCTGCTGCTATCGGCGGTACGTACACGTAATCTGTAATCAGTCTAAAAACTTGCCCGCGAGTTGTCGAGCGGGTCTGATACTTGTATGAATTGAACACAATTTTCAGTATCCTGAAGGCAGATAGATATACATGATGTGACAATCATCATTTATTTATTATAGAATATAGGCAGCAAGTGAACGACATCGCCTCTATGAACGTGGACCCGTCGAGTTCGACGAGTGTCCGCTCCCCCCGTCCACCTGCTCAGGACTCAAACATCGTAAACCGCCCCTGCCCTTGCATACTCGACTGGCTCTGCACATACATCATATCCGACCCCGTCGAGCTTGCTGTGTTCATATGCGGCTGCTGCACATGTGATGGCCCCGGGTGATACCCCGCTCCCATCCCCTGCCCCTGCCCTTGCATCGGCACTTGTCCCATCCCCTGCTGCTTGTCCAGCCACTCGAAAGCATCATTCGGACTCGGTCCCCCCGACCCAGGTTGACTCCCACTCCCACTATTCGACCTTGAGCTGTGTCCCACATAGTTGCGTTTGTGATCCAATATGGCTTGCAGCACTTTCCGCCCTGCCTTGCTTCTCCCTTGCGCCGCCGACCTGTCGAGCTCGATCGCAATCATCCCATCCGGATGCGTCTCTGGGAAAACGGCTTCCCCGCCTAGGGAGGCAAAGCCCGGTATCTCATCTTGCCCCCGGATACCAGGGATCTGGCCTGTGGCGGAATCGACATTGGTGATACCGTTCGGGAATGCGCGGGATGGCCGGCAAAAGAGGGCTGAAAAGTCGGGGCTGGTGACGACCTGACCTAGGACATCTTCCTCGATGTGTTCCATCATTTTTTCGAGCAGGATTAAATGGCGGACGCCCATAGCGAAACGGCTAGAGAGGGAGGTGAATGCCATCCTGTAAAGTGTGAGTGGTTGATCGTTCAGGGGACGTAGGGACTTACTTGAAGACGGATATTTCGCCATGTATGGTGGTCGCTTCTGCGGAATCTCCAGTGTCCAGAGCACGCTGGTAGAACAGCAGCAGAGCCCGGCTGGCGGTGAAAAGATACACTGACAGCAAATCTCAGCATAGTCCCCTGAAGTCAAGAGATACTTACAAGACGTGATAGGGGTCACAGTGAACGAGATATCAGCATTACTGCTGATGACCAGGTAAACGATATCGAGACACGCTCTGGCTTCAGTCAAAACACGAGTCGCCGACACCGAGTTGGGGTCATCGAGGTGTGCAAACGGCTCGTGCAAGTACATGGCCGCCATGCGGGGTATCAGATGCGCGCTCTACTCTGCAATTAGCCACGTTCAGATAAAGCGAGGGTATACGTACGATAAGATCAGCGTCGACACCCTTCGCATAGCCAGTCATATACTGCACGGGTTCCTTCAACGCTTGAGGGAACGACATGCTCAGCATGGCGATATCCCGATCCAACTGCCTGAACTCGGGGCCGTCTCTCAACAGCTCTCGTTCGTCCGGGTCCATGGCACGACAGCGGCGGATGAACTGGCATGTGCGGTGCAGGAGGACGTGGCCCTTAACCAAGAGGACGAAGGAGTCTACTATGGGGTGGCTATGCGGGTGTCAGCTCCATGTAAAGAAAGCGTGAAGGGGCGTACTTGTAGAATAAATCTCGGGAATGGAACGATTGAAAGTTTTCTGGTATGGCACCGCCTCTCTCAAAGTCTGCTTTGGACGCTGGCATCCTTGCACTCTGCCCATAGATCAGTTAACGCTCGGTCAAGCATTGCACATCACTCACCATCTCAGCCGTCGGCAGCGTTCCAGCCCATCCAGAAGAAGCCGACTGCGTGGTATCATATATCATCACGTAATACGCCGCTGCTCTTCTCTCTTCTCTCTCCGCATCCGTCTTTGGCGGGCCCAAGATGGACCGACTGACGGGGGGGGAAAGGTGCTGGGATAGGGGTGTGTGTTCGAGGAGACCGAGGGCGATGACGAGTCTGGTAGCGCCTCCCATGAGGACCCAGCCTTCCATCCATCGCGAGTGCGCTTGACCCCAATGGCCCATTACGATCTGAAGAGTATGAGCGCCGCGCAGAGGACAAAAGGTTGGACTTACCATAGCTTGCAGGATGTCAAAGATTCCCCTCGCGTTCATATGGTTATACTTCATAAACTCCATCGCATACCCCGCATTCCTCTCTGCAAAACACGTCTCCATGCTCAGATCCGTCTCTGCCCCTCTCCCGTTGGCCCGCTTTGCCTCTTCCGTGACAATCTTCATACTATCCGCGACGGAGCGTACAGATACAGCAGCGGTATAGCGGGCTGCGACCGCGCAGATGGCGTGGATGAGGGCACGTTGGGGGAATTCCGAGTGGGTGGGAGGGAGGGAGAGACGGGCAAAGAAGGACTGGCGGTTGATCACTCGGGAGATGGAAGGGACGAATTTAAAGAATACTTCGGCGCTGCGTCAGAGTTAGCGGCAAGCCTTTCATGCTAGCATCAACATACAGATGGTCGACCATGGCTGTCCAGACGTTAGCATGGATCACAATCAGCAGAGACGACGTACAAGGTGTCGGTAGTGTGGGTGGCCATCCAGGCCAGAGCATGTCCAGTACAGCAGGCCCCAGTCTACCCGCCTCGGCATCGGCAGCCGGTGGATCGAGAGACTGCTCAAAGTGGTCCAGTCGGTGCTTTACAGACCCTCGGCCATCGGCAGGCTTCAAGACACTGAAGTGCTGAGGGTCCGGAAAGGACTGGCTGAGGTCGTATGGATTCGCTGGGGCGGTGTTGAGGGACCAGGTGCTGTTTGCGCTGGCAGGGAACGGGGTGGTACCTTGTGCTTCTGACCATAGTGGGGTGGGTCGGTTTGTAGGCAGAGCAGACTCCTTTGCTGCGGTTTGGGGCTGCCCCGGCGAAGTGTTTTCGAGAGCCACGCTCGGAGATTTGGAAGGTGACGACTGCTCGAGGGCTTTCTGTAATTGGACTATGCGGTGTTGGTAGGTTTCCTTGGTAGTCGCCAGACACACTCACCGACTTTGTCCTCGAGCAGTTTGATCTTTTGCTCTGCCTCGCCCTTTGCAGTCCCGGCCTTCCGCTTCGGTGGCCGAGGTGGAATGATTGGCTCTTGCGGCCGGTCGGTGTTGTAGTCTTCATCCCCGTAATGGCACTGCACCCCCTTGGCGTCCCTCTCTGCATCAGGATACGTTCTGGAGAGAAAGTGATAGGAGCGTATGCAGCTCTGGCAGGTGGGCCGAGCCGCGTCGCACTTTACTCGACGCCTGCGGCACTCTTGACAAGCGGCATTGCGTTTGAGCTGGCCCTGGGCGCGATGGAGGGTCTTGCGGGGCGGCTGAGAGGGATCCGAGTCTGAGCCGCTGCCGGGCATGCTGGGGAGATGAAGCTGTGGGTGGTATAAAGATAAAGATACAAATAAATGATAGCGGGGATGACCGGCATCTGCTATGTGGGGTGCCCTCTGGAATGTTTTGACGGTATACTATACACTCTACAGAGGCAGCCATAGACCATATCCCATCCATATCCAGCATATCCAGCCCACCCAGCATGCCCCGCCCCACCCCCATGCCAGACCACCAGTGGCGCGCATGCACTGCCATCCTCGACGCCGTGTACGGGGCGAAAGCAGGCAGGTGAGTAGCCGTCTGCCGACCGTGTACTTGTATCTGCCAGCACATGTCGCCAGCCACGAGCTGTGGCGACTGTACCACGCACGCTGACATTGCTTGCAGCCGAAAGATCAGCAGAATATTCCAGTCGCTACCCGACAAGGACGACTTTCCCGACTACTACGCCGCCATCCCCGAGCCAGAGTGTCTCGACAACATAGCCGTGCGTGATACCCGTTGCGATTGCGTTGCGATGGGGATGAGAGGTGGAAGAGAAAGAAGAGATGGAAATTAATGTGTTTTCAGGCCCAACTCGAATCGCAGGCGTACGCGACTCCTGAACTCTTCTTTAAACAACTCCATCTCGTCTTTCTCAACGCCAAACACTGTCAGTACATCCATCTCCCTCTTTCTCTACCACTCACCCCCCGCAGACAACGAAGAGGGCTCCCAAATCTACGCCGACGCAACCCGTCTTGAAAACCAGATCCACCAAGACTGGGTCTTCGCTGCCAGCTCCCACACCTTCTCCCATACAGATCCCTACCACAGCAGCCCCGTCAAACCCGGCAGGCGACCCAAACGCACATCCGTCACACCCGCCCCCTCCATCCCCCCGGTCCTTCTCCAGACCCTCAGCCCCATCCCCGAACCGTCCCTAGCTGGCTCCTCCCGCTCGCCTGCTTCTGCATCCCTCCCCAAGCCTCCCCAATCTGCTCAACCATCTCCCCGCTCTGCTCTTCCCAGCATGTCCCAACCGCAAACGCTGCAGCAAGCCTATATGGCCACCCCCAATGTCCCCATGGACCCCGCCAAAGCTGCCCAATACGCAGCAGACCAGGCCGTCGTAGCCGCTCGAGACGCTACTCTGCCCAGATGGTCGGGGCCTAAAGAAGTGCTTTCGGGCAACCCGGCGCCTGGGGGCGTGCCGGGGAGTGGATGGTGGGGAGAAGACGCCCCGGATTATGAGAGGACGACTGGGGGGCCGGACCAATGGCCGTTTAGGATACGAGCTGTCGTGGGGGCCATAGAGGGCTACAAGGATGCGAGGTGAGTTTCCCCTGCTTCTAAAAAATCCGACTGACAGAAGCAGCGGCCAACGTCTCGCCGAGATCCTCGACGTCCTCCCCGAAGCGCCCAGCAACCCCTACCTCTCCTACGAATACCCACTCTCTTTTGCCAAGATCGCAGCTACCGCCGATGCTGCCCGGTACCTCACCTTGAAAGATTTCGACATGGACATGGCCCGGCTGTTTGAAAAGGCCAGGAGATGGTACCACGATGGGTCGCCAGAGTACGGCCAGACGCTCGTTTTGCAAAGACTATACAATGCTCTCACAGCGCCGTACCCCATCCCCCTCCCTCCTTCCGGTGTCCCCGCGCCCTCCGTCACCCAATTCGCCTCCATCCCCGCCGGACCAGGCAACGCCCGTTCCCTGCACGAAGCCACCCAAGAAATGCGTGCCGGTGCTTCCGAAGACCAAGTCGGGTACGCCATCACCACCTTCCGTGTCGGCACCAAGGACCGAATTTTCACCGACGAAGCTAGGCATAAGGGTGTCCCGTATAGAGTCGGAGATTATGTGCATCTGATCAATCCGGATGATCCGACGAGACCGATTGTGGGGCAGATTTTCAAGACGTTTGTGCCGACCAAGGGCCAGCAGACGCACCATGTTTCTGTTTGCTGGTACTATCGCCCAGAACAGGTGAGTTTGTGAATTGTCGGGCTTTGCTGATATGTTAGACTGTGCATCAACCGGATACCATGTTTTACGAGCGTGAAGTGTTCAAGACTGGACAGTTCTGTGATCACCCCGTGGAAGATATCCTCGAGAGGATCTCGGTGCAGTTCTATGTCAAGTATATCCGTGGACGTCCTAGAGAAGGAGAATTCTATCCTGGATGGCCTACTTGCAAGTGCGCTTTTACGTCTTATGGCCAAGCTAATGGTATACAGATGTCTGCAATTCGCGATTCAACCACCGAGATTACAACATTGTGCGAATCAAGAACTGGAACAGCTGTATCCCCGAAGTACGCCACCCTGATTCTACCCCGTGTCTTGCTGACAACCCGACAGGAATTACGCCAAACAGACTTCATGTCCATCGTTCCCTTTGATCGCCCTATCGAACTCCGCATGCTCCCATCTCCCTTCAACCTCGGCGTGCGCGGCCCCGGCTTCTTTGGCGACCCCAAAAAGATCCTTGGCGGCGATACCGCAAACGACGACGACGATGATGAAGAAGAAAGGCCGAAACGTGGACGCGGAAGGCCGCCCGCGACGCCGGCTGCTACTAGCTATGGTGGCGGGATTGGCGTCCCAGGCTCGGCGAGGGGGACGCCCGTGCCGCAGACGTATCGTGCGCCGGTGGTCAGCCAGCAGGGTCATGTCCCCGCACCTGCACCTCCTGTCCAAGCACCGCCTCCACCGAAACCGGTGGTGCAGCCGGTAAAGACTTTTGCGGGGTTGTTGGGCGGGCAGCAGATTTTGGATCAGGTGGCGCACAAGGAGACGCTTCCGCAGGAAGTTGGTACGTCACTTTGGATCAATCAGGTTGGTGTGTGATGCTGATGGCCCATGTAGCGAAACTGTTCCCACAAGACGTCCGTGGCAATGTTCTCTGGTTCTCTGGCGCCCCCATTGTCCCCGGCGCAATCTCTATCCCACAACAACAAGCACACTCCCTCGCCTACCTCGAATACCTCACAAGACGGAGACGAGGCGAGGACTGGGTTCCTCCCAAGAAGAGCAGAAAGGTGGAAGAGAATGGCGTCTTTCCGAATGGGCAAGACGCTGGTGGGGATGAGTGGTGGGCTGAAGGGAAGAGTGGGGAGGAGGTGCGGGCTGAGCTGGAGAAAATTGTCAGGGGTTAGATTAGTATATTAGACTGGGTGTATCATGTATGTATGCATTGATAGAGACTGCCGGATGACCGAGGTGCGGTTCAGTCTCAGGGCCCCCTTCGCCTAAATCCCCATCTCGCTCACCATACATGCCCTCCGCACCCCCCGCCATGTCCTTCCCGCCGTACCCGTACCCCACCACCAACACAGAGCTCATCACCACCCACGCCCTCATCAAGCACTTTGAGGGCGGCTACTTTGCCCAGACCGTCGCACTCGAGTCCGCCGTCCCTCCCACCCCCTCCCCCGCCAACCCGCACGTCCCCAAGTCGGCTGTTCTGGGGGGCAGGGAGCAGTATGACTCTGGCCCTGGGGCAGAGCTCATCTCTGGCAAGACCGCCCCCAGGCCCGAAGACGGGCAAGATGTCAAGACTGATGCCACTCAGATCTACTACTTGCTCACACCCGACTCTCACCGTGGCAAGATGCACATGAACCTTCACTCTGTCAGCTCTTTTCTCTTCCAGCGCCGGTGAAGACATACTGACACGTGCAAAGACGTTCCACATCCACCACGCTGGTCGAGCGCTCTACACTCTCATCCGACCCCCTTCTCCGTCCGAGCCCGGCGCTGGGCCCCTCGTCAAGAAGGTCGTGATCGGCCCCAACGTCTGGCGCGGCGAAGTCAAGCAGCTATTTGTCCCCGGCGGCTGGTGGAAAGCCAGCGAGATCCCAGAGGAAGACCTCAAGCTGGTACAAAGCAAAGGCGCAGAAGATGGGGATGTGAAGGAGAGGGTGGGGTGCTTGATCAGTGAAGTTGTTGTGCCGGGGTGGAACCCGGACCAGCATCAGTTTATTGACGAGCAAAAGGTGAGTGTAAAGCTGGAAAGATTGATAGATGGCTAACTAGCGGTGTACAGTTGAAAGCCATGTGGGAAGGCAAGGACGGCTGGGAAGAGTATGTCAAGTATATCCAAGCCCCCGATGGGCTGGAGTATCCTGAGAAGTAATGGCCCATAGAAAGTCCTGTAAATACTACACATGCATGATGACGATCTAACTTGTTCTATTCTATTGACTCTTGCCCTTCGCCAACCAGTCATCAATCTGGGATTGCGGCACATTGTCCAAGCGATGGATGAGATAGTCCACCTGCGTAAAGTCAGCACCGAATCGTTCTCTTCACAATTGACACTCACCTCGACATCCTTGGTCAGAGGGATGACCCAATCCCTGTACATCCCCACAACAGACCCCAGATCAATCTTGCCCCTCAACGCAAACTCTTCATCCGGCACCTCAATCACCTTTCCATCCGCGTCCATCTCACCGCCATACACCCGGGCCTTGTTGGCAAGTCGTACAAGGAGCTTGGCTTCCACGGCGGGCTTGGTGATCAGGCCGGCGAGGGCTTCCGTGTTGGGAGGAGAAGAGAGGATGTGGGGGATAAAGTCGTGCGGGGCAGAAAGGAACTTGCTCTCAGAGACAAACATGCCTGTACTCAGTCAGCTCCTGCCTCCGCATGAAAACATATACGACATATACGACGCACCAAAATGAATCCTCCTGCTCAGCGCCTGCAACACCTCCACATCCCTCGTAGCCGAGCTTCCATAATTCCCATCATCTTCCAACCCGCCTTTGCCCACGGTCACGCCAGGCACAATATGTTTTATGTAAAAGTCGAGAATACGGTTGTTGACATTGACGGAGGGATGCTCGGCTGCGGGGAGGTAGAGCAGGGAGGGGAATTCTTGGGGTTTGAGGATGGGTTTGGGGAGTTTGTCGAGCGGGGTGAAGGCGTGTTCGTCCGGGCTTGGCATGTATCGTCAGTCTTACCCTACATACAGTCATCTTTGAGTTCTCACCTGGTGTATCTCCGCGCTTTGGCTAAAGTAAACACTATCAGCGCATGGTGGGACACGAGGCAGGAGCAGAGCGTACCATGGAAAGACTCTATCTCAAACAAGAACCAGTCAAGCCAACTACCCTCGAAGTTGATCTCATTCTTGAATCCTCCAGGCTCGTAGATCCGCTTATTGTATGCAAACTGCGCTCTCTCTATAAGCACTGTAGTAGCAAAAGTCAGCATGGGCAGTGGGATGGGGGAGGGAGAGGGGACTTGCAGAAGATGATGGTGTCTTCGAGACGGATGAGCTGGCTCCGGATATGGTCCAAAGAGAGGAGCTGGAACGCGTCGGCGCCGGAGGTAAAGTTCATCCTGGCGAGTGGAGGGATATAGCGAGGAAAGAGAGACACAGACGGCGACTCGGTAATTAGAAGAGGAGATAAAGAACATGGTGATGTCATCATATCTTGCAGCGGTTCGTGAAATGTCATTATTTATGTCATGGAACTTTCAGTATCTAGTTTGAACGCTTAAAAGGATAACAGTAGGGACAGGAAGTGCATAAATATCATTGCATATACATATGCCCCATAAGATACTTTTAATCCACTTCACATTCCGGAAGTCGATGACGAACAGCTCCCAAACATCATTCAACTGACCAGTCGCGTTGGGATAATCAAGGGAGTTTCGTATACTCGATCTCTCCCGCATTTATCTGGACCATTTTTAGCACATCTCATTATGAGCTGTAAATCCGTAAATTGTACCAAGTGGACCGCGTTGGGGGCAGGTTTGCCGCCAGGGAGGTAACGAGGATCAATTCCAAGGAAGTTGTGGGGGAATCCCCAGTCAAACGGGTAAGCATTGTTGAGCTTGTCCACTTGGGCTTCAGTCAGCTTAATCTTAAGAGCCTAGTGATTTTCGTTAGTACATCTCAGAGGCACATGGATGTGGACGGACCTCGATGTTTGCCTTGGGATGCTCGATGCTGGAACCTTCAATGAGAGGGAAAACGTCCGCCACCATATGCCTGGACCACGCCAAGGCCACTGTGCTTTCGATCAGCTTGCTCATGAATTTCAGGTCGTGATGGGCGTACCATTAGCGAGCTTGACACCCCCAAGAAGCTCTTCAGCGATCTCCTGCAGCTCCTGAGATACCTTCAACTCGGCTTCGGTAGGTGGCACTCCGCCTCGCCAATTGGCTTGCTTCTTGATCTCTTCGGGAGATTACATTTGCAGGAACCCATAACGCCCCAAGGAGCTACAATGATCATCAGATTCCATCTCGAACAGTTTTAGAGTATGTTGGGGATGACTTACTGACAGACACTCATACCATAAGCCCTGCAAACGGGAATGATTTCCCTTTCGCTATCGCGCGTACGGACATTCCACATTACTTGGTAGATCACAAACTGAGCTAGTAAATGCTGGATCGCATAGTCTTTGGCATGAGCTACGACCCAACCTGATATCTGTGTCAACTACAGTCGTCCTATGCTGGATTGCGATAAAATGTACCTGTGGTATTGAGATACCAAGGTAAAGCACTTTCCTGCTGTTGACAAGCTCGTTGAGGGACTGCATGAGCTCCGGAATGGAAGTGGTGTGATCCCAGTAATGGACGTAGAAGACGTCAATGTAGTTGGTTCGGAGCTTCTTCAGAGAGGCTTCGATCTTCGACAAAGTGTCAGCAGCATACCGAGACAGCTGTCGATAGATGACGTAGAGAAAGATTAAGACTCTTCCTGCTATTTCCGGAGTAATTGATAGCGATGTCTTCGAAGGGACCTTCCTTCCTGGCAAGAGGATAGCTGGTGAACTTGCTATAATTTGAGAGCTGTCAATCGAGATATCGCAAGAAGACGTGCAAGATGACTCACGTAGCAACCACTATCTCATCGCGGATGCCTCTCTTCTCCATCCACTCGCCCAATACCATTTCGGACTGCTCATCTATCGTAACATCAGCATCGACTCGACCTGGCTCATCAAACAATAAACAGGCTCACCCTGATAGTTATTAGCGACATCGATAAAGTTGCCGCCGGCCTCGTAGAACGCGTCCAGGAGCTTGCTACTCTCTTCAAAATCCATACCCTTTCCGCTCCAGCCGGTCCATTGGTTACCTAGGCTTGCGCACTTCAATGTCAAGGGAGAAACTCGGACTGAGCAAGTGTCAGTGCGGTCATTGACGAGAAGAATAAGAGACTTACCAGCAGCAGTCGGCGCAAGAAGTCGTCTGTATCACCCGAGCTCTGTCTTTGCTGCAGGGACCGGGGCGACCAGGTCACCAAGACCTTGAGGAGATAGAATTAGCGCCGAAAGAACATCTAGTCGAGACTCTTCCCGGGTCTGTCATTTTCGGCAGACGGGGTGTACTCTGTGGAAGAGGCGAGCTGTGGACGAATGCGGGTTCCAAGCTATCCCAAGCATCGCTCTGGATCCAAGCCTCCTCTTCTGCCTTCGACCCATCGCACCCGGGAACAACCCCCTAGCCAACCCACTCAGAGTCTGGCTCGTAATAACATTGTTTGTTACCCTGAATCTAGACTTGTCCTTCTCCTCTTTGGAAGGCAAGAAGTTGAGCTTGTCGTGATAGAACGAAGGTCTTTGCCATGTTCATAGGCTTCGTCGAAGTGATGGACGGAAATTCACAAGTTGAGTTGAGAGAACCTGGGCCGACGGTGTATTCGAAGGGGTTCTGGGTGCCGGTCTAATGGCAGGCGTCAACGTCTGTTGAAGTATGCCGAAGATGAACAGCGTACCTGGGCTTGCCAATTTACAGGTGCAGTTTGAAGGCCGTTGCGATCTTTGGCGTAGTGATAAGGACCCTCATTAGAGCAATCCCACTGATGTACGTATGGTTAGCAATGTCAACGGAGAGTGACGTCTCATATTACTCACTGTGATGTCCTCTTTGAAAAATGTGTTGGAGGCATAAGGTGTCCGCTGGGCCTTTCATTAGCATCGGATGTCTGATCATGGAAAGGTCATCTTACCTTATGATGTCTTTGTATCACTTCAACATACTGGAGCTCGCAATCTTCAGAGGGAACCTTGTATTCCTGCTCTCTGACATGAGGCATCTTCATGACCATGTGAGCAAATCAATTCAGCCAAATACCCACGACCTTACAGCACACCCTGGACAACAAGTCAGCGCGTACTCCAGGGTGATCATATTCAGACCCACAATTGTATTATCTAAACTTGTCATCAGGCGTGTGAGAGCTAGTATAGATTCCAGGAGCAGAGGTACCGTTCAAAACCTCGCCCAAGATGGTATTTGATGTGTTGGCTGATTAACGTACCAGGTGGATAGTGTGTCAATGCATTTGCCCCAGCACTCATATAGATGAGGCAGCCGAATAGAGTAGATATGGACATTGCCGCCATTGCAGTTGTTGATCACAGTGAGGAAACAGATGGACCCATCATATCTCCGAGCTCTTTATACGTTCTCGGATATCAAGGCAGTCCTAGCCCACCCCGTATCGCCAGATGAGGAGATTTGGGCATGGTTTGAGAAGACTCGGCTCGTCGGGTGGCCGATATTGATGGTCGAAAATCATAAACGTGTTTGGATTTCGTGCAGTTCTGGGCTCCGCCCTCGCGAGGCAAGAGAGACAAGTCTTAGGATCGGGCGAGACCTATGTTCGAGCTCCTACTGCGATATGTGTCCCGTCAGTACATAGGACAGAGGAATGGTCAGTGGGCGAGCACGAGTCCAGACCTATCATGAAAGTGAGATACAGAAGTCAGCTTGACAGTGACCAAACTCTTGGCGTGTATGCGTCAAGTCCATAACATACGTATCAACGAACCATATATCAAAAAAGAACATACACAGGAATCAAACTGACTGACGGCGAGACAAAACGGAAAAGCCTAAATGATAAAACCACACACAATCATCAACGACCTCGTGATTTCCTCCCTCTGGATTTTCTACCCCCTCAGCACAAACACGTCAACAAAGCATGTCTAACAGCATCCGCCCTTCTTGGCCTGCTGACCCTCTCCCAGGTTCACTCTCCCTCCTTCCTGGGCATTGGCACCGTCTCGCCTGGCATTTTGCTGGGCACCGGCAGCGGGCTTGGGGGCAGAGTCGAAGGGGATTGTTTGGGCTATGCCGACAGTCAGAGCTATTCCACAAAAGTGGATCACAGACGTACCAATTTCGGTGAAGACCTCGTTGACATTCTTTCCCGTCTTTGCACTAGCCTCAAAGAACAACAATCCGCTCTCCTTCGCATACTGTTCAGCCTCGGCAGTGGATACTTGTCGAGCATCTTCCTCTCCACTCGCCGAGGCCTCGGCAGCCTCTTCAGATTCCTCTCCGTCCTCGCCTTCCGCAGGGGATGCGGGAGATGTCGAAGCGGAAACGAGATCAGACTTGTTGCCGACGAGTGCAATGACGATATTGGCGTTTGCTTGCCTTTGAAGCTCCTTGACCCAAGCTTTGGCCTTTTCAAGGGAGCTCTGTGGGATGGTTAGTAGAGACCATGGGAAATGATAATGTGGCGTACAGCCTTTGTAATGTCGTACACCACGACGGCGGCCTGGGCGTTACGGTAGTACATGGGTGCGAGAGAGTGGAAACGTTCTGTTGTCGGGTCAGCTTGGAATCTCTCATACAAGCAGCTGGCTAACCTTGACCGGCGGTATCCCTGTAGGCAGGCATCAGCGCACGCCCTCTAAGAGAACGAGTTCACTCACCAGATCTCAAACTTGACCACTCTGTTTTCCAATCGGCATTCTGCCATAGTGTCAATTTTGCCTCTTCCGAGGGGCAGGAATACTCACTTTGAGTCAAGAAAGCAGCGCCGATGGTGGGAGAGGTGTTTTCGTCAAAGTCGCCCGAGCAGAATCGGAGGACAAGCGACGACTTTCCGACAGCAGCTTCGCCTGCGTATATGTCCCGCCGGTATCATTTTGATGACCCAGTGGTTGATACAAGGGTATATTTCGTTATTCCGACGAGATTGAAACATACAGATGATACGTAGACATGGCGTGGAATGGGAGCGTGAATGGGTGGCGAGAAGTGAAAACAAAACATGCAGCTGTCAGCGCCGTATCTTGACCATATTATATCTGAGCCCGTCCCTCCAATCCGATTGTCCCCTGACCACTGGGAAGTACCGACTGCGATATTCGCGGCATAGGCTCTCCCGTCTTTCCCTCGCCACATGACGCTATCGGCCGCGCCATTCTAGAGCTGGAACGGCTACTCACCGAGCAACACAAGCTTGACCTGGACGGCCTTTACTGGGGCTTCTTCAGACATGATAGGTATTTGGGTAGTTGATTTGGAGCGGGCGTATGTGAAAGAAGGGTCTTTGCTGAAAGGCGAGGATAATGGAGTGGTTCCTCGCTGAGCTGGCGCGGGAGACGGCGCAGTAGTTCGGGTGGAGCGGTGTTGCAGGGGTGGCAGGGGGGCTAGGGGGGCAAGGGGGTGCTGCAGGAGGGAATAGCAGGTATAGAGGAGAACAACAAGAAAGTAAGAGATGCATCGAGAGCCTCGTCACTGGACACCCTGCGACGCTGCGGCGCGGAATCAGATGCAGGCGGGATATGCTTACGTATGCGTCTTGCCGCCATCGACGTCGTCGCGTTCGTACAGCGTTCGTACCATGTGAAGATGCAATGCAGATGTCTGTGCAAGATTGTATCATTCGCGTGCAGGAGTAGGCCAGAAAGAGAAATAAATGCTTGTTCACACTATCCAAAGTAGACGAAATAGAAACTCGGAGTCCAGCAGGCTTTGGAACACTCAGAAGGCGGCACAGTGAAAGTGAAAGTAGAGCTGAAGTCATTACAGTTGCAAGAGAAATCCCTAAGCTAAGCAGCCTTTCCTTCTCCCTTCCATCTTGCACCCCCATCCACAGCTTGTCCAGTGATCCACTGTTTTCCGTTTTTGAACCTCATCTCTCCGGTTTAGACCTTGATAGTCATTGATTGCGCGTGTGATACGCTTAAGCGCCCAAAGCGGGGAACGCGCTGGTGTCGTTGGCGTTGATGGCGGGGGCAGCAGCTCGGCCACCTCGACCACCTCGGGGAGCACCTCGGGTCTGGCCACGCTGGCCGGCGAAAGCACCACGGGGGGCACCTCGTCCTCGGGCAGGTCGGTCGGATCGCTCTCGTCGCTCGCCCCTGTTCTCTCGGTCGTCTCCACGGGGGGGTCGGGAAGGCTGGGCGAATTGGCCGTCAATGGCAATGTGGACCTTCTCCTTCTTGGCCTTAGTCTTGGTCTCGGCGGTCTTGGCCTAGAAATGTGTCAACCAGAGCTTTTGACGTAAAATGACAGACTCACCTTGCCAGAGAAGAAGTCGTTCAAACCTTCCCTAACGAAAGCGGTACCCTCAACTTCGCCAGAGACCTCCCTACCCTGCTTCTTACCGAGGGCAGCGTTACGGGCGTTCTCCTCGGCCTTCTCGGCGAGGTACTCCTCGTAAGACTTGGTGACCTCCTCGGGCTCCTCCTCAGCCTGGGGCTCAGCGGCAGGCTCGTCCTTACCCCAGCCAGACTCGGCAGAGGTCTCCTCGGCGGGAGTCTGGGGAGCGGTCTCCTCAGCCTGGGCGTCCTTCTCACCGGCAACCTCGTCTACGACCAATATCAGCAACCTGTTCGTGTGACCCAAAAATCCAGCTCACCCTTCAACTCGGCAGCGCCAGTGGTAGCACCCCATCCGTGCTCGGTCTTCTTGACAGAGTCGGTGGTACCGGAAGCGTTCTTCCTGTCGAACTGCCTCCTCTCGCCAGCCTGGGCAACGACCTTGCCGCCCTTGTAGTGGCCGGCACCGCCGGAGGAAGTGTGTCCACCGGAGGTCTTGTTCTGCCTGCCACCTCGGGGGCCCTTGGTGTGGGCGTCACGGACGTGGTTGGCCTTCTTGTTGGCGGGGGCTCGCTCGCCGTCGAATCCGCTAGCGGTCTCGGCACCCTCGTTGTCGGCAGCTCGGTTGTCACGGGTGGTGGTGTGGGCAGGGCGGTTGCCGGAGGGTCGGCCACCTCGGGCACCACCTCGAGGGGCAGCGCCGGGGACAGCTCGGGCGGCAGCGGGAGCGGGGGCGTCGGCCTTCTTGGCGGCAGGCTTGGGAGCCTGGGCAGCGGCAGGGGCGTCGTTGTCTTGAAATCGAAAAAGTCAGTCCGAAGTTCCACAAGTCTCCTTCATCCCTCCGTTTCCCCTAATTCTCCCCCTCCCTTCATCCATAATGACCAACACTCACCCCCAAGGAGGTCGAAGATGTTCTTCGACACGAAAGCCATTTTTGCTGGTTGTTAAAACTCCTGCCTACTGGCGGTTTTCTTTGGAGCTACGCAAAAGTCAGCGGGTATGCCCAGTTTTCCCCCAATTCTCCAATTTCCCTTCTGCACCCCCTCCATCGCCCTACACCAGCACACCCCTCTGCTTGCCGCACAGTACTCACCTTGAAATAGGGGGGGGTTTATGCACGAAGTACGTTCTTATGACCTGCTTGAAATCGATGACTCTGAGTCACTACCAAACTCCGCCGGCATTACACAGGTGTGGCACTTTACCCGAGCTGGGATCTGGACGGGGGATTTCGCCTCAATGCATGCATGCATGGTAAGGAGGTGAAGCCAAGTGTTCATGACAAACCGAGGCATGCAAAGAGAGGCATCGCTGGACGTTGTCGAGCATACACGACGGCTGAACCTCGATTTCGGACCTGAGGCGCGGCGACGACCTGGTCGCTGGGCTGGCTGACGAGAAGCGTCGAGAACACGAGGGTAACCCGGGATGCAACTGATGCATCATGCCAACGCAACAGCGTCTGATATACAATACATACAGTACCCACGTATGCCCCTTATGCCAAGAAGAGTAAATCTAACATGATATTACACTTGCGTTGACTGATCAATAGCCCCTTTCGTATCCGCCATTGCTCCCCCTGTAATCTCCTCCCTGGGCCCATGCCCTGATAGCACTGTCGTTATACCCTCCGCCATACCCTTGCGGGGCTTGCGGAGCTTGCGGGGCTTGCGGAGCTTGCGGAGCTTGTGGGGGCGGAACCCCTGGCCCAAGAGAAGCCTGCCTGCCAGGGTAGGCCGGTTGTTGAGTATACTGCTGCCCATACTGGCCATACTCTTGACTATACTGTTGTCCATGACCTCCGTACCCTCCCCCATGATTCCGTTCGGAGTTGTATACCCCTAAGCTTTGTTGGCTTTGGTGGAACTGTCCCGCACTGTCTTGAGATGACGCGCCATGTCCATATGACCCAGACTCGGGGTACGACATGCTATCCCGCGAGTGATGGCTCTCACGATGAACAAGGGAGGAGGGGCGTTGTTGGAGCGGGGGGTGGCCAGCGTATGATGCCGCGTTGGAGGATCCAATAAAGCCTGAAGGGTTGGCGTTCTGGTACATCCCATGGGCGTTGTGCGCTTGGTCCACCGAGTGGGTAATCCGAACAGAGGGAGGACGGGCTTGCTGCGTTGGGTCAGTATAATCCACATAGCAGATAGAAGGAACGAACCCTGATTTGTGGAGTGACATGTGATGTGAGAGGTGGCGGTGGGAGGTAGTTGGAGTCGTGCGTATTGAAAGGGTTCATGAGGGGATTGTTGAGTAGCAATGTCGGGCTCAGTTCGTAGCTGAGAGGTCAGTATGATATATATCGATAGCCGAACCACTTACACAACCTGTCCGATGGGCTGACCACCCTTACCCGACTTTTGGTCGGAAGCCCGACAAGCGATATGTATTTGAGGCTCTTGAATCTTTGTCTCGTCCCCATAACCGCTACAAGAACGTCAGCGCATGTAGAATCGAGACTGTGATACCTACTATTTATCCGGCTTCAACATTGGCGCATTCCTCTGGCCTCCAGAACCGCTATGCTCATGTCAGCTTTGTCGAAACCTGGATAATTGGCGGTACGCACTCCCACGTCAATCTCATATCACTGCCGGTATAGATCTGTAACAGCTTGCCAGTATTGACATGTCTGACCTCGATGAATGGCGCCGAAATGAGCAAGATGTATGGAGGGTGGAAGGCGACACTGTCGTGTTTGCCCTCCCATTCGATAGCTCGGTAGTCTCGGTTCGGCTCGCCATATCTGAAATGCTTGTCAATATATGTACAGGTAAATAACACAAGACTCACCGGTAGATGAAGACGCCGAAAGTGTCGTAGCATAGCAGGAACTCTGTCTCGGTAGACCTAAACATTCCCATCGGCCTTCCCTTTGAGCATCTGCTTTCCAGCTCCGCCAAAGCGGGCTTCTCCTTAACTTTGGCGGCGTCAAACATCGGGATAGGTCCTCCTTTGAGGCTAGATAAAATTGTCAGCAACGCACACCCTGCATGTGCACTCGACTCACTTTCCGAGATCCATAATCTCAAAGCCCTTTGAACAGACAATGGCAAGCTGTTTCTTGAGAAAATGCACCCCATATGTCTCGGCCGGAAGGTAGAACATCTTGTATGATCTGAACCAATCCGACTTGGCCGACAATGAGAACCCGAAAGGCCGTCTTTGCCTCGCCGCGTCTTCGACAGTTTCCTTGGCTACCGGCTCCATGACCTTGAACACTGTCTGAGTAGCTTCAATCTTCATCATGACAACCAACATCCTCGTGGTGTTGGTAGACTCGTCCGCCATCTTGCCGACCACGAAGGAAGATATCTCCTCTTTGGGCCCAGAGATCCGTTCCGTAGTGGACTTGACAGGTTTTTGGCCGGCGCTGGGTACCAAGGCCTCTAGCTGGTAGGCTACGACTGCCTTGTCGGATAAGACCAGGAAGACATGGAAGTCTTCGAGGACCGCAATGTTGGTGACGGCTTTGACGTGCAACACTTTTCGGAGAGATCGAGCATCGCCACGGAGTCCAATCCACACGCCATCCTGGCATCCGACTGCTGTGAGTCGACGGCCATCTTGGGTAGCTGAGCAGAGCATGAGCTGAGCATCTGACTTGAGAGCATTGGGACCTACTGAAAGGACAACTGCAGGTCACTCGTCCGGTGAACTCTTTCTCCTTGTCTTTATGCAGGGCATAGCTCGGGGGCATATAGAAGGTGTCCACACTCAAAGGATTCATTTCAAAGACCTGGTAGGACGTGAGTATCCTCCCACGCCGCTCCGCGTCAGACATACCTTGCCAGCATCGTCCACCTCATTCCTCAATACCTTGGCATGTTGCAGCTTTTCTTGCCACTCTTGACGAGCAGCGTAAGAGTCTGTCCAGAGGGTGTAAGATCCGCCGAGCCGTTCTTGTCCGCCAATAAACGAGATGCTGAACGGGTAAAGCTTGGAAGTGTCTGTCCCAGAGCCATCGGCAGAGGCGTCGTTATGAGAGGCACCGCCGACACCGAATAGCCGGCCAGCCATACGTTGTGTACGGGGTGGGTCACCGAAAGATCCAAGCGAAAGCAGTTCAAGAGGAATTGGCTATATACCCATCAGCATCGGCAGGAGTGAGCCAGAGACAAGCTTACGCGACGGTTGACAATAGACCTGACCTGGCGCTGGTCCTTCTTGGATGACCTAGACGCTCTCGATTGTCTCTCCTCTTTGGTGATTACCACTACAACAATTTTAGTCACGATCACTGGAATCCCGAGAAACTCACGGTAATGATCAAACAGAAGCACACTCAGCTCTGTCCATCCACTGGTGATACTGCCTTCTGGCTGCCTATACACCTTCCCCTTGTGTATCAGCTCCCTCATGGGATTGACCAGATCCAAATCATCGACCATCTTGCGCCCGAACCTGCCCCCATCAAGAGTCTTCTGGAAGCCCCATAGCTCGACTTTTGCTTCGTTGACAGCTACACCTTTCTGAGTGGCTTTACCGAGATCGGCGATGACTTCCATTACTTGCGGGATCTGGTCAATGTCCGAGTCATCTGCAGGTTTGGTCTCTTTGAGGCATTTGAGAATGTCGGCCAATAGGAGGTTGTATCGGAGAAGACGGGGAATAGGACGATTGATAAAATGATAGACATCTTGTCTATTTGAAGCTGGGTCCTTGAGGCATGTCTAAAAAATGTCAGCTCTTGTAACTCTGATTGAGGAATGGCGTACTTTGAGGAAAGCAGCAAACATTGGATTCTTGTGTTCTTCTTCCTGAACCTTGGCTTTGGCAATAGGGTAGTGCGTGACATACTCCATGTACGCCTCCTGCCAGTTCAGAGCGGCGTCAAAGACCAAATCCGAAATCATCCCCACATTCGGGTGCTGCTCTAATTGTCGCTGTTGCAGGTTGTGCAGCAGACGAGAGTGCACTTCAAGCAATGATCGGTAGTTGTGGAATGCCTCGTCAAGGAAGACATCCAACCTGTTTCGGTCAATGACCGCCGGCTCCGCTGTTCTCAAGCCATCGACAAAGAGCTAGAACATGATCAGTCAACGCATACTTCTCAAGAGCCGATACTCACCGTCTCAATGGCTTCCAGATCGGCAACGTACTCCATCTCACCCTGCACCAACTCCCATATATGCATCTGCCTCTTCTGCTCTTTCTTTGGTATTTCCGCTCGCGCCTCTTCTCCGACCAGATCGAACCACATAATCTTGGCCGCAGGCCCACGTCCTTTACTGGCGTGGAACAATTTGAGCTGAGAGAGGGACATGATGGATTGGATAGACTGCAGGGCCTGGGAGAGAAAGTCATAATCGGCATCCGCGGGGTTTGTGACATTGAGGATACCTTCGAGGAGGGCGGGGTAGCGTTGTAGTTGTGAGGAAGGGCGAGTGAGGAGGTGTTTGAGGTCGCGTCTACGGTCATTCTCTCGGACGACTTGCTACAAGACTGTCAGTAGAACCCCCGCCTATCATAGAATGCTTACATCAATGTACAACCGAAGCTCCGGATTTTCCTCCAACTCTTTACTCAGTGCAGCTTCCGCCTGCGGCAGCTTGCCCGTATACTCTGGGTATATATTTCTAAACTCGGTCGCCGCTTGCAAAAACAAGTCTCCCACAAACCGAATCACAGGCTGTTCCCGCACCCTAATCGTAAACTCTTCGATCAACGCCGCACTAGCCTCTCTCAGCTGACCAGCATTGTGAAAGACATCTTGTATAAAGTTCTCCCGGTCCCTGGGATCTTTGATGATCGGAGGCTCTGCCGTACGCAGGTGATTGACGTAGAGGGTCTCCATAGCCGCCAAATCCGCCTGATAGGCTACCTCGGAAGCAAGAGCTTGGCGAATTACATCCTGCCGAGTGATCTCTTGTGGGCTCAGCCCATGCAGTGTGATGGGATCTAGATCCTCTTTCCAACCCACTCCCCGTATACTACTGGCAGGTGTTGGGAGAGGTGTCGTGTCTTTGCGAGGAAGGAACGCGTTAGGTCCAGTCCTGTACGGACAGCGGGGAGCATAACAGCGCCCGTCTCCAGAACATGACGGGGCATAGCATCTCGTCGCCATCGTCATCAACCCCTTTGGCAACTCTGTGGTGAGCGCATCACCTCCAGATCCCATCCCTTCCATCTCGCCCATGAATCTAAAGACATCATCGGGAGAGTCTCGCAAAGGTTTGATGTCCCAGTCGACCTCGACAAACCAGAGCTGATTTTGGAGACTTTGGGCAAGAGTGAGGGCGAATCGCCTGTCGTTGGGTCCTTCCCTGGTATGTGAGGGGAGCATGCTTTGGATCGCAGTGACGATATCTTTGCCTGTAAAACTACCAACCCAGGCAATGCCGGACTTGATATGTCTCCGTCGCTCGACCCGATCCCTCAGCTGCAAAGCCATCTCGCTCAGGAAAGCAGGCTGGAAGAACCGCCCCTCGTCCACATCTTCCTCTCCCTCCTCTTCCCCCTCTTCCCACTCGTCCTCTTCCCAACCGCCACTGGGACCTTCCTCAAATCCATCGTCAAACGAATGGCCCGAATTCCGATGAGATGCGTGGATCTGCAGCTTGCGCTCGACCCAATGTGAGGGAGGCTGTGTTTGCTGGGTCCATGAGGGAGAAAGGGGGAATTGGGATTGTTGAGATCGGGCAGAAGTGATAGAAGGGTGGAGGGAGGATGTAGAAGAGGATTGGCGATGGGGAGGGTCTGGAACATGACGGACTGAGGGGCTGCTCAAGGAAGGTCCCGAGTCAGGCGTCTCGACGTGCTTCAAGCTATCTTGTTGCCAGAGCTCATTCATGGCCTGGCTGGCGTTGCCCGGGGTTGCCACAGAGGAGCGCACCGAGCTCGCATCGTCATTCCTTGGTGTCAAGGGACCATATATACTGTCATCACCCGCCTTCATTGTGACAGCACTGGCAGCTCTATCTCGCCCACCAGAAGGTTGCTGAAAGTAGTCGGACTCCCAATCGCGCTGGGTAGGCGTCCCAGGGCCGCTGTTAGGATCTTTAGCAGCTGAAGGCGCTTGTAGAGTCCCTTCTCCGCTTGGTATATTGAACTTCTCTAGTATAGGAAGCCACTCTTTGTCAGCATTGTCTATCGAGACCTTTGGCAGAGGTGGCTTGGCTGCAGTATGGCTGGAGACGGAAGACGGCAGGGTTCCAGCATCGCGACTATAGTCCGAGGGAGCATACTCGGACGTATAGATAGAGCTGCGCTCGGATTCCGGACGGTAGCTCTGACCAGTCGACATGGACGACGAGGAACCCCCGGATCGCAATGCCGCAGCTCTGTCAGGCTGAACAGGCAAATGAGGCTTGGCCCGAGTATCCATGTACGTATGATCTGAGGGAGGTCGTGGGGGAGGAGGTGGCGGTGGTCCGCTCGGTGGTGTAGGCAGCGCACGACTTCGCGGCGCTTCATCGCTTCTCGACACTACGCCGTTGGAAACCGCGGGAGGGGTAGGCAAAGCTCTCCGCCCCGACACAATTCGCGGCGCCTCGGTGTCGCCTTGGGGACGGTTTGGATAGCGGTTGGGGGCCAGGCTTGACTTTGAAGGCGAAGGTTGGGGTAGAGGGCGTCTCGAGGTCGAGCCGTAGAGGCCGTTTGTGCCGTTGACAGATGCGAACTCTGAGAGCTGGCTCGGGGCGGGGCTCGGGATGCGGGGGAGAGGCTGAGCAGCGCCGGGGGGGAGGGGCAGGGAGCGGGGAGAGTCGTCGCCCATCTTGCAAGAGGGTTGTGTTGACGTGAAGCAGAGAGACGAGATGTTGACGTGAAGGAGACTCACTGCGGACATCGGCGCTCGGGTACCGTCTGTCCGGACGTGGACGTGTGCTCCAAAAGCCAAAACAATCCGTTTGGAAGAGTGTCCCACGTTCACATGCATAGCAGAATGCATGGCCCGTATCTATTGCTTCGTAAAGCCCCCGTATCTAAGTACAACTGCTGCTCCTGAGGTATGATATAATATGAGAATGGAAATGAAACTATGCCTATACTCCCCCGCCTTCTAGACAGACGCCTTAGTAAGCCCTCTCCTCACCAACAAACTCCCTCCAAGACCTGACTTCTGGGGGATTGGTACCCTCAACGTAAGGCAAGGGTGATTGGTGGAACTTTTGTTTGAGAGTCTCGGTGAAGAGCACGGCGAGCTTGGCGTTGTTGATAAGCTAAACAAGGTGTTAGCAGGGACCAAACAAGACATCAAGAGACTTACGGGAATGCCAAAGTCGACAGCGGCCCTCCTGGAGGCGTAGTCCTCGTCGGCGGTGGTAGCAGCCCTAGACCTGGAAACGTTGATCACACAAGAGATCTCGTTTTCCTCCAACACCTCCCTCAACTTTCTCTTGTCCTTGACAGGGACAAAGATCTTCTTGATCGCCAAGTACGGTTGTTGGTTGATGAACTCCTCGACCCTGGGGTCGTAAGTGTACAGCTTGAAGCCCAAGCTGATCAAGTTGTTGGCAATGGAAGGAAGCTCGGCTCGGGTAATGTCACCACCGAGCAAAATACCGGAATTGACTTTGGGGAGCTTGAAGCCGTTGACGGAGAGGAGCGCGGCCCAGTAGGCTTCGTATACGTCCTTACCGAAGGAGGCGACCTCACCAGTGGAGGCCATCTCGACACCGAGGAAGGGGTCGGCACCGGGCAATCGGGTCCAGGAGAACTGGGGCACCTTGATGGCGACATAGTCTCGCTGCTCCTTCATCAAGTCGATGGGCTCGGGGACGTTGGTGCCGCTGTTCTCATTAGCACGATCAAATCATCGATAAAAGCGACTTACGTGATGGCAGCAGCGGCAACATCGATAAAGTTCTTACCGAGAACCTTGGAGACGAAGGGGAAACTCCTACTCGCTCGGAGGTTACACTCGATAACCTTCAACTCGGCCTCTTGACCATTCTCCTCGGGCTTCCTGATGATCTGCATGTTGTAAGGACCGGAAATGTCGAAAGCCTTGGCGACCTTTTCGGCAATCTCCTTGAGCCTCTCCATGTCCCTCTCCTTGAGGGAGAAGGGAGGGAGGACGAGGGTGGCATCACCAGAGTGGACACCAGCGTTCTCGACGTGCTCGGAAACGGCGTGGACGAGGAGCTTGCCCTGGTGGGCAACAGCGTCAATGTCGATTTCCTGGGCATTGTCGATGAACTGGGAGATGACGACCGGGTGGAGAGGAGAGACGTCAGCGGCGGCAGTGAGCTTGGCCTCGAGCTCTCCCTCGTCCCAGACGACGTTCATGGCAGCACCAGACAGGACGTAAGAGGGTCGGATAAGGACGGGGTAGTTGACCTGGGCGGCAAAGTCCTTGGCGGCCTGGAGGGAGGTAGCCTCAGTCCAAGCGGGCTGGTCGACACCGATAGAGTCGAGGATGGAAGAGAACTTGTGTCGGTCCTCGGCATTGTCAATCTGCTCGGGGTCGGTACCGAGAACGTTGACGCCAGACTTTTTGAGTCGGAGGGCAATGTTCTGGGGAAGCTGACCACCGACAGAGACGACGACACCTTCGGCGCCCTCAAGCTCGTAAATGTCCATGACTCGCTCCCATCCGAGCTCTTCAAAGTAGAGCCTGTCGGCCTCGTCAAAGTCGGTAGACACAGTCTCGGGGTTGTAGTTGATCATGATGGTCTTCTTGCCCTGAGATCGGATAGCTCGAGAGCAGGTGACGGCACACCAGTCAAACTCGACGGAAGAACCGATTCGGTAGACACCGGAACCGAGGACCATAGTGCCATTCTCCTCAAACTCGAGGTCGTGGGTAGAGGCATTGTAGGTGGTGTAGAGGTAGTTGGTGTAGGCGGGGAACTCGGCAGCAAGAGTGTCGATTCGCTTGACAAAGGGAGTCACGCCAGCGGCCTTTCGGGCAGCTCGCACCTCGTCCTCCTTGACATTAACCAACTGGGAGATGTGCAAGTCACTGAAACCAGTCTTCTTGGCAGTGGTGAAAAGGTCCTTATCAATCTTCTCAAAGGGAGTGTTTTGGAGAGTCTTGTAGACGTTGGAAATGTTTTCAAGCTTGTACAGGTACCACTTGTCAATCTTGGTGAGGTCGTGAAGCTTGTCCACAGAGTAGTCGAGGTTGAGCATCGCGTGAGCAATGGCAAACAGTCGTCGGTCATTGTTCTCCGTCAAGGCAGTAGTCATGTCCTCGGGCTTCCAGTAGGCGTCGAACCCACAGAAGTTGGGGTCGACCTGCCTGATAGCCTTTTGGAGCGACTCTTCAAAGGTCCTACCGATAGCCATGACTTCACCGACCGATTTCATCGCAGAGCCGACGTTCCTCTCGACGTGCTGGAACTTGGCCAAGTCCCACTTGGGAATCTTGGTGACAATGTAGTCGAGGGAAGGCTCAAAGCACGCGGTGGTGGACTTTGTGACGGCGTTGGGGAGTTCAGGGAGGGTGTGGCCAAGGGCAATCTTGGCGGCAGTGTAGGCAAGGGGGTAACCGGTAGCCTTGGAAGCAAGGGCAGAGGATCGAGAGAGACGGGCATTCATCTCGATAACCCTGTAGTCTTTGCTGTTGGGGTCCAAGGCGTACTGGACGTTGCATTCACCGACGACACCGACGTGTCGGACGATCTTGATGGCGGCAGATCGGAGCATGTGGTACTCGTCGTCGGAGAGAGTTTGGGAGGGGGCAACGACGATAGAGTCACCAGTGTGCGTACCGAGGGGGTCAAAGTTTTCCATGTTGCAGCAAATGATGGTGTTCTGCGCGCGTCAGCAATGTCTAAAAGGTCAGGAGGAAAACTCACGTCGGCAGCATCACGGACGACCTCGTACTCGACCTCCTTCCAGCCCTTCAAGGACTTTTCAATCAACACTTGGGGTGAGAGCGAAAGCGACTTGGACGCCAAGTTTTCCAGCTCTTCAGCATTATGCGCGAAACCGGATCCCAAACCACCAAGCGAGAACGCCGATCGGAGGATGATGGGGTAGCCAATCTCGGCAGCCGCATCCAACGCGGCCTGGACGGTCGACACGGCGGTCGATTGAGCAGCGGGGATATCGATTTCGTTCAAGGCCTGGACAAACAAGTCTCGGTCTTCAGAGACCTCCAAAGTCCTGATAGGCGTACCGAGCACCTTAACGCCCAATCGCTCAAGGACACCCATCTTTTCGAGCTGCACACCGACGTTCAAGGCGGACTGGCCACCAAAGGTCAGGAGGATACCGTCTGGGCGCTCCTTTTCGAGCACGTACGCGACATAGTCGGGCGTGACGGGGAGGAAATAGATTTCAGAGGCAAGGTGGTGTGATGTTTGGATGGTAGCAATGTTGGGGTTGATGAGGATAGTCTCGATATTTGACTCTCGGAGAGCCTTGATAGCCTGGGATCCTGATTATAACGTCAACCAAGCTCAATTGCTCCTTGAAAGGACTCACCAGAGTAGTCAAATTCTCCAGCCTGGCCGATGGAGAGACCACCACTGCCAACAACCAAAACCTTCTTCACATCAGGCTTCTCGAGCTTTGGCAGAACCTGGGAAGAGATCTTCCTGGCGAGCTCGGAGGGAGAGTTGAGAGTGGGCTCGCCGTCTACCTGGGAGTAAGAGCCGACTGCTGGGGCAGCGACGGCATAGTTCCTGATTAGGGATGTGCGGGGGAGAGGGGCGAAGGCTCGGGGGCGGAGGGCAGCACGGGCACGGGGGAGGGTTCGGAGCATGGCTGTGGTGGGAAGGGCTGGGGATGCCCGCGAGAGGATTGATAGCAAAGTGGTAGAGAAAGTCAAGATGCGACTCAATTTCGGTCGGTCAAGCGAAGAAAAAACCATGCCACGTGGGAGTGATAATAGATTAAGGCACGGTGGAGAGGCCCGCTTGTGGCTGTAGGCTCGCCTAGGGGTTGGCTAGGCATGCATGGGGGGTACCTATACGTGTATACTTGCAGAGTGTGGTTCGGGACAGCTGTACAGACTACAGACAGGCCTTGAAAGAGAGCTCAGATGAGGCACGCGGCGCGTCGTTCCAACGTTATCATTTCCTGCCGCAGATAACGATTGCGCGTGCGCTTGCGGCTACGATGCGAGGTGATCTCACGTAAAGTATGTGATTTATCGCTCTCTCGGGGCTCCAATTGGTTTCAAAGCGTTGGATCTGTTGAACGATGTATCATTCAGAGATCTGCCACATGGTACATAGAGGTGTTGTTGCAACAATTGACTTATGGACGGACGATAGGCTGTACCACGGCTAGACCGCTACGCGGCAATGGGCTACACGATTCATATATCTCGCTACAAATATTATTAAAAATTACTGCTTGTACTTCTAATTCCTTTTTCGTCCTTTTAGAGAGCCCTCTTGGCAGCGCCCTTCACAACATCCTCGCCAGTGCTCCCGACACCACCGGTGAGTTCACGTCGGTGCACATACTTACCGGTAGCAGCGTCCCACACGAGAGAGTGGGGACCGCCAGTGTCGAGAGATTTGGGGTCGGAGATGGGCTCTACGGTGGAATCAGTATGATGATGGGGAGGAGAGAGGGGGGCTTACGACCAATGCTGGGGTTGTGGGTGCCTCGGCCGTACTTGCCAGCTCCGCTTCCTGAAGATCCAGTGAGGGAAGCGGCTCCAGCTCCAGCTCCAGCTCCGGCGCCAACACCAGCACCAGTAGCGCCAACGCCAGTTCCAGCTCCGTGGCCTGCAAGCGTACCCGCACCGGCTCCTCCAGCAGCACCGGCTCCAGCACCAAGGGCAGCGCCCTTACCAAGCCCAGAGTGAGAGCCAGAAGTGGTAGAACCGGGGACGCCGCCAGCGTTAGAGCTAGTGGTAGAAGCGTATTGTCCGGTGGATCCGCTGTTGGGACCGACACCCGCGCCAGAGCCGTAAGCACCAGACTGAGAGGTAGGGTCGGAGCCATAGGCGGCACCAGAAGTGGGTCCCGACTTGGAAGAACCGTACTTGTCGCCTGCAAGAGCGCCGGCCCCACCCGCAGCTCCACCAGCAGTTCCGGCAAGAGCAGCATCACGGGCACCGTGAGAGCCAGAAGTGGTCTGACCGCTGGGGTAGCCTCCGGGGACGCCGGCAGAAGTGGACGAAGAGTAGCCCGCGCCAGTGGTGTGCGCGCCGCCTAACATCACGTCAGCCCGCCATCCTTCAACTGCGCATGTTTTTTCACAACTCACTTTGTCCGGTAAGGCCATCGCTAGCACCGCTGCCAGCATACTGGCCGTCGACAGCTTTTCCGCTGCCTACGCCCGCACCTCGAGTACCCGAGGTTCCATGGGAACCATAACTGTCGAGAGCGTTTTCAAGCTTATCGGCGGTGGTAGACGCTCCGGTGGTACCTGTGGTGTTGTTGCCAAACTTGTCGGCGATGGGAGTGCCAGTGGGGATACCTATGGATGTGTGAGAAAGAAAATTACAAAGAGGATGAGAGACATACCGCCAGAAGCGTGCCCGCCGCCGACGCCGTGGTTGAAGCCAGCCTTCTCGTGCTGGACGTATTCGCTAGCGTTGTGAGTTCCGATGGGGGCTCCGAGGTCGACCATTGTGTGTGTTTGTGTGTGTGATGGATGGGGGATGTAAGTTGAATGTGAAGTTGGAAAGTGGCAGGGGATAAGCGGGAGATGGGTTATATACATAGCCGCCATTCGGGTTGCTTCCTACGTCATCGTGTCTGTGCGTCATTCGCCGTCATCCTTTTGGTGCGTTCCTGAGAATCATTGTTGACAGAATGGGCAATGCTTCCGTCAGCTATCTTAAATTCTTAATGCACTGGTCCCGTTCGCAGCCGCAGTGCATCGACGCTGACTGCTCTATGGCTAAGGAGAGGCGCGGTGAAGCTGTTGGCGAGGGAGGGCGCTTTGGAATGGCATACTGGATGTTTGGATGAAGCGCTGAGACGGAAGAGGCCACAACAAGTAATAAGAAGAAGAGGATTCAGGAGGGGCTGTCAGCAGTCCTACACCGATGGAAAAAGTAGCAAGAGCTTATTATGAACCACGCAACCAGCGAAACGTCCGACTCCTTTCTGCGCACCTGTCGAGCCTGCTTCCGTATCGCGCAGAACTGCATGGTGTGCGGTATCTTGGGGTTTTCCACTACCTCGTGAGGCTCCAAGTTGCTGGAGGTGTGAGGTCTATGCTCGCTGAGGCTCGTCTCATGTTTCTTCAAAGAGTAGAAAGCCCAATTGACCTTCAGAGCTTCACCGTGCATCCTCTCTGCGAGCCCCTTTACACTACGAGATAACGATTCCTCTCTCAGTATTTATGTATTTGGGAACGAACTCGCCTCCTTTATACGCTAAACAGGGACTTGTGGTTGTCTTGTGATGGGAAGAATGTCTGCCGGTGCGTCGGTGTCATGGTTAAAGGAGTCATCTGTGTAATTCGTTCATTCAATAGATTAGTTGTGTGTTGTGGTCCGTGCTCTCCATTGTTACACGTATCAGAGTCTTTTTCATAGTTTCTTCTTCTTCATATGCGACAATAACGAATTACACAGATGACTCCTTTAACCATGACAGTCGGTCAGAGAGGGTGCTGACGGGAACGTTCGTTGAACCGTTTCGCGAATTCCTGGAGCTTTCCGAGGGGTGAATATCTCTACGCTTGATGGCGGAGGATAAGGAGCCGGTCATTGTGGATATATGTATATGTTACAAGACGAAGGATTGCTGCATGCCCTCCCGTGCACTCAGCTCACCACCGACAACAGGCCGCATAACAAATATCGTGATGTCACGAGATCTATAACCTCTAACCCCCGCAGAGCCTGCTTGTGCTCTCCCAATCTTGACTACCCCTCCACCGCCGGCTCTCTCTCGCCCACCTTCTTTTTCATTTTCTACAAAATGGCGTCCACAGCAACCCCTCCACCGGCGTCCTCCCAAGAGTACACTTCCGACTCGGCCCAGGGCCAACCAGCAGAGATGAGCGTGATTCTGTGTACCGCCGGGTGTAGGTCATCACTCCTATCTTTTACGCGCCTCTTTTATACGAGGCGAGAAGAGGTTGCACTGTAGATGACCTTCAGCTGATGATATATTCATAGACGACCATACGATACGATTTTGGGAAGCATGGAGTGGTATCTGCTGTCGCCAGATCACACTGCAACCAGGCTGGGCAAGTCTCAACTCCTCAGAATCACTGTTGTTTGATTGCTGACAGGAGGCGTACAGAAACAAGTCAATAGGCTGGCTATCAGCCCCAACAAGGCGTTCGTTGCTGCTGCAGGAAACAACACGGTTCGGTACGTCGCTTGACTATTGATCAAGTACCAAGCTGATATTTGGGAAGCATTTGGGATATCTCATCCATGTCAAACACTCCTGTATGTATCCCCGAGCAATTCCAAGACCAAGTGACTCATGTGATATGTAGATAGCAAGCTTGGAAGGACACAGCGGTAACGTCGTTGCGCTCGCCTATAGCGCTCTAGGGAAATGGATCGTGACTGGCGGTGAAGACGGATGTGTCAAAGTATGGGATACCCGGTAAACTACCTCTCCCCTGTATAGTAATGCTTGTGACTGACAAGAGAGGTAGGACGGCGCAAACGCAAAGAATGTACACGCACGACTGCCCAGTGAACGACGTTGTGATACACCCGAACCAGGGAGAACTTATAAGTTGTGATCAGTCGGGAAGTGTCAAGATCTGGGATTTGGCAGAGAATAGCTGTACACACGAGCTTGTGAGTATATCTCATTTCAAAAAAGCAAGGCTGATGGCGATAGGTTCCGGACGAGGATGTTCCTATAAGAACAGTCTGTATATCATCGGATGGGAATACCCTGGTAGCCGCCAACGACAATGCAAGTCTCTCTCCTCACTCTAGTTTCATTAGCTAACCATCTCTCAGGGCATGGTTTACGTCTGGCGCATCATTCCCGTCCCCAATGCCAACGCCAACCTCATCCCCGTAACCTCGTTCCGCGCCCACACCAAGTACATTACCCGCTGCATCTTATCCCCCGACACCAAATATCTCGCCACCTGCTCCGCCGACCATACCGTCAAAGTTTGGTCCACCGCGGGGATCGATTATACATTGGAAAAGACGTTGGTGGGGCATCAGAGATGGGTTTGGGATGCTGCTTTTAGTGCGGATAGTGCTTATTTGGTCACTGGTGAGTCTGTCTCCTGGTTCAGAGATATGAGCTGATGGGAGGTAGCGTCGAGCGATCATGCTGCGAGGTTGTGGGATTTGAGCTTGGGAGAGACTGTGCGGCAGTACGATGGACATCACAGGTATGGACCATTCATCGCTTGCCGTTTGTGACTGACAATCCACAGAGCGGCAGTCTGTTGTGCCCTGAATGATATCAACCTCGCCTAGTGTAGCGAGTCTTATTTGTTTGTATTCACCTCTTGGGATAGACGCGCATTGCGAAGCGATACAAATATGCATTAATCGTCAAATGTTAATATTGTCTTTTGTGGGGGACTACTGAATGATCCCTTCTTCCCAAAATTCTATTCTTCAGACTCTTCTACTGACACCTCCAGCGCTTAACCCAGCACCTTGCGCAACTCCTTCCTCTGCTCTGGAGAGATTCTGGTGGGGAAGACGACGTTCCACTTGACCACAAGATCTCCAGCCCTCTTGGCCGAGCTGGCTTTGGAGACGGGCATGCCTTCTCCTTGAATTCGCGTCTCTTGTCCCGGTTGGACGATTTGCTAGGTTCATCAGCTTCCGTCCTCTTGCAGATATCAAGAAGAGTACTCACTCCTTCAGGCAAAGTAACCTGGATTCTCCTACCATCCAGCTGCTCCACTTCCTTGGTGATGGCGCCTCCACCGTCGGGGCCGAGAAGGGCTTGAGACAGCGAGATGTTGAGTTTGGTGACGAGGTCGTCGTCGACACGTTCGAATCGGTTATGAGGTCGTTCTTCCACCACAAACGCAACCGTTCTAATTTCTCGTCAGCTTGGCATTTCGTCTCAGTAGGAAAGAACTTACTGAGCTTGTCCGTATTCGTCCTCGTTACCAGCACCCGCAAACTTGATCTTTGTGCCCTTCTTCCAGCCCGCCTTGTACGCCACCTCCAAAATCTTCTCCGCCTGCCCTCCGCTTTGCAAGTGTCTTGTAATCTTGAGCCTCTTGGTGCCGCCCTTGTACAGCTCCTCGAGCGTAAGAGCGAGAGGTTTGATGATTTCGCCCACAGGAGGAGGAGGGTCGGCAGAGCCACCACCGAAACCGCCAGGCATACCGCCGCCCATACCGCTTGCCCGCGTTCGTGCCCGGGGACCACGGCCACCCCCCATACCACCACCCCCGAACGAAGAGCCACCGCCAAAGGAGGAGAAGATGTCGTCGTGTCCGCCTCCACCGCCGCCCATGCTGGAGAAGAAGGTGCTAGAACAAAGGTATCAGCTACTGACTAGGCACAAAGAGCCTGAAGGTCTTGGGAACTCACTTGAAGATGTCGTTGGGGTCGGCAGCACTGTAGTGTCCACCTCCGCCTCCCGGGAACCCTCCGAACCCACCACCTCCGCCGCCGCCTCCATTCTTCAACCCCTCTTCACCAAGCTGGTCGTAGATCTCTCTCTTGTTCTGCCATCACAGTTAGCTTTCATATTGACAACGGATGGTGATGTGTATACGCACAGTGTCAGAGAGGACCTCATAGGCTTCTCCAATCTTCTTGAACTTCTCCTCGGCCGCGGCGCGCTTGTCGCCTGGGTTCTTGTCCGGGTGCCATTTCAAGGACTCTTTGCGGTAGGCCTATAGACGAGTAAGTACACGGTTCACAGGCATACGTAGTGAGAACTAACCTTCTTGAGTTCAGTCTCGTTGGCGTCCTTGCCGACGCCCAAGATCTGAAGAAAGACCGTCAGCAATAGCCCAGCGGTGCGGCGGTCGCGTGGTGATGCTCACCTTGTAATATTCAGTGTTGTTGACCATTGTGGTAATGTTTTCCAATTTGCAGTTTGAGGCAAAGAAGACTCGCGTGCAAGTACGGGTGGGGTTATAAGTCGCGCAGATGGGAATGCGAGGTGTTGCTACCAAGATGCAGAACTCTCTGGAAGAAGAACGTCATTGCTTACGTAATAATGCAACTCTCTGTCAAGGAGGACTCATGAAGATTAGGAAATCGTACGGCGGCTCTTCGAAAGGGGAATACGGCGAGGGACATACATAGCACTAATCCTTACATGCTTGATGAAACTGCAGACATGTTATTGCCCAACCTCTTTGTCAGAGGCAGACCAATGTCAAAAGAAGCACGAGCCCGCGGCCGAGATGATCTTGGAACAATGCAGACCAACTTTTCTCTCTTTCTACCCACTGGCCGTATTGGAAATGCGCCGCAACGTCCGCCGTATACACACCAAACCAACTTCGATATGGCTCACCTGATCATTCAACCCTGCGTGCGTGGGCGGTCATGTCCGCCCCAAGCGCCGCCGCCGAAAACCTTCGAGCGAATTCTGGAGCACTCGATGCGAATGTCGAATTTTTGGTTCCGTTGCGTGATCTCGTCTCTTTTTGCACCTCTGCGACGTGTTCTCACCTCTACCTCCCTTTTTCTGTAACACCACCCAAAACTATACATATCAGACAAAATGGCCGTAAGCTCAACTCCCCTGGCCACCGGACCAGGCGCAGCGCTGACTTTGTGACAGAGTGTTGTTGGTATTGATCTCGGAAACCTTTCCTCCAAGATTGGTGTCGCCCGACACAGGGGTATTGACATCATCGTCAACGAGGTTTCCAACCGTGCTACTCCGTGAGTTGATATCCACAAGTGCTCTTGATACTCTAGGTTTTCTCCACGAGATTGAAGCGACTAAGGCGGAGGGCACTTCCGAACAGTCGGATGGCGAAAAGTCCGCCACGACGTGTCCACGTGGCTCGCGACCTGTTGATACGCTGCCACCATGTCTAGGGGACAGGCCATGACTTTCAAGAGAGAACAGTTGGGGAAGTGTGTGTCCCAGGTGAAACTGGCGAATGAACCTCAAAGGAACGCCGTGGAAGGACCTAGATGATCAGGAGAGCACAGAGATAACGTCCAAGAGCTAACGCTTCGTCACAGCTCTCTCGTCTCTTTCACACCCCGTCAGCGATTCATCGGTGAATCTGCCAAGACTGCCGAGACTTCCAACTTTAAGAACACCATCGGATCCTTGAAGAGGTTAATCGGTAGAACAGCAAACGACCCCGAAGTCTCTGAGATTGAGAAGAAGTTCATCAACGCTCAGCTTGTCGATGTTGCTGGTGAAGTCGGTATCAAGGTGAGTTGATCCATAAATGTCCTTTTTACGTAGCTAATGATCCCAGGTCGACTACCTTGGCGAGCCCACCGACTTCTCCTTCACCCAGCTCACCGCTGCCTACCTCGGCAAGCTCAAGGACACTGCCTCCTTCGAGCTCAAGCAGGCCGTCTCTGACGTCGTCATTGCCGTTCCCGGATGGTTCACCGACGTCCAGCGACGCGCTTTGCTTGACGCCGCCAACATTGCCGGTCTCAACGCCCTCCGACTCATCAACGACACTACCGCTGTCGCCCTCGGCTACGGTATCACCAAGGCCGACCTCCCCGAGGACCCCGAGACTCCCAGAAACATCGTCTTTGTTGACGTCGGTCACTCTGACTACTCTGTCGCCGTTGTCGCCTTCTCCAAGGGTCAACTGACCGTCAAGTCCACCGCCTACGACAGGCACTTCGGTGGCCGCGACTTTGACTTTGCCCTTGTCCAGCACTTTGCCGAGGAGTTCAAGACCAAGTACAAGATCGATGTCCTCTCCTCCCCCAAGGCTGTGTTCCGTCTTACCACCGGTTGTGAGCGTCTCAAGAAGGTTCTCTCTGCCAACGGCGAGGCTCCTCTCAACGTCGAGTCTTTGATGAACGACATTGACGCCAACTCTACCCTGAAACGAGAGGTCTTTGAGGAGCTCACCGCCCACCTCCTCGACCGAGTCAGCAACCCCCTTGCCGAGGCCCTCGAGAAGGCTGGTTTGACCGTCGAGCAGGTCGACGCTGTCGAGCTTGTCGGTGGTTCTACCCGTATCCCCGCCATCAAGGAGCGAATCTCCAAGTTCTTCGGCGGCAAAACCCTCTCTTTCACCACCAACCAGGACGAGGCCATCGCCCGAGGTGCCACCTTTGCCTGTGCCACCCTCTCCCCCGTCTTCCGAGTCAGGGAGTTTGCCGTTCACGACATCACCGCCTACCCTATCAAGGTCTCATGGGAGAAGGAGGCCGGAAACCCCGATGAGGACACCGAACTTACCGTCTTTGGTACTGGTAACCCCATCCCCTCCACCAAGGTCCTTACCTTCTACCGAAAGGGTCCCTTCACCCTCGAGGCTTCTTACGCCGAGCCTGCCACCCTCCCTAAGGGTATCAACCCCTGGATCGGCAAGCTCACTGTCAAGAATGTCGAGGTTCCTGCCTCTGGCGAGCTTGCTATTGTCAAGGTCAAGGCCCGTCTCAATTTGCACGGTATCTTGAACTTTGAGAACGCCTACGTCGTTGAGGAGGTCGAGAAGGAGGAGGAGGTCACCGTTGGTGAGGGCGAGGAGGCTACTGTCGAGAAGAAGTTGGTCAAGAAGGTTGTGAGGAAGGGTGACTGCCCCACTGTCGGTCAGTACACTGGTTTGGGTCAGGACAAGGTCAACGACTTGACCGAGTCGGAGGGTAAGATGCACGCCGACGACAAGTTGGTGCTCGAGACTGAGGTGAGCCCCTTCTTTTTTTAGCTGTGACTTTGCTGACTCGTTCTATAGGACCGTAAGAACGCTCTTGAAGAGTACGTCTACGACACCCGAGGCAAGCTTGACGACCGATACGCCGCCTACGTTCAGCCCCAGGAGAAGGAGGCTCTCTTCAAGGGTCTCCAGGAGGCCGAGGACTGGCTCTACTCTGAGGAGGGTGAGGACGCCAACAAGTCTGCTTACGTCGCCAAGCTCGATGCCCTCAAGGTCTTGGGTGACCCCATCTACCTGAGGTGGAAGGAGACCGAGGAGAGGCCCAAGGCCGCTGCTGCGCTTAAGGAGGCTTTGAACACCTATTTGACTGCTGCCCAGGGTGACGACGAAAAGTACGCCCACATCGAGGAGGCTGAGAAGAACAAGGTTGTGAGTAGACCATCTGTCAATTGTTTTGAGCGACACTGACACGGTCGCAGATCGAGAAGTGTGCCAACACTCAACACTGGCTCGAAAACCAGCTCTTCCGTCAATCCGAGAAGCCCAAGAACGTCAACCCCATCATCACCTCCGCCGAGATCAACACCAAGCGAGAGGACGTTGTCTACAGCAGCAATGCTATCCTCAACAAGCCCAAGCCCAAGGCTAAGGTTGAGACCCCCGCCCCTGAACCCCAGCAGGAGCCCAAGGCTGAGGAGCAGCCCGAAGCTACTGTCGAGGAGATGGACGTCGACTAGATGGTGTGTTCTAGAATAGAGAGTGCGAAAGAAGTGTTAGAAGCGGAAGATTTCCTTATTTCAGCTTAATTTCTGTTATGACCCATGCATAGTTGGCCTCGGTTGCTACTGTATCGAATACCATTTCATCGCCAATCATGTTTCCGGATATGGCTCGCACGACGTGTTGCAAGATGTTGCGCTCGGGCCGCCAGTGCTGCATTCCGCTTTTCCACCCGGTTGACTCAACCACCATGACCCAACGCGCACAATCTGATTCTCGATACATTTCAGCATATCACATCATCATCTTCTATCACTTGCACCTCGATGGCAGTCTCGCCTCCCCAGCCCATCCCCTACGGCTCCCTCGCCCGCCCCCATCAACCTTCTCTGACCGCTTCACGGCCGGGATCGCGGCCCGTCTCCGCGCAAGAGTCATGTCAGCCGAAATTCGTTCCACCTCTCGGATGGTGGGGAAGAACATACCCTCATGTGTATCGCAGCCCTCCTCTCTACCCTTCGCCGTACAGCCCTGCTCAACCCACTTTCCCTGATCACACGCGCTCACCTCTGGCCTCGGCCCTTGTCCATAAAGGCTACTATCGTCCATCAACTTTCTATGACCATGGGTGGCAGCAAATGAGCCCCCAGATGTACACAGCACAGGAGGGATCCGAAAGCGCTAGGTCAGCCGATAAGGTCAGTCACGGGCGTGCCATGGAACATGAGTACTACGCGATGTCCTGCGGAATGCCGAGCACCCTTCCTCTGTCTGCGTATGGTCTCCAGTCTCTTCCCATTGCCGTCCCGCTTATCCCAGCTCATCCCAGCTCATCCCTCTCCTACTCACCAAAATACGCCGAATACTTCGCAAAACATCCTCATCTCAGAGACGAATATCAGATTTCTGTTCAAGAGTCAGAGCGTACTAGTTCGAGGACTTATCACCACCGAATGGAGTATGGTATATGTGATGAAGCTCAAGGAACAGCATTCAAATTGAGAGAGATATGGGAGAAGGCAAGCATCGTGACTGTGGACGACGAGGCTCCTTCCGAGACGACGACTCGGACACTACCTGCTCAACCGCCAACTCCTCCGCCACGCAACCCCCTGCGTGCTCTTCTTCAGCCCGGTACCACCTCCTCATCGCTCGGGGAGAGCTCTGGATTCCACACCACCTCGCCGACTACTACCGCCTCCTCAGCCACCACTCCTCCCGGAACACACACAGCTTCATGTGCTTCATCTACCCCATCTTTGGCTAGGAGCGAGTGCCGTCCCCCAACTTCACTTTTGCCTCCCCTCAAGCCCTTGGTGGCCGCTAATGAAGAGATCTCAGACTCGGGTTCTTCCTCGTCACACTACTCTGATTCATCCTCTGGACTCGAATTCCACTGTCGCCACTGTCGACCTGTCTCCGACACTTCGAGCACCCAGACTATCTGTAAAACCTATGGGAGGTACTGGTGTATGGCGCTGCAGGGAAGGGTGGGAGTGTGGAAAAGGGTTGAATTGGAAACCGGCGATAGAGAGTGGCCAGTATGCCTTGGATCAGCTGGAAGAAAGATGGAGGCGACGAGAGCAGCGCATGGCACATGTCGAAGAGATGACGCAAATCGAGATTGGAGGTCCTGGATTTGAGCGATACCTTGTGGACTACAGTCAGTACTCGTCTTCCTTGTGGTTGAAAAGGTGTCAAGGAGAAACAACGCGACGCACACTGACGGCCGGTTCAGACTCAGACTCGTCCAGCGAGTCCGATCTTTCACCATGATACGAATATATCACATCGCGAATAAGATGGCCGGAGATGCTGTCACGACGAGATTGCAAGTGAAGGCTTGCCCGAGTGAATTTGTCATCGCCCCTGCATCAACGTCATCATGGCCGCGAACTTGTGAAAAGGGCCAAATATCTGAAACGACCTTATCGATGACACATGTATCTTCACAATTATGTCTCACATTCAGATGCCGCCTGAGCCCCGGAACGATTTCTGAGCACAGTGACAGGTGTATCATGTATGTCTTTGCATAAACATGATAACGAAACGTGTATTTACTGTTATAACGAATTAAGATGCTATTGGCTACAGATGAAAACTTCAGACTTGATATCGCTTGCTCTACTCTTACACAAGCCCCCTAAAACCCCGTACAATGAAGATTATTGATTGATTATGTAGTTCAGATGGTGGTGGTGGCGCCCTGAGTGGTCGAAGGGGCGGCAGAGGAAGTGGTACCAGTTTGAGAGGTGTGGCCGCCGACTCGAGGAGCACCCTCGTCTGGAAGAAAGTCAGATATTGCGCTGTTGCCAAGGAGGAATACACTTACAATGCTGGTGAGAGTGAGACTTGTCGGAGTGGGTAGCACCGGAGAGACCTTCCTTGAGCTTCAAGAACTGGTCGTGGCCGATAGAGGGGAGAGTGGTGACCTCGTGAACGATGGGCGCTTCGTGGACCTTCTCGTGGATGGCGGCGGTGTGGTGGACGACGGTGGGCTGAACAGTCTCCCTCTGGATCACCGGCTGGACTGCAAAAGTTGTCAGCTCTAAGCTCGAAATCAAAGTAAGGACGATAGCTTACTAGTCTCGTGAATGTGGTGGTGCTCGTGAGTGTTGACGTGAGTACCGATGTGGGCATGAGACTTCTCGATGTCACCGGTAGTCTGCTGGTTGGTGTGCAAAGTCCTCTGGGCGTGGAGAGTCTCCTGGTGCTCGGGGAGCATGTCTTCCTTGTGCTCACGGACAACAGGGGCACCGGTGACGTGAACATGCTTGGGGTCAAGGGCGACCTTGTGCTCGATGGGCTGGATTCGGTGCTATGAAATGCGTTAGAGCTGGTCTAGAAAGAAGAAGACGAAGGCTTACCTGGTGGTGGTGGACATGCCTTTCACGGTCGATGGCCTCAGCGGTCTGGGTGTGCTCTTGGGGACGAACGTGCTCCTGGACAATTTCGGGAGCGTGCTCGGTGCAAACCTGATATCTTGTCAGCCACACTAATCAAGTGTCAATGCTGAAGACTTATTACCTCAGTGCTGTCGGCCTTGTGAGAACCCTTGAAGAAATCCTTGACACCCTGGGTGATGGAAGTAGAGCCGGTACCGGTGGTAGCCCCGTTCGTAGGGGCGGTAGTGGTGGGGGCGGTGGAGTTGGTGGTAGCAGCAGACATGGTCTTTGGTTCTTGGTTACTGAGTTGATAAATGTGGTGGGGCGATTAGCGAATGTAGTTCTTTGGGAGAAGAGGATGGGAAAAAGGGAAGAAATGATCCATCTTGCAAGCTATATAGCGGGTCACGAGAGATTCAGAGATATGACGTTTTCCAGAGCAGACGTCTTCACCAAGTCCGGTGAGATCATCGTCATGATCAGCAAGGGTCAAATCAGCCAACGGGGAGAGGGTTGATAGCCTGATAGAGCCGTTTCGTGCTATTTTCTCTTGGGAAGAAGGATCAAGACGTCATGGGACCGGGCGGTTTTGGTGCAGGTAGCATAATTCATGTGTCATATGGCTTCGAACGGCTAAGCAATCACCAAATTACGACTCATCTCAGTGATAGCCTATTAGAGTTGAGCATGTGCTGGTGGCCGGAAAGAGCGAGCCCGGACATCCTCCCCCTCCATGCCTCCCATCGTGGACGGATTTCGCCTGGACATCTGCGTACGACTCCGGCTCCATGAGATACGACGAGTACAAACAGTCCAGATCCTGCTGTGTGCATTCGGCCGCCAGTCCCTACAACATGGTAGAGAGGATTTCCGCTCCATACGTGCATAGCATGCCCCCAGTCCCTAGAGGCTACTGAGTCGGTGTCTATGTATATCGCGCCCTCCGTGATGCACAGGCTGGCGATCACATATTTATTACGGGCTACGGCTCCAAATGCATAACGTATCCGCGGATGATGACCCTTGGCTTTCTTTGGCTCAGAATTGGAGGCATGATAGGCATGGAGTGCATGGAGCAAGGAGAGCAGAGGAAAAAATTGAGGATGAAAGAGATTTGTTTCCAAGTTATGTAACTCATGACGTCGATCTCTACATTTTTGGAGGGTGCTCTCGGCGGCCGAACCCCCCGGCTTTTGCAGAGCTGAGCTAACGGCCATGATGTCTGGTACTATGTATCTTCAACTGAGCTGTGCTGTATCGAGCGATAGAAGCCCCTTATTACACACATCATAGATAATGCCGGAAAGAGAAGGCATTGCTGCCGGGTTGAGCGCGGTGGTATGTAGCCAAACAAAGATGGGACCTGAGATACGATCTGAAGTAACTGCCCCTTGTCCTTCCGCCTTCTGGACCTGCTCAACTCAAGCGCCCGGAGTGCGATCACAAGCGCTTGCTGCCATCTGTGCATCTTCGCCAGCACAGGACGGGGCTGCGGTACAACCACGCAACGTAACCAGAGAATAGAGATTAGATGAAGACCAAAGACCGGACCAGGGCACGATTAAGCTTCTTGTTGAGCCGATGCGCCGGTGCCCGGTGCGAAGATCTTTCTCCGAAGACATTGTTCCTGGATTACCGGAAGCGTCAACCTTGGTTGGGCCTTGGGCGCGAAATTTCCATGCAAGATGGCCGCAGGGCATGACTGGGTCGAGCCTGTACAGTATGCATGCATCCTCTAGCCTCCCATAGTGGCCTCCTATAACCTATCCGCCACCCGCCTGGCTGGCCTGACAGGAGCTCCAGGTGACAACGCCTTGTTGTACAACACATCCTCCGCCCTCTTCACTTCCTCAGCACTCGGCTCAAGCTGTTCCTCGTCCAGCATATCATCTACCTCGTCTCTCTTATCATGTCTGACAGGTAGCGGCCCGCTGTCAGCTTGCGCTAAGAGACGAGCAGCATGTCGGTCAGACTTGACAGTGCCGTCAGGAGTGGCCGTCAATGAACTACTTGCAGATGATTGGGAGTATCTGGAGGGAGCGGACCATATGTCGTCTTCAGGCGCGTTCGGAACCGAAGATTTAGAAGAATTGAGAGTTGAAGAGTTGAAAGTGATTACTCGCGAAGGTGAGATGTCAGTATCGGTCGACCCTTCCCTATGCAGCCTTCTATGCCGTTCATCATCATTGAACGTTAGATTTTGCGGCGACTTTGTGTCTTGTCCTAGAGTCTGAGGTGGCTCATCACTTCCATTCAAAAAGTCCTGAGTCTTCTGAGGAAGTTTCAGGGGCGAGTGGGATATATCCGCCTTGGAAGTATGGTGAACATGCTCTTCGGCCGTGATCACGATTGGCTTCGGCCCACTTCGCGTGGCAGAGGGTGCGGTAGATGAGGTAGAGGAATCTAGGTATCGGGAAGGGAGGTGCAAAATATCAGAGACAGTATGGTGGTGCTCGGTTTCGCTCGAGCCAAGTGCTTTCGAGGAGTCTGTGTCTGGCGACACACCCTTGATATACGTCAGGCGTTTTGAAGACCGATGGACCTCCCTTGTTTGCGAGACTGTGATGAGTTCTTCTCGCTCCCTTTCATCGTGTTGAGAAGGCTCGGGGGAGATGAACGCCAAGAGCTATCGGCATTTAGTCGGGCTTACAGTAGAGCAGGTGATGGTTTTTGGCTTACCATGTCCAGCACACTCATCAGCCCTTTCGCCTTTTGTGCGCCATCTTCTTCTCTTTCGCGGGCTTTCAGATCATGTATGGCTCGCACCTCCTTCCTGACCCCCATGATGGCTTGAACAAAACTATGAGACCGTCAGCCGTTTGAGCAACCCTCAACTGATGAGGGGGACGTACCTTTGCAGAGTAAAGCCATCCGTTCGCCATGCGTCAAAAGTACGTCTGGCCACAGCAATCATCCCCGGCGTCAGGTAGTCTGTCAATCCCAATAGATACTCAATGATGCTCTGGATCGATATGACTTCCAGATCTGCAAAGTCTGTCAGCGCTATTCATGTTGCTTGGAGGCGACTTGCTCTGTTGACCTTTCTCAATCATCTGCTCACTCTCTTCCCTCACCTCTTTCGTTCTTCCAGTCCCATGCCCCAAATAGAGCCCTTCGAGAAAGTTTTTGACCACACTCAAGTGGCGCACAAACTCCTCAGATGCCTCTGAGTTCTCATCTCCCAAGATCTTGCGCATAGACTGGATGATGTCCTGCTGCATGAGAAGGCTGGTCATGATTCTCGAAACGAGGGTGCTGAGGATGCTAGAGCCTTCTGGAGTTGTTTCGTGGAGGGTGTTGAGGATGGTGTTGGCGAGGTCTATCATCCCGGTTAGCCTCTCAATCAGTATAGGCGAGCAAGGAAGAAGGGATACCTATGCATTTGGCGAGAGATACAAGCGTGCTGGACCAGGTTGATTGGGATGTAGGCAAGATCTCTCGAGGCAGAGACTGTTTGGGAGAGACTTGCGAGACAGACTTGGCCAGCTGCTTGTCCGCCGGCGATTGACTCTTTGTTATACTCAAGGGTGCCCATGTTTCCTCTTGAGGTCCCTTCTGTTTGTCTCGTCTCTCATCGGATACTACTTGCGCGAGATCCCGGGTCAGCTCTCGAGCAGGAGGGCCTGTCCCGGCTTTGCCAATAGCCTTTTCCTTGCTTGCCAAGATTTCCTGTTTTTTGTCCCCTGTCGAGTCTGGGAGGTCGGCCATGAGTGATTTGATCTTCGATTTCAGCTTGTCAGCCTCTTTGATCTTTTCTGCCCTGTCATGAGCCGTCAAGTCGTCTTTGATCGACTTTGTGAGACGAGCATACTCTGCTTTGTGATGTGCAAGAATGGTCGTCTTGTCGGCGCGTACTGGTTTGGGAGAAACCGGCAATGCGCCTGAGTCATTGCGAACAGCCTTGCCTTCAGACTTGCTTTCAGACTCAGAGAGGTCAGCCTGGGCGCCGGTTCGATCAGCCTTGACCTCTCTCGGGTGCTCTCCTTTTCTCTCTTCCACTTCCATAGCCTTCACCCTCGCTTTCAGCCCCTCCGCTTGTCTCGACATTGCTTCTTTCTTTTCGGCACTGAGAGATTGCTCTTTCATGGCGTTGACGAGGGTAGCATATCTGCCTTTGTAGTGCTTGAGAAGCTTGTCCATCTCGGCTGGGTCTTGGGGAGCAGGCGGGGAAGTAGGTGGCTGTCTGGAGGACAGCGCTTTAGGGCTCACAGAAGAAGTGGCGCATTTTGCAGATGCCTCCGACGTTTGGTCGCCAGCTTGAGATTTGAATTTTGTCGGGTCTGCTTGGACCTTCACATCCATGCGCAAAGCCTCTTCTTTGACCTCAATGTTAGTGCCCGAGGGTGGCGGTACCTTCTCGGCAATGCGGCCTTCTTGAATCTTCTTGGGCTCTTCTGCAACGGCTTGCATGGCCTCCTTCAACTTTTCCTCGGCGCGCCGCACCTTCTCCTTCCGATCTTTCCTCTCACCATCAGAGAGCCCAGAGGCCTTGTACTCTTTCATAGCCAGTTGGTAAGCGGCCTTGTATTGAACCACGTAACGCTCGGCATCGGATGCAGTGGGCGGCACAGGTGAAGATGACTTGGAAGGTGCTTTGCTGGGTTCGGAGGTCGATGCGCCCCCTCCCGACGGCTGCTTTGTCTTCTCTGGAGGACGATGTTTGGTCTCTCCATCCGAGGTACTCGTCTCGAGCGCCTGAGTAGCCTCTTTCAACTTCTCGTCCGCCCTCCTGACCTTCTCTTTCCTCTTTCGCCTCTCCTCGTCCGACAAGCCGTCTTGTTTGTAAGCGTTGACAGCAAGGGCATACGCCGCCTTGTACTTTTTGACATATTCTTGCAGGTTTGGAGATGATGATGACGGCTTCGTAGCACCTTGCGCGGTAGCATTCGGAGATATACCGGATTCTGGTGCATGGGACTTGCCTGTATCAAGGCCGGAGACCGCAAGTGTATTTCGTTTTGATGTGTCTACAGCTGAAAGTTATCAGAAACAAGAACAGCATTCGGGATTACTCTTACATTGGACGGTCTCTTCAGCCCTCTTGTCCGTCCTCTTCTCCAGTTCGACTTTAGCATACTCGTCGGTCTTCTCCTCAGCCTTGTTCTCGTCCTTCTCCCTGGCCTTCTCTTCGACACTCTGCTTAAGGCCTTTGGGCACCTTCGTAGCTAGCCCAGCTTCGAGTCTCCCATTGATGATTTTCAGCTTCAATTTGAACTCCTTCATCTCGCCCTCGAGCCGACTTTTCTCACCTTCCGGGAGCGAGTCCTGTTTATACGCTTTGACGATATGGCGATATTGGGTTTCGTATTTGGCTGCCTTTTCCTTCAGCTGCTCGGCAGTTATGTCGTTAGTTGATGCTGAGGGGTCAGAACGGTCAGGCTGCTTGCTTGCCGCTCTGGGGGAAAGGGCGGTAGAATTAGCGGCTGGTTCCCTTGGAGGGTTCGGAGTTTGGTTCGTTTTCGCCCCGGCTGTTCCTTCTTTAAGTGTTACTTCCCTGTCGTCCGTATCATTCGCTTGCCCCGAAAGTTTTGACGCCTCATTGATTTTGTCTTCGAGCCTCTTCAACTCGTGCTTCAAACGTTTCTTCTCATTTTCGACTAGATCAGCCTTTTGATACGATTTCAGGACTTCGTCATACTCGGTCTTGTACCATTTGATATCAGACTGAAGCTGCATGGAGGACGGGGAGCCGGATGAAGCAGTCGAGGATACAGACTCTGCAGGGAGAGGCTCTCTCAGCGGCGACTGAATCGTAGTAGCACCAGAAGAGACCTTGAGAGCAGGCGTCTGAGAAGGTTCCAACTTCTCCTTGGACCCCTGGTCGACCACATCACTAGTCGCCTCTAGTTCTTTGTTTGCCTGTTCCAGCATAGCCAAAGCCTTTTTGAACTTGCTTTCCAGATCTCTGACCTGCTCTTTCACGCGCTTCTCTTCCTCTTTGTCGCTGATATTGCCTTTTTTGTACATGTCGAGCGCTGTTTGGTATTCATCCTTGTACCGGCTCACATCAGAAGCAAGCTTTGACCGTGAAATACCCGAGGGAAGAGGGTCGGAGGAAGATTTGTCGGTCTTGAGACGCTTTGCGGGAACAGATCCATCGGTCGCGGGCTCTCTAGTTGAGCTAGAAGATGTCTATCAGGCGTGTTAGTTAGTTGCTAGCGCTACAATGTCCAAGCAATCAAATCTCACAATGTCCTCTTTGACCCCATCTTGGCTTGTACCTTTGTGATCCCCAGACGTGTCTTGAGAATACTCCGCAGGCATGGGCTTGTCTTGAGTACTTTTCGCTTCACCCGTACCCGACAACTTCCCGATCTTCTCCTCTAGCTTCTTCAGCCGGACTTTCAGGACCTTCTTTTCCTCGCTCTTAATCCCATCATTTTGATACGCTTTCATAGCCTTGCTGTATTCGTGTTTGCATTGTTTGATATCGTCTTCGAGTTTGGGGGCGGGAGGTATACCGGGCGAGCTCTCCTGCCGTTGCTTGGTTTCTTTGGATGGTAATCCGCCTGAGATGTCCCGGACGGCGCTGGTAGATCCTGAAGGCTCATCCGATTTGGACTTTTGCACGTTCTGACTGGTTTCAGAGGTAGTGTTGGCATCCAGAGACTTCTTTGACTGTCCCAGAGCGCCGGTGGCTTTTTTGATTTTGCTCTCCAGCTTGTTCAGCTGGTCCTTGAGTTGGCTTTTCATGTCGTCACCACCCTCGCCGTCTTTATACTTTTTCAATACTTTCGCGTACTCGCTTTTGTACCGCGTGACGTCGGCTTCGAGATTCGATGGAGGATCTGGAGGGGCCGCCTTGGATGGTTTAGCGGCGTTGGATGCAGGGCTATCGGTAGTCCCGTCGTTAATAACTCCTGCAGCCTGGGGGGCTGAAGTCTTCTCAGATGTCTATATCGGGTATCAGCTTCTGACCCCGGACTGATCACGCTCAGCTCACTGTAGCCCGCTCATACTTTTCCATTTTCGCCTTGATCTCTTTGATCTTCACTTCGAGCATCTTGACTTCTGCCTTCAGATCCTTCATGATATCTTCGGGTTCCCCTCCAGCCTCATAACGTTTGACAGCGTTTCGATACATGGTCTTGTATCGATCAAGAGATTTCTTCAAGGTTGAGTAGTCGGCGGAGGACTTTGGTGTGCCGGAAGTGGTAGGGTCCCGAATTGATGTCTTTACGAGCTGTGAGCCCTGCGTCGGAGGCTATGAGTCAAAGGAGGTGTTAGCTTTATGTCATAAGGGTTTTTCATCAGGACGGAGCACGAACAAGTTCAATTTTCCTTTCGCCGAGCCCATCCTTTGTCGACTGTCCTTGAATCTTCTTACTCAACTCGCCCTCATCACCACCCGCAGTCTTCTTTTCTTTCCCTTCTTTCTGCACGCCTCTCCCGGCGACGTTCGGTGAGGATGATATTAGAGGCGTCGGGGAGAAGACATCCGCTCCGACTTGGGATGCCGTCCCCAAAGGTGCACTCACGGGCTGTCCTCCCACGAACCCAGGATAAGTACCCTGTAGCCCATCCCACCCAGGAGGAGCATACCCCATCCAAGGTCCAGGTCCATAGCAGATATGGGGAGGAATGGCCTGGAATGTGGGGATTGGAGGTGCCGAGAAGGGCGTGGAAGGAGTGGCGGGTGGCTCTGCCTTGTCGACTTTCAGTTGAGGTGGCCTCCCCACAGAGTCGCCAACGCCATGGAAGTCTTTGTCTTTACCTTTAGTGTGGGTATCGGCTACCAGCTGACGAAGCAAAACCAACACCTCATTTGCGACACCTGTGGCCGGGGAGGCATCAGCATGGTCCTGTTGCACGTCAATCATCTCCGGATGTGGCGCTCCAAAAGACGCATCTTCTACAGGCGGTGACGGCGGCTCAGGTTCGACCCTGTCTCCCCTCGTGGTCGTTAAGCCTTCCGCCCTGCTCCCTTTCTGCCCCAGCAGCTCTCCAGCAAAGATCCTGACGCCCTTCTTGGTAGGCTTAATTTCTTCCTTCTTCGCATCCTCTTTCGCCGGCTCCTCCCGTTTCTCTGTCGTTTTGCCGTGCGATGCCGTTGAGGCAGGAGATGGAGGGAGATCCAGCTTTCTGGTAGGAGTGAATAGGGAGCTGAATTTGAAGTGAGGGCGAGGAGCTTTGGGAGGAGGAGGCGTTGGAGGTGGCGTGGTGTCTTCCCCGCTGCTATCCGAGTCTACGCCGGGTGGGGCGTACATCTTCACGGCTGCAGCTTTTAGCGTTAGAGTGAAGTCTTACCTGCGTGCATTGGCTCGACATGATAGGGGTCAGGATCGCCAAGGTATGTTACTCCTTTCAGTTCGCATCACTTGTTGCAGACAATGGGCGGAACAATTTACGTAACTGTTTTACTCCTCGCATGTTTGGTTCGCTTTATACGTGTAGGGCGCTCATGGGGCAGGAGCATCACAGTTAATCTCACACTGGCCATTCGTATACCTGTCCCAAATTGTCGATTCAGAAGATCGGTACAGTATGTGGTACATCGTGATCTAATATGCTGCGTTCTCTACTTGAACTTCAACGGGTCGACCTTCTTGCCCCCTCGCGCACTCTTCCCACCCCTTCCACCACGACCTCTGAAACCTCCCCTTCCTCTCTTGGCAAATCCGACACCCGCATGGTCACCCACATCTCCCCCGCCAGTAGGCAAAGCCGCAATCTTGGGCATGAGGTAGCCCGGCACATGCTTGAGATGTTTTTGTTGTCTCGCAGGATGAAGAGGGGCGTCATGGCGCAGATACGACAGATCGAGAGGGTTGGCAGCAAAATGGGATTTGAGCTTTTCGCTATTCAGAAGCTCTCGCCTGACTTCTTCCCTCCTGGCTTCTTGCACTCGCTTGCCAGTAACAGCCTTCAAAGCGTCCTCCATTCGGTAACGGAAACCCTCAATCTCGCCTTTCCTTCCTCCCCAGTCCCATTCCTTGATATCAGCCCCACCATCCTTCTTCACCCGCTCCTTGATCTTTTCAAACACCTTCTCATCCTTCTCGGCCGACTTGATCGACACGACCCTATCCTTGCCCCAGTCCTTTCTGGGCACGACGAAAGAAAGGGCAAGACCAGAGTGGCCCGCACGGGCGGTACGCCCAACTCGGTGCATGTAGGAGGTGGAAGTGAGGGGGAGGTCGAAGTTGATGACAGAGGAAGCGGAGGTGAAATCGATCCCTCGAGCGAGAGAGGAGCTGGGGTCTGCAGCACGTTTTGAGCGCTTTGATTGGGGTTTGGGGGCGGGGGAGGAGGCCTTTCTCTTGGAAGGGCCCGCAACCGGCTGCGCGGCCTCTTCCTTTTCCTCTTCACCGTCTCCCTCTTCCTCATCGGCACCTTCTTCTTCTGACTCGCTCTCCTCCTTCACGTCCTCGTCTTCCTCGGCGTCCGCACCAGCTCCCTCATCCGTAGCCACTACCACATCATAGACACCCCTGTTGAACTCCTCAACCACATGGTATCGACTCGCCAGAGGCAATTCGCTATTCACAACACAGCACTTGACGCCGAATTGTTCCAGGAAGAGCTTGACTCTGTAACCGCGCTCTATGTCGTTGACGAAAATGATGGATTTGCCCCGGATGAGCTTGAGTTTGAGGAGGACGTAGATGAGAAGGAACTTGTCACGTTCGGTGGTAGAAGTGTAGTGTTGGGTGAGGAGGGAAGAGGCAGAGGCGGGCTCGGTGAGAGTAAGGATGGCCTACCGCGGGTCAGCTCGGGACGTCGAACAGATGTATTGACTTACGGGGTTACGCAAGACGAGACCCTTGACACCTTCCACATCTTCACTCAAAGTAGCACTCATCAGGCATCCTTGCACACCAAGCTTGGGAATCCATCCAGCAGTGGGGTCCATGATCCTCGTCAGATCATCCTTGAAACCATAAGACAGCAAGAGATCCGCTTCATCGATGGCGAGGAAAGAGAGCTGAGAGAGGGAGATGGTCTCGGATTGGAGCAACGTGAGGAGCTTGGTAGGGGTGGAAATGACAACGTCGGGCTTGTCATTGAGAAGAACTCTGCGAAATGTTAGAATGCGTGGGCATGGTATTTCTATGTAGCTCACCGTTGAACACTGGCACCACCGGTCGCGACATTGACACACTGGACGAGACCTTCACAGTACTTGGTCACGTTTCTGATGAAAGTAGCGACTTGGAGGGCCAACTCCTTAGTGGGGACAAGGATGACGGCTCGGGTCGCTTGATACTCGGCAGAAGCAGGTGACAGGTCCTTTGACAACATGAGCCGGTAGCCCTGAATTATAGCGACACTACTCACAGCCTTGGCTTCTAATATCTTTTGGATAGCAGGGACGACATAGGCAGCAGTCTTTCCGCTACCTGTTCTAGCACGGGCAAGCACATCCTTGCCTTCGAGCAAGAGAGGGATAGCTTTGGCTTGAACAAGAGTCGGGCTGGCAAACTTTTGGTCGGCAAGAGCGACAAGGATTCTTGAGTCGATGAGAGTAGAGAATGGAGGCTCGGAGAAGGAGAATTCTTGACTGCGAGTATCGTCAGCATCTGCTGCTCGAATGTCGTCGCGAGACTCACTCGAGAAGGGCGTTGGATGGCCCCGCGTTGGACGACATTTTAGTTGCGATTGACGCTAAGTCCTGGTATAGATGTCTTGGAGAGTTGTGCTATACCTGTCCTGGTTTATAGCTGGCTATGCAGTGGTTTGGTCTTCTGCGCGGAAATCCAGGAGATTTCAGTCAAGTGCTGGTCAAGTGAATAAGTGGACGAAGATTTCAAGTCACGTGAGCTGGATAAACGTTACGTAACTGCGAGATCAATGTTTTCAGGGCCGCCGGGCTTGAAAGTTGAAATGTCTCTATGGACACTCCACTCGGAAAGGCTATATGCCAGGTAATGTTCTGTCTCATGTCTCGCGCGCCAATTGGTCGCGTGTGGCTTTCCATGTCCCAGCGTTGTCAACAGATTTCTTTTCAGCTTCTTCTTCTCAACCGTCTTTGTTGCTTCACTCACCACCTATAATTATCAAACGCTCCGGTAGCGTCCACATTCCCTACAACCTCACCTTCCTTCTCGAGGACCTCCCAGCTGCAGGCCAGCCACTCATTCTCACTATCGACCACACATATCGCCCGGCGCGACCACAACAATCTCCACGATGAAGCTCCTCGCCCTTCTCTCTATCCTCCCTCTTCTCCTTGCCGCCCCTGCTCCCGCCGCCGAGCCAGCCTCCTACAACCCTCTCTTTCACCACAAGCCTCACTCTGGGTCCAATCACATCCCAGTCGTCAAGCGTGGGCTCGGCTCTCGCGCGGAAGCTCAGCAGAACAACCCCGAGTACTTTCAAAAGCGTGACGGCTCCAAGGTGGACCCTGTGAAGAGAGGCGTGGTGACAAAGGTGGTAAAGCGAGCCGCCAGCACTTGTTCGGTGGCTACCTACACTGAGCTGGTGACTTCTGTCACTACTGTCACCCCGGGGTCTACGCCGACTTCGTCTGCCTTTACATCGAGTGCCATGGGCAGCAGTGGCACTCTGACGGCATCCGACACTTTGGCGACCGGCTCTGCGTCCGGCGTACTGGCTTACGTCAACTCGACCATCGAGAGCTCAAGTGCGACGACTTCAGACTACTTTTCCAGCGCCATCACCTCTTCTGCCACGGACACTTCCCTCAGTGCATCCGTGACGGCGTCAGCCTCGCAGAATGTGAGCGCAGAGTCGCTTGCGGTCTCCGCCACAGGCTCTGTCCGCTCTGGCTCGGCGTCTGGGGTTGCTTCGAGCACCGCTTCATCCTCAACCCTCATCTCGAGCTCTGGCAGCTCTACAATTTCTTCCTACCCGTCTGCGTCTGCCTCCAGTAGCGCCCCACTCTCCTCTTCATTATCGGGCTCCGGTAGCTCTTACGCCTCCCCATCCGTCTCTACCTCCAAAAAGACCAAATCCAAGACAAAGACAACCAAGTCCAAAGCTTCTTCTTCGACCGCTGCTGTGAGCACAACTAAGGCTGCGCAATATGCCGTGAGCTCCAGTACTGCTGCGTCGTCGGCGACAGTCACTTCCAGTGCTAGCGTTGGGTCAGCCTCTTCCTCGGCTGTTATTTCCTCAACGTCTCTCGCTGGCAGTAGCTCGGTGTCTTCCTCTACCGGCCTCACTTCTACATCTGCCCAATCTTCTTCCACCTCCTCATCCAGCGCTACATCCTCAGTCGGTACATCCACGGTCGCCACGTCCACTACATCCTCCGCCGCCGCCACCACAACCACCTCCATCTCCGCCGATCCCTCCGGCGACGGTCCCTACTCGGGGTGGGGCACCTGGTTCTATCAGAATGGAGTAGCCGGCGCTTGTGGGACCGTGCACGCGGATACCGACTATGTCGTCGCCGTCTCTCAGACCTTGTTTGACAACTGGCCCAACTACACTGGCTTGAACCCCAATAACAACCCTATTTGCGGGCACCAGGTCAGCGTGACTTGTAAATTTACTTTTCCTCGTCTTTCATGTGAGCTCTGCTGACGAGAATTCTACAGGGGAAGGTACTACGATTACTGCGACCGTTGCCGACAGCTGTCCCAGTTGCAATGAGCGTCAGCTCGATCTCTCCCGAAGCGCCTTTGCAGCGCTCACGAACAGTGACTACGACATCGGTCTCTTGGGAGCTGAGATCAATGGTGAAGCGTACAACGAAGACCTTGTCTGGTCTTGGATCAGCTAGTGTGAATTGCGGGATGCGAAAGCAAAGGTGTTTGGGATGGGGTTTGTCTCTTCTTTCGAATAGCGTAGTCAATTTTGGTCATCTGTATATAGTTTGAGTTATAATGTCTAATGCATCGTAACAATAGTGATAGCTCTTGTCATGGACACGACAGCGGCGGCGATCGGTGACCGTCAAAGTTGACACTGTCCTATCGCCAGATACTTCCGAGTCAGTAAAGGATCAAGTGTTGAATCGGCCGGATCTTGCTTAGAGGCAGTGAGACAGGGTATGAGGATTGTGACCCAGACTTCTGATATAACTGCAGAATATGTCTATACAAAGGAGGTGATGATAACGCTAGCCTCACTGCCCGGCTTAGATACACAACGATTCCAGAAAAGTATACCTTATCTTCTTCTTGACTTGAACAACACCCGTAAAACCTTCTGAACTAACCCAGCTATACAACCGACGAAGATGGAAACCCCATAATCCATATCCCAGATGTATCTCGTCGTCTAAGGCACATATCGGAAACCTATCATCCAGAGTCAGGTCACTCTCTTTCAGATTCAAAGCAATAAAAACTCACCAACAGCAAGGTCATAGTCGTCTCGGACATTGATGGGGGTACCCTTGGCAGGCCTGCCGCCCTCAACCTTGTCTCTGCGGGCATTCTCCCATCTGTAGTAGGTCGTCATGCACAGGACGATGACGAGACCTTCAAGTTTGTCAGATTATACTACAGTGACGAGGGGATGGACACTCACCGAGGCTCTGCATAGCAAGGTTGACGGTAGCGCCCTTGGTGTACTGAGGCCCTTCAACCTTGGGGAACCTATGTCGTCGTCAGACGGTATCCGCGTGGCTTTGAGAGGGTTGACTTACAAGAAAGCAGCAGCCAAAGAGAGACATTGTCCGAGGGTGTTGAGCATACCAAGCGAAGCAGCCCTCTGACTCTGGTTACCGGTACAGCCACTCTGCCACGACATGATGATAGGGATATTGGTATACCCAGCAGTCACGACACAGATCACCGCAAAGTACCTCGCCGAATAGTTGCTGTCCGCGTCCATAGACAACAGAATTGCCCACCCGACGATACCAATGCAGAACACACTAGCAGCGGGGAGACCTCGGGACTGTTTCCAATCGGAGAAGGAGGTAAGGAACAGCATAAAGACGAGGGAGACGACGTAGGGGGGCACGGTCATGAGCTGGGCCTTGGCGTCGGTGTAGCCGAAGCCCTTGACGATGGTGGGGAGGAAACCGCTGACAGAGCCGAGAGTGAGGTTCATGCAAGAGTAGCTGTATATTGTCAGCATGATGGGTAAGATGGGTGAGGAAAGAGGCTTACGAGACACTGATGGCGTAAGTCTTCCAGTCGGTCAAGCATCGCTTCACACCGCCCCAGTTGATACCCTGCTCAGACTCCACGTTGTGCTCTTCGTTCAACCTTGTCAAGCAGATGGTCCTCTCGTCCTCGTTGAGGTATCTGGACTTTTCAGGCTTACTGGGCATGAAGAGGAAGACACAGATGGCCAAAAGCACAGAGGGACAACCTTCGATCAAGAAAAGGATACGCTAGAGCTCGATGGGGGAGTTGTTGATGCTGGATACACCGTAAGAGATGAGACCACCAAAAGCACCCGAGACGGCACCAGCACTGATAAAGAGACCAACTCGCTTGGCGAGGTCGGACTTGGTGTACCAGAAGGAGAGGTGAAGGGCCATAGCTTGACCAAACATGGCTTCGCCGACACCGACAAAGAGACGGCAGACGTAAAGACCGGCCTTGTTTTGAGCGGCGGCTTGACAGGTGGCGGCGACGGACCAGATCATGGCACCACAGGCAATGGTCCGGGAAGGAAGGAATTGCTTGGCCAGAAGTGTACCGGGAACCTAGAAGAATGTCAGTGGGGGCGCCGGCAGGCAGATGTGGCGAAGCTTACGGAGAACACAATGTACTGATGTAACGTTAGCATAAACCACATCAATATGCGCGCGACGTACGGTGATGAAGAAACAGCAGAGGGCGATGGAATAGTTGGTGTCCTTGCTGTCCAAAAGATCTGCTTCCAAACCCTGCAGCTTTGCGTTGGCCCTGTGCACAGTTTAGTATCGATAGAGACATGTTGATTGATCACTTACAAGTTACCTCTGTCGAGGTATGCAGACAAGTACAACAGAATCGCAAAGGGAAGGATACCAAAGTCTACATCAGTCGTCAGCCGCTGAACACGAGAGAAAAGATGTCTACTCACCCATCTTGCGAAGCAACTTTCTGATCGCCTTCTTCGACTCCTGCTTGTGGGTTAAGCCGGTCGCGCTTTCGGCATACCTGGTACTGCCCTTTTCAGTATCGGTAGCTTCGGTGGTGCGCGTGCCAACTGCATGCAAGGGAGATTCCATTTGCTCATCCTCGGGCTTTTGGTCGAGGTGAGCACTGAAGGATTTCTCGTTCTCGGCCTGAACTGGGTCGGGCTGGAAGGAGGCGTGGCGAACCATGATGGATCACTGGCGAGTTGTGGGGATAGTGAGGGGCTGAGGGGAAGCGTCGAGTATAAGTAAGAGTGGGGCTGGCTGATTTTAGCACGCCAGTGTGCTATACTGGGACGAGTTCCGTGATGGTCGAAAGCGGGTAACGCAAAAGAGGTGAACAACCCCATATTCATCTCATGCGCTCTATATATATATGATTTCTCTTTCCCTTTTTTTAGAACCCGGTACGACAAGCCCGCATGATGATGAGTCAATCAGTCACGATTCAAGGTTTCTTTTTCGAAGACTGATCATCTGTTCACCCTTGGGCCTTGTTATGTCGAATCCGGGGAGGTGGACCTTTTGCGACAGAGTGCGCCGCCCCTGACCCCACACCCACCCTGCCGTGAGCCAATCAATTCCGAAGACTTTCATTGTCTTCCCACACATCCCCACACCCCCACAGGGCTCCGTAGCGGCAGATAGCGGCAGAGCTTCGACGAGGGTTCCCGAGAGATTGGGATGAATGCAGGCCAATGGGAGCTAGTGCAGAAATCGATATCGAATAGCTGGACTGCGTTGTCCCCGGCGCGAGTCCGATTCCGGCATTCAAAACAGCGAGGCGAAAGAAGGCGTTGAAAGACGATCCGGCGGCTCGGGCCGACTATTTTCGGGAGCACCCTGGCTTGTGCCTGGCTTAAGGGGCTGGGAATAGCAAATGCGGCATCTTTCACTGGGTCAACGGTCAAGTTGTCATCCATCCATCGATGTATATCCCTGATGAAGGCCCTGGACTCAACTCTCGAAGAGGAAACAATCCAGAGGCCCCCGAACTGTCGGGCTGTCGGGCATCCTCCCCATTGGGGCATCCCGAACCAAATACTGCCTTCGCCGTTGCTTTTCTTGTGCTGTCTGTTCTCTTTCTTCCTGCTTCCTGTCTTTGATTCCAGCAATCCCACTCCCTGCACATGAGCGATGTCCAGCCCATACGCGTCGATGCCACATCGGGAAATTCATGAAGTTCCACTACTAACTGGCATTCCGATCTGATGCTGTATTATGGGGTATCCACCTGGCCTCTGGCCTTTGGTCTCTGGTCTCTGACCCATACTTACATAAAGCCGACCGTATTCTTCTCCAAACTTTTGTTCGCTTCAACGTCACCAGACTGCCCAAGATACCCCTTCTAGTTTCTTTAATAAGTTATCGCCCGTCCCGCCTGTTGACAGCGCCATCATATGCGAAAAGGACTGCAAATGATAATGGTTGATTGATCTGTGGTGTGACCGGCCACCCACGCCAACAGCGCCAGATCTCCCAGTCTAGCTTCACGTCAGCACAGGAGATACATATCTATATGTAGACGAGTAAGGTCAAGATGGATAGCGCTGGAAGAAGAAAAGAAAATGAGAGGCGTAACAATCACAAAAGCCACGGGGAACAGGTTCTATCGCCCTCAGAGACATCGCCGGATGAAATACTGTAGCTGCGCCGCTCCTGCCAAGCCGGACTCTCATACTCGAGACACTTTCACACACTTCTGTATCAGCATGACCTCTCGTGCTGCTCCTCCGGAAGGAGATCCACGCCTCCATCCCTCATGCTCTTCGCGGATGCCTAGAAGGACGGTGCCACATGGGTGAGATGGATGTATTTCGAATCCGTTGACCGATATCGGTGTCTTTTTAGATGAAACCGTAGAAAGCCGAAATAAAAGGCGGGGGAAAAGACTTGGTAGAAAAGGACGACGCGTTGAGTTCGAATCAAAGCACAGTCTCGACTGTGGTGGCCAGCTGTAAATTGTGGGATGATGTGCTGTGTCGTACTATCGTGTGGGGAAAGATAGCGGCCTGGGGTCCAATTTATGGAGCATCATGAACCCGTAACACGCCACTCCTTGGCAAAAAGAAAGTTGCACCTGTTTCGTCTTAGCGCCATGAGAAAATCACTCAACTTTGGAGGGACGAGAGACATCGAACCGTGCTTTGGGATGCATGATGCCGCCTATGACCGAGTTGGACTCAAGAGTACATCACCTGATCGCCTTCAACATCAGCCAAGGTGATGAATCGACCAACGGTGACGAAGTGACCGACGGTGGCGAAGTAGCGACAAGAGGTTCACTTCTCCTCCCGTCGCACTCGCCGCCATCAATCCAAATTCAGCCTCTCATCATGTCTTGGAAGATGTGTCTACGAGATTGATGAACGGGCAGATCAGTGAGCTGCTACAAGGCCACCCGTGAGGACGTCGTTGGTCCCGTAGTGTTACCCTATGTGTGATCCATAAAAGAACTGCGTGACCATCATCCTCTTCATCTTCTGGTCACATTTTGTAATATTGTACGAGGAATGATTTCCTTCCTTGATTGCCCTGTCTGTTCTGTTCCTTCTGATCCATGCTTATCATCCTCGCTTTCATTGTAACCCACGAACTGAGGGCGACCATACAAGTCTGATGACTCCAGAGCTTTGCCCAGGGCGATGACTCGTGTGTCTTTCTTCCCATCCGCGAAACGTGCGGGAATGTGCGTGACTCGACACCACGTAGTGAAGAGCAATCAGCCATATCCCCTTTTCACAGTCAGGGGGCCATCACTCTTTCAGTGGCGCAACACCGGCGGGGAGCAGCGGTAGCATATATGTCAGTGACGTTGGGTGATCGCCACGGCTCTGTTCAATCCAGAACTGAGATCGTTCGCCATCCCCACAGGATGATGACGTACCCCGCGAACGCACTGCTGAACTCAAGCCATGTCAAGGAGTGTCCATATCTAACAATGCATCTCGGCATGTTTTACCCAAAATGAGAAAACGTCTAAGAACTCCTCTCCATCTATTAAAAGAAAACTCTCCAATTCGTCGCTTTGATAGACAACTTTTCGTGACGATAACTTCTTGCTTCATCCTATACTCATTTGGTACTTTTGTTCTCTCGGGAAAGGGGTCATAAATCTTGTACAGGCGGGGGGGTATACGGTGTGCGGTCAAGGGGAGGGGTTTATCGTCGCTTATTTGGCGGGGGAGGCAGGGGTGGCGGCGACGGGATTGATGCTATTCCTCAGTCAGTAAGGATATCATCAGAGAGCCTACAGCAACTCACAAAGCCTTGACATAGTCGGCAAAGCTGACCATGCAGATAGTCTGCCAAGCACCTATAATATCATCAGCTGTAATCCCTGGTCAGGAAATGATGGTACGTACCGAGACCGATTCGAGGAGCGACACCACGGTAAAGACCGGTGATACCGTTCGTCTTGTAGATGTACGACAAGGTGTTGAGGACAGTCTTCTTGGCCGGGCGGGAAGGATCTTGAGACTTGATGGCGGATTGCATCTACAATCAAGTCAGTCTCCGCCTTCAACTACAAGGCGCGCAACTCACCTCGACTCGGACAACCTCGATAGGCTGGTTCCAAGTAGCCAAAGCACCACCAAGCGTACTCGCCACAATCTTGTCCATCGCACCAAGCTTTTCGCCATCATTGATACCCCGCACCTTCCTCAACCCATCCTCGGCCAGCCTCGCGAAACCAAACCTGGATCCCCAGTTGGTAGCCTGCCTCACAGCAACAGCGTTTACACCCTTGTTGATACCGGCGAGACCTTCTCGCTTGTAAATGTCGAGGAAGACTTTGAAGGTGGATTCGACGGGGGCACCGGCGGAGGCTTGCTTGTGTCGGGTGATCTCGACAGTCTTCATACATGTACAGAAACCTGCGCAGTATAAGCATGGTATTTTGGAGGCACGAAAAAGACATACCCATGGTGGCATAAGCCTGAGCGATACCACCTCCGACACCACCCAGCATACCGGCAGCCGCAGGGTTGAGGCCAAAGGCCTTGGTCGAGTATTTTTCAATCTCGGCGCTGGTAAAGATAAGGACGGCGCCCTTGGTGGAAGCTTCGATCCAGGCCTAGATCCACAAATCAGGGGGGTTGATCCAGGAAGAGTGGAGATTTCGGGAGGTTGGAGATTCGGGAATGGAGAAAGTCGTCGGAACAGATTAACCGATGAAAGTCAGCTTCTGATGCAAGATGGGCGCGTCCTCCACGCGACAGGACACTACCTATCACCACATGAGGAGGTGGGGAAGATGCATACACGCACCCATGGAATCAAGCCCTGGTAGAAACCCGTCCAACCTCCACGGCTGTAGACAGTCTTGAAGGCCTCGGCCATGGTCTGCTTTCGGTTAGCAGCCATCTGGGTCTTGAGGACCTCCAAAGGCTGGCCGAGCGTAGTGACCTCGAACATGTTCATGGTGGCACCTAAATAGTAGAAACGTTAGCGAACGCGTATCATGGTGATGGGGAAAGTATGCTAAGGTGGGTTGGGGTGATACTAGTGGAGGCTAGTACACCGCGCGCTGTGAGAGGACAAGCGACGACACGCAGGTCTCATGGTGCTCAAGCAGCCTCTCGAGAGACCTCCCCGAGCCCACACGCGTTATCATAGCACGGCGCTGCGAGGAAGCGACACGTGGGGAGAGCCGAAGGGGAGAGCCGAAGAGCGTACTCACCAACAGCAATGTTGGACCAGCTGAAGCCTTTCTCCATGGGGGCCATTGTGGGATGGGTATATGGGTATAGGGAGGAGGGAAAGAAGGAAGAGATGCGGATGAGGAATGAGATGCGAATGGGACGAAATGTATGGGGATAAGTTGGCAGCAGGTGGACTCGCTCGTCCCATCCCTGACGGGGCTCCCCCACCGATTATTTGCTCCCGTGCGCCAATCATTAGTCGATTAATTAGAGGTCAATTTTGCAACAAGTCGCTACAGCTTCCGCACTTCCACAATCTTATCGTAGCATGCACCAAACGAATGCAGAGGAACCCAGAATCAATGCGTGGTCATATGTGCATCCCCAGGAGAAAGTACAAGCCCGACTCCTCCAACTACTACAAAGAAGAACCGTTTACTTGGCCTTCTCGGCAGCCTCCTTCTCGGCAACCCTCTTCAACCTAGCACCCTCGTTCCTCTGGGCAGCTCGGGCGAGTCGGAGAGCGGTGAAAGCGGATCCCTCCTTCTCCTCACCGGTGATGGCTCGGGGAGCCTCGGGGGTGTAAGAAGCGGGGAGGGGGAGAGCCTCACGGGTGATGTGGGCGGTAAGGTCGTCACCCTGCGATTTTATCAGACATGTCGCGGACGAAAAGAAGAGCAAGCTTACAGTGGCGTCACCAGACTTGGGCTTGCCGGCCTTCTTGGGGAAGACAACGAGCCTGTTCTTGTACTCCTGGAGCCTCTCGACGTTGAGAGCCTGGCCCTCCTCGGACTTGGACCTTCGTCGGGGGTCGACAGAGATACCGAGAGAAAGAGCCTCCTTCCTCCTGATACCGGCGAGCTTGAGCTCAGAGACGGTGAAGCCTCGGCCCTCTGCACAAACAATCAGCGAAATTCTTGAAAATATCGAAATGTCGACGTACCCCTGATACGGATGTTGTACCTCTGGGTGGGGCATCGGACGGCGGGTCGGAGACGCTGGAGAGGAGCGGCACCGGAAGCAAGGGCCTTCTTGCTCCTTGCGACACGTCTAGACTTCTTCTTGCCGGGCTGGTCGAACTGTATATCCCATGTCAGCGGTGGTCTTGCCATCCCAGCATTCCCCCCATCCATCCAGTCCCATCCAGTCCCATCCACATGCACTCGCCATCCCTCTCACTCTCTCTGATTCCCAGTATCCAGCCATCCGTGCGCTCCATCTTGAATCTGAAATATCGACTAACCCAGGTCTTGACACGCCTCTGCCAGTCCTTGTGGAAGTGGTTCTTTTGGAGTTGGTTGTTGTGCTTGACCATTTTGACTGTGCTGATGTGAGCCCTCTATCCACCCGCTATTCGCAGCCACTCACTGAACCACTGCTTGATGGATAAAGAGCAGCTTCCTACGAAAACCTCCAATTGATGCTCGCCGCGGAAATTTCGTTGGAGCGAAACGCCGATATCATCAAGTGGCACTTTATTCCTTCCCCCACTTTCGGCCGCCATGCGTCCCCAAATTTCGCGCGCCATCCCATTCCTCTCTTCTTCTTCAACAAACGCAAAAACAAATCTACAAAAAAAGCACCTCCTCTCCTCCTGTGGATCCCCTTTCGAGGGCCGCATCCCTACTAGTGGAGAACGAGGCCGTCATATCGTAGAAGAGAGCGAAATCAAAAGGGATTTGGGTGGACCGCTTGACTGTAAAAGGTGATGAGGGGTTCAAATCCGTGTTTGACATTCTTTTCATGTGTAGTCTAGTTTATGCACATGTCTGTTTTATGATCGCGGTCTTGTTTGAGCCTCGATGTGCATCAAGTTCTCGGCTGATATTTCCAGATGGCCTCGTAACTCGTGATGTCACTATTTGCTACTTGTTCGATTACAACTCGTTCTACAACTACAACTGTCATGTCTACAACTCCACCCACCATGTCCTCCCCGCCTCCTCCCTCCACCGCCTACACCCTCGCCCCCCTAGTCATCTCCCCCCGCCTCCTCCGCTCGCTCACCACCAACTCCTCCGCAACCCGCACCTTCGCCCCTCATTTTAAAGTCGAACCCGACGAACTCTCCATCCTCCGCGACAGAGCTGGCGGTCTGATATGCGGCAAGACCGAATATGTGTCCACCATTTCATGGCCCGAAGGCACCTGGCTCTCATCGGACGAAAAGACGGAAGCTGGGGAGTCGGTCTATCCTCCGCCCGAGACGAGTTTTACGCTCACACCTCTGGGCATGTCGCGCCGGCTCTTGAGTTCTCTCTCTTCCGACGAGGGTGCTAGAAAGACGTTTGCCTTTCACTTTGAGAGGGAAGAAGATGATATATGGGTATGGAGGAATACAGAGGGAGTGGTCGTTGCTGGGCGAGGCGAGGCGGCTGGGGAGCTGGGGATCTTCAAGAAGGACTGAGATTGAGCTGGATGCGGGTTGAGCGTATGTCTGAAAAGAGGATTGGGCTTCGAGGGCTGATTGGATTCCAGTGAGTAACACCTTTTCGCTTGTCATGCGCAAAGCACTTCGCGATGAGGCATCCCGCGATACACTTGCGAGTCTACCGCTGTCGGCCCTTTGGTCGTACATCTACGCTCGACAGGGTGCCCCCGTAAGACAGAATTGTCACAATGCATCTACAATACGAACAGCACAGTTGACCTTTCGTTCGCCGAGAGCTGGTACGATCACGCATACGAGTAGTCCTGATATTTTAGCGACGACAGTCACACCCGCGGCCTCCACGTCAGGTGGTGGTCATCTCTCTTCCAAACTGATTTGAGAATGCCCACAATTGACTGGGCTTTGTATTATCGTACAAACCCCGATCTTTTATTTCGACTTTGCGCATCTCAAGTCTTTCAGTCGTTCACAGCAGATCGACGGGAGGCAGGATATCGCCATCTCGATTGGGAAGAACAAGCAAACGGTACTGGGTGTACCGGCAGCTTACAATTACGGGATCAGGGCAAAGACTGGGCTGCCGAGGACTATGTCGGTAATGGACGAGCGCGACTTCGCTATCCGCGATGACAAGACCCAGATGCTGATCAAAGGTTGAGTGATGGCCGATGCGTGGCGATGTTTGGTAGCTTTGTACTGTACATGCAAGAACAATCATGCACTTTGTAACCCAAAGTAATACTGCAAATGCTGTATTCTTTGATTAGATACATGGCATGATTGTGCCGCTCTTCTGAGAGTTGCAAGACCGGCAGGGATCACAGCTCATTCAACAAACTCTTCTTCCGCCGATGAACCTTCCCGACACATCCGTTCTGGGGGACTACCCCGCCAACTAGCTTTTAGGTAAAGCACCACAAGCCGCACGATGCTTCAGGCTTCAGGCAAGCGATGCATAAGGACATGACACGCAACTGCTGTGCGTATGTCATGTGGTGCAACCTGCTGGGCTGATGATTCATACCCACCTCATCATGACTCATGTCATCATCACCTTTGTTCCTCATGGGCTAACGACTCTGAGGGAAATGAGTTCTGGTAGTCGTCATACAGTGAACGGAAAAGGATACGCAGAGAGAACGTATGTACTGGTGGTGGAAGAAGAATAGTCATGTATGGTCATTGTTTGCACGTCATGCTCGAGAACACCTAACGTAGCTTACCTTTTCATGTGTCACAAAAAGGGCATTCACAGAGACACCACGGTCAAAATATCGATGCAAATGTTCAACGATTCAAACAAGAGATGAACTTCGTCTGCGATCCCACACCGCGCAGCGGACCTTCTCTTCGCCATACCCGATGCTTTCTGTCGTATTTTTTGTTTACCTTCCGCTTACTCGTAGGGGCTGACGGTGTCCTGAGTGCCCGAGTAAGAGGTAGCCACGGCCAGATTCCCGCAACAGCCGAAAGTATGGCGCGCAAACACCCAAAGGCATATCACACAGCCACAACAGCCATCATCACGATCTCACTCACAATCTCATTTTTATCTGCATCTCTCATTCACATCTTCGCCTTCTCTCTTGCCACACTGACACCTGGATACGATACACCACACCTAACCAAGACTCGCACTTCCAACCCTCTGACTCGCTGCTCGCCCAACATCCCCTGTCCCACTCTCACCCCGACTCCTCTACCACCTGACCGGACCGCCCCTTCTCTCACTCAACATGGTGAGCACATCCATGCAGCGCCACAAGACTGGCCGCCGTCCCGCCAGATCCACCCCCTTACCCACGGACACCTCCCTCTCCATCCCCTTGGCGCCCATCGTTGTCAACTCTTACGACTTTGCCAGCACTCCCGGACCTCTCCCCGCCAACGCCCCGCTCCCCACAGTCCCCCGGCATATCCACGCTGCAACCCTCCAACAACTCGCCAACACGTCTTCGCCCGCTCATCCTCCGCTCTACGTGTCGATCAAAGTCAAGGTCCCTCTCGCACCGTTGAAGCGGATCTCGACGATGTCGATGAATGGCGGAGAAAAGTGTAAGAGCCGATTCAGGTTTGAGATGTGGTCGTGGGATGATGAGGAAGGTGTGGAACGTCCTCGGGGTAGGTGGGGGCCTGGGGCGGGGTATGGGATGGAGATTGTGGGTGGAGACGAGCCGAAGGCTTCGAATGAGCTTGTAAGTGGTCTTGAGTTGTAATTGCAGAGCTCATGTTGGACAGGATCAAGAAGCTGCAAGGGCAATGTACGGGCGAGAGGAAGCGTATAGGACTCCTCTTCCAGCTATCAGCGTGAGTAAGAGACCAGCCTTTGACATCTCCTGACACGCCTCAGTACGATCTCTTTTCTCAGCTCGCGATCGATTATGCCAGCGACGGTTCCAAGAGACGAACCGAGGAGATGATCGAGAGACCCGAGTCGGCGAAACGTACAAGAGCGGTGGGCAATGTGGGAAACGCGATATAACATCGAAGCGCAATATCGGGAAATTGGAGAGCATCCTGTGTCCAGAGACAAAGTCACTTGTAGCGTTCTTCCAAGTATTGTTGGTACATGTATCCTGTGTTGTTCTACCCTGCCGAGGCATGCATGGGGACCATCGAGAAGGGCGTTTTGGCGAGGGCTCTAAGTGCCACACTCGCTATAACTCCGGCTCTGGTGCGCGTCGCTCGTCACCGCCAGTCGCGATCCCAGCTTGACTCTCTCTGACAACAACACCCCCACCACCACCGCCGCCATGTCCGATCCGTCCTCTGAGCTGTACCCCATCCACCTCCTCATGGACGAGCTCAAGTCCGAGGATGTCGTCCTCCGCCTCTCCTCCATCAGGCGCCTGTCCACCATCGCCCTCGCCCTCGGCCCCTCGCGCACCAGAGACGAGCTCATTCCTTTCATCCAGTACCAGCTCGACGACGAAGACGAGGTGCTGCTCGTGCTTGCAGAGGAGCTCGGCAACTTTGTGGAATACGTCGGCGGCAAGGAGTATGCGTATATACTCCTTGGGCCTCTGGAGAACTTGACCGCGGTGGAGGAGACTCTTGTGCGAGAGAAGGTGTGTATGCATGGATGGGATAAGGAGCGTGCTGACACAGTGTGCAGGCTGCCGACAGCATCTCCAAGGTTTCAGTCTTGCTCAATGCCCAGGACCTCGACAAGCACTTCCTTCCCGTTATCGAGCGGCTCTCAACTGGCGAGTGGTTCACCAGCCGAACTTCTGCCTGTGCCCTCTTTGCCGCCCCCTACCCCAATGCCACTCCCTCAACGCAACAAAAGATGAAGCAGCTCTTTGCTGGACTCTGTTCCGACGACACTCCCATGGTCAGGCGAGCTGCCGCCAAGGCTCTCGGGGTATGTGTCTCCTAGTTTGACTCTTATCAAGCTCACTCTCTTGCAGCCATTCACAAAGGCCGCTGGTACCGTCACCGACCAGCACGCTCTCCTCGTCTCCGACTTGGTCCCCGTATACCGCAAACTCTCCAGCGACGACCAAGACTCTGTCCGACTCCTCACCATCCCCGACCTCATCGCCCTCGCCTCCACCCTTACCGCCGAAGAGACCAAGACCCACCTCCTCCAATCCATGCGCCACAGCATCACCGACAAGTCCTGGCGAGTCAGGTACATGGTCGCCAACGAGTTTGTCGGCCTTGCGGAGAGTGCTGGGGAGAGCATCATTAGGGAGGAGCTTGTGGGCGCGTTTGTGGGGCTGTTAAAGGACAATGAGGCCGAAGTCAGGACGGCTGCTGCTAGCCAGATTCCCGGGTTTGCCAAGCTTGTCGACAGGGAAGTCATCCTTGCTCGTCTCTTGCCCTGTGTACGGGACTTGGCTACCGACAGCTCTCAGCACGTCCGCGCTTCTCTTGCTGAGCAGATTTCTGGTCTTGCTCCTCTGCTCGGGAAGGACTCTACTATCGAAAACCTCCTCCCGTTGTTCTTGCAATTGCTCCAGGACGAGTTTAGCGATGTGCGATTGAACTTGATCGGCAAGCTTGACACTGTCAACGAGGGTGAGTGGTGACTTTTGATGTAGACATGCGCTGACCATATGTAGTGATTGGCATTGACCGGCTCTCCCAGGCTCTTTTGCCCGCCATCATGAAGCTCGCCGAGGACAAGCAATGGCGAGTCCGACAAGCCATCATCGAGTACATTCCCCTCCTCGCCCAGCAGCTCGGTGTCGAATTCTTTGACGACAAGCTCGGCGCTCTCTGCATGTCTTGGTTGGGCGACACTGTCTTCTCTATCCGAGAGGCTGCTACCATCAATTTGAAAAAGTTGACAGATGTCTTTGGTGTCGAGTGGGCAAAGAACACGATCATACCAAAGGTCTTGGAGATGGGCAACCACCAGAACTACTTGTTCAGGATGACCACCATCTTTGCCATCACCGTGCGTACCGTTCCCTCTTATGGTAATCTTGCTGACCCTCTACAGACCATGGCCCCCTCCCTCGACACCCCCATCATCCGCGACACCGTCCTCGACGCCGCCCTCAACCTCGCCAACGACGCCATCCCCAACATCCGTTTCAACGTCGCTAAGTGTCTCGAGACCTTGGCCGTTGTATTGGCGCAGACACCGGAAGGACAAGAGTTGATCCACAGAAAGGTGGCGCCGGCGTTGAGAAAGCTGCAGGATGACCCGGATGCGGATGTGAGGTATTTCGCGACCAAGGCTTCGGAGAGAACAACGGGGGATGGTTCGGAACCGATGGGTAAGCCCTTCTTCTACATTGGAAAAGTGGTCGTTGCTGATTCAGAGCGCAGTGTTGTCATAAATCAAAGAACATTATACAAAGACTAAACGACGAGCATTCCGTCCTAGAAACGACTCTTCATCATGTCCCTCTCAGCCCCCTGGCACTGAAATCTCCATTGTTCTCTCTCCCCCTTGCAGTGATTGACTTAGTTTTCTTCTTTTTTCCCTTCCGAGCACATGTATAAAAGGTTTCCAAACACTGGACGGACACTTGTGCGACATGGCAGGTGTTGAATAAGATACTCGAGTACTGATACTACGTAGTGGAAGCTTTGACGATCGACAGCGTCGGGTCCAGGGCATACCTCCGACCGAGCATCTCACCATAGTCGTTGCTAACGACAGATGTGCTCGTGTGTAAACATGACTAGACATTTTCACCCCAGCCGTTTGCTACAACGACAGATGTGTCTTTATCACGCAGATATGACCCTGGACCCCACGCTGTCCACCCTCAGATGAAAGAAAGTGGAGCCGAACAAACATTCGGCGGCATGATGGGGATATGGGGTGAGGGAGTAATAAGTTGATGATGGTAGTGAGGAGGAATATCGAAAGTCTATAGGAGTGAGATCGCCTGGGAGGCATCTTCTACTAAAGACGCGATGGAGAAGAGGAAGTACTGACCCATGGTTGTCAGGCATGGGACTATGTACCCATGTGCTCTTCAGACTCCAGGTTGGGGACGTTGTATGTTGATTGATGGCAAGAGCCTGGCAAGTCTCTACGGTCAGCGAAGCTGCCCATGGAAGACTTGTCGGCTACGAGCCATTGGTTGACGGAGGATGAAAGTAACGGCGGGGCAAGTGTGTGAAGTAAGATAGGTGGTGGTGAGGAAGAGTATCGTATGAAAGTGTCGATATGATTGTTGATATAGCCAGGATGGTGATTCTGGGGAGAGACTGCTCTTCATTATTACTGGCCCTTATAGGGGAAATCGATGGGAGCCTCGGGAGGTCCAGGAAGACAACTGAAAGGGTACAAGTCTCCTCTCTGCATTGGTGGGTGATGACATTTGTAACACTGAAAGGAAGACCTCTTCGCTCTCGAGGCGAAGTCCGGCCAGTCGCGAGAAACCAAATATGATGAGTCACAGATTGTGGAGCCGGGGAAGGAAGACTCGAGCGCCACTCGACGGGCGTGATAGGAGAGTCAATAATTCGTCATGTATCGGGCATTGGTGAGCCTGTCTAGTTCGTAAGCCATTTATGTTATCTTGTGCCGGCCCTGCTGGTCAGGTTAACGTACGTGACTACCGTTTGACCGGCTCTGTTATCTTCGTGCTCCGAGGCGGAACATACGGGCAATAACCAGCGTATCAACAGGTGGCCTATCGCGGAACACGAGGATATTGGACTGTCTGATGACTTGCACTTCCGACTTCCGCAAAGACGGAAAGGCTTTCACGGTCCAACACACGCGGCTTGAAGCGCGAATGCCCGATACCAATCACCAGCTGTCCTTTCAACATGGCGCTTCGCCAAGTGTGGGAGGAAGAACGGCATACATTGGATCAGTGTGAAGTAGTGTATTAACAAGTCTCTTGCAGAACGATGCATCACCGGTCATGAGCGTCCAGCCGGATCTATGACCTTTGGACTGACGCGATCATCCGACGTTGAGCTGAGCAAACGTCTTCCCGGGTAGTGAACGGCTATACATTCTCAGCAACTACATAACTCCGAATCGGAATCCTGTCTACACGCTCGGTGCCGAGGATATACCCGACAAGCCGGCCTTGGGACACTCTTGGTAACTCGAGCCGGACCTGCATTGCCTGTGGCTTCCGATGAATCAGCGGTAGAGCCTATGAGACTTATTACTCCATTCACGCTATAGTGTACCAGATATGGCAATACTTGTCTCCGGGTGGGAAAGCCCCCGGTATGCGCGGAAAACGATACGTTCCGAGCCTTGAGTGTGGTCCCGAACCAAACACAAAGGAAGAAATAGGAGGGCCCCGAGTATTTGTAGAAATCTGTGCGAGACGGGAATCTGACGGGAAACCGACACCATCGGAACTATGGCCACGGTCAGGCACGTGCGCCATTTGGCCCAGATACAAAATAGTCTTGGGTTTTTTACGGTTGAGGCAGGGGCGGTTATGTCCGCTTTGGGGTAAGAATACGCAAAACCCAAAATGCATCAAGATCTGCGCCGTCCCTGAAGGTTCCGAAAACTACAAATCATCAACGTTTTCGACATCTGATGTTCGCTTTCTTCCGCTATCAACGCGCTGCAAAAGGAAAGATGTGAATGGACGAACGTCTTGGTACATGCGTCAACGCCCGAATCCGAGAGGCGTACTCACTCCCTATGGAAGATCCAGATCCGCGAGGGGCAGAGCCTGGAGATATATAAGGACCCCTCAGACCGACTGACATCCTCCATTTACAAACACACTGCATCTACTCAACAATCAGCCTCACCAGCTACCACACCACTCAACAACACACCACTCCCCACCAAACCAAGCCACACCAAACCCACTAGCAATGTTCGCCCGATCTCTTCTCCGAACTGCCTCCACTACCATGCCTGCTGCGAGGACCATGACTACTCGCAAGGCTTCCACCATGTCTTACGAGCAGAACGGCATCGTGAGTCATTCTTCGACATGTATATCTGTGCAATCACTGACAAGCCAACAGACTCACCAAATGGGGGCCTTCTTCAAGAAGAACGGTGTTCCAGTTGATGCTTACCCCATCGTCTTCATCACTCTCTTCATGGCTTCCGCTGGCACTTTCAGTGAGTCCTCGTACCTTCTCTGTGCGCAGTGTGACTAAATCTATTCTCAGTGCTCTCCAAACACATCAGGGAAGACCGTGACCACCTTCGATGGATGCCCCGTCAAGGTGGCTACAAGTTTCAGCTTCCCGCCGACAAGTAATCAACTCCCTTCTAGCAATGATAGTACATCAGAGCTGAAGAGTGCGGGTGAAAGTCGGGGTTGCAGTAGCCATAGCATTAGCAATTATAATCATAGTACTCATTTCTCTATCTCGGATGGTATCTCGGGCGACGTCGACATTGTAGGATTATTGTACAACTTACATGATATGTGATGAATCTTTTGGGCCCAACAACCAGTGTTTCAGTACATCAGCGATTGCAGGACAATCGACATTGACCAGCTACCCCCTGCGAGCCACGATGCACCACTCTGCATAACCATATACATGCTTACACCTTTCCTAGCTTCTTCTACACGCCTATGATCATACCTGTGACTAGAACTTGTACTTGGCGGACCCACTCTTGATGAGGTCAAAGACGACAGTGTTGTCGAGAGGTGTGTACTGGTTGGTGACGAGCTTGATCACCTCTTGCGCCACCACACCGCCAACGAGGGCAGCAGTCGTGGGTATAGTCGCAAATCCACCACGGGTCCTATGGATTTGATCAGCTCACTATATAGTTCGATCTCGTTCTAGACCTACACCTCAGCAATACTCTCTGACACGACATCAGGCAGATCAGGGTACTGGGGGAGGAGTGGCTTGACGATAGCTTCCAGCTCAGCGCTGTCCTGCTTAAGCGCCTCGATGGTAGTGGTACCAGGCCACCTTTTATTGGTGTCAAAGAACTTTTCGGCGGCGAGAATAGCGAGGTACAGAGACAGAGGTGTAGCGTTTTCGAGATACTCTTCGTCAAAGCTCTCTGTTGGTGAATGTCAGCCTCGGCTCTGTCTTCATTTGGCGATTGACTCACCAAGCTCAGCAGCCAGTAGTCCCTTCCCATCCTTGCTTTCTCTCAAAGACGTCCCCTTGATGATCCCCACACCTCCAACATTCCTCACGAACCCTTCCACCTCATCCGCCGGCACACTCTCTACCGGTAGTCCCACCTTTTCCAGTACCTGCGCCAAGAGCTCTTTGAACTTTGCGAGGTCGGCTTGATGCTGAGCTTTATACATGTTCTGGAGAGCGACGTAGGATTCGGTGCTAGAGTGCATGTCGGGGAGGGAGGGAGATGTGGGTGGGAGGTGAGGGGCGGGAATGATGTATTGGCTGAGGGTGTGTAGGAGGATCTGTAGATTCTTGGACTGCGTGGCTGTCAGTCCCGTCTCCCTTGTCCAGAATAGACTTACACTGTGGGAAATGTTCTTAACGCTCTCGTCCTCCAGAAGCTGCTTGATCTCCCAGGGCACCTAGACACCGTCAGCTGATGCAGAAGGGTTCATATCATTTGCCGCTTACTTCAGATTTCTGCCACACCTTGTACGCCTGACCCAGTGCTTCATCGTAGTTCTCCTCGTCACTCTTGATCTTCTCCGCCTTGATCTGCTCCTTGAACTCTGCCTTCTCTTCGGACGTATCGGGAAGCTTTCCGCCGTGCTACCGAAAGGTCAGCAATGAGACTTCGAGGGATGAGCTCTTCTCACGTTCTCCTTCCATATGCTAGCTGCTCTGACCAAAAGCACAACCCAAGGAATATGAGAATGCTCCAAAGTGTCCATATCGGCAAGCTGAAGCGACCGGGCGTGTTGTTCGACAGCGGGGAACGGCTCGTCGAGACGGAGGGTATGGGTGGTATCGGGGTGGCTATCAATGACTTCATCTGTGTCAGATTATTCCCTCGCGTCGGCTTAACAGTCTGCTCACCGGCGTGCTCTCTGAGCTGGATTTGGACACGGCTGACAAAGCCAGAGTTCCGGATAGAGATCAGCGGAATGTCGGCACCTCCGATAGTCGAGGAGGCTTGCCAAAGAAGCTCGGAAAGCTGATCTTCGAGAGCGGGGTCGACGCTGGATAGGATGATGAGGGTGAATGAGAGGAAGTAGTGAGGGTCAGAGGCCAAGAGCGCAACGGGATCCTGCGCGGAGTGTCAGCTATTGCGCGGTATCGAAATCATGATACGTACATCTGTACGAGCCAGACCTTCCACAGAAGGGTTCAGTTCCTTCAGATACCTGCAGACAGGTCCGTATCAGTATCCTGGCGCTCTATGCATGACATAAGCACGTACTTGACACTCTCTTGGGCAATGTTCGAGCCAATGGCGTCCGGGTGGAGGAAGAAGTTGGTTGCAACATCCTGGGATGTGGTTGTTTTGGGGGAGAGGATGGTAAAGTGAGAGATACCTGCACTATGTCAGTCGGTACGCTGGAGTACAGCCGCACGGCGCACCAGGAAGGACAAGGTTCTTTAAGGACTGGCATCCCGCGGCATCACAGCCGACGAGAAGAACTCGGGCAGCTTCAAGCGACCTCTGGCCAGCAGAAGCCCACAGTCTAAGGTACCTATGAGCACTTCTTATTTGTCGCATTCGAGAAAGAGTTACCGCAACTGTCTGTCATAACGCCTTGTCTTTGCATCAGGTCGGTAGCTGCGCACCGTCAGCCATTGCCCGATATTACAAACAGATGATTTATTTACGAAGGGACAGGCTCCGTTCCAGTGACTGCGTCTGCGACATCGATGGAATCGTCCATCTTTACGATCTTTGTAGGACGTGTGTCAGCGGCTGAGGGAGAAGAAGAGGGCATCGGCTGTCGTCTTTAAGCAGGCGGAGAAATGAGGTATCCGGCCTGGAATATGACGAATGGAGCCGGGAGGGAGAAGTTGTGAGCTAGGGGGAGCGGAGTGTGGAAAAGCGGAATGCTCAGGAAACCATCGACATCACCTCCTCGTGTCGCGTACGTACTCCGCAAGAGGACATGGAATGGCGGTAATGTCCGCTCAGGGCCGTGCATGACGTTCGCTTCTCGTTTTGGTCGTTTCGAGTTTCGTTTCAACTCCTTCACGGCGTTTCAGTCATCGTTTTGAAGACGAAACAGGGTGTCCCAATCTATGTGCGTTCACTTTTGTGATTTTGAAAAGGGCGCCCACGAGCAACACAGGGGCAATTTACGAGACCTCTCTGCTGTTCTCTCGACCGCGGTTGCTCTTTCCCAACGAAGGGTCAATGCAGCGATGTGACAGCCGGAAGCTGACAGATTTAAGCAAATCTTTGGTCACCAATTGTGGCACTTTTCTTTCTGAAGGATCATCGGGGTGAACGTTCGAGCGCGTCTTTCGGCGCAAGATGTAACCCTCTCACGTCTAATGATGAGTTCTTCCGGCACTTGTAGCTTAGGTGGTGGTCTGGCTGTCCCACCGGGGCTGACACCCGCATGGCATGTTCTTGACTTGACGCACGGTATCATAAATTCTCTCATGATATGACACGCTATATCATCAAAGCCATTCAATACCCTCGCTGGACCTCTCCAAGAGTGTAGGCAGAGCTGCGCATCTCTCTGCAGTGAAACGGTCATTTATGTACGTTTTTCGGGTTAACGCAGACTTGTAGCGACCCTCCTCCTCGTGATATACGTCTATTTGTAATACAGACATCGTCTTTGTATGGTGGTACAGCCTTCATGATCACGGTTTATCCATCCCATAAAGTTGAGCGACTGAAGCGACGGGACCAAATGCCAGGAACTTCAACAACAAAGCGGGCGCGGGTGGCCGAGGAAATCCAAGCAGGATCCACATTTGTGATTTGACCCATGGCAACGTGGTGCTGGGCCTCACCGAGTCAGCGATATCAATTTCTCACCACTATATCCATCTCGACACAGACGACGCTCTTACCATGGTCGGAAGAAATACGGTTCAGATCGCCAAGGCAAAGCAAGAGGAGAGGGAAAGACTTATATCAGAGATGGAATCCCTCCTCGGTTTGCAGAGCGAACATCCGGAGGACGAGGAAGTCTTGAACACCAGGTGAGAATGATTCCGAATGTCACTCCAGAGTGCGGCGAGAGCTGACCTAAAGCGCGGACCGCAAGAGATCGTGTGGCACCTCAAAGGGCGTAAGACAGGATGGACGGTCGAGAGGGTCATGTCTGTATATGTGAGTGGGAAGCTGCAGCTTGTCATTCCACACCAAACTTCGAAGATACTTATACTGTACGTAGATTCGCGCCGCTTGTGCCGCTCACCGAAAGACGAATTGCTTGACTGAAGGTAAGTCATCGTTGTTACTGAAGACCTGCGTTTCTGATCGTCTTCGTCGTTCTCTAGTCCTCTTCAAAGAAGCCCTTGAACAAGCCAAGAGTCATGATCGAGAGTATGCGACATTTGGAAAGGCTCACGGCGCGTTCTGGGGTCTTCCTTCGAGTTTCAAAGGTGAGCGTGCATACTTTTCCTTGAATGCATTATGCCAACGACTGACACTATCGCAGATACCTACAACATCAAGGGCGTGGATAGCTCCCTGGGTTGTTCTCCGTACTAATTTTCAGCAGAGCGCAACGTAAACCTCACTGACATGCTATATAGGTACTGCTTTGGTCCTATTTTGGATGCTGAAGATGAGGGAGGCGTGCGTATCGTTGTCGCCTAGAATGAGAGAGTACTAACCCCTCCATAGCTCGTCAAAGTCTTCCGAGCTGGCGGAGGAATACCATTCTGCAAGACAAACATCCCCCAGACTCTTCTCGCTTTCGAATGCCGCAACCCCATCTTCGGCCAAACCTCCAATCCCGGCGCGTCAGATAGGACTTGCGGTGGCAGTTCAGGCGGAGAAGCTGCGCTTGTGGCTCTTCGAGGCAGTCCCATAGGATGGGGGTCTGATAGTAAGTCTCCTTCTTGGACCGATGGAGTAACGCTGATCTAGACAGTCGGCGGATCGCTGAGGATCCCTGCTCATTATAGCGGGATATGCGGGCTCAAGCCTGTCGCTGGGAGGTGGCCTCAAAATGGGAATCGTTCGAGTGTGAAGGGATTTGAGGGTATCAAGGTCCGTCTCATTCGTTCATTGTCGCAGACGGGTTACTGATGGCTATCTTTAGGGCGTTGTGGGTCCAATGGGACGGACTGTCGACGACCTCATCTTTTCCACGCGCTCAGTGTTCAATACGATCCATGAGCCTTCCACCGAATTGCCCGGTGAGCAATTGTTGCCCATCGCTTGGAGGGAAGTCGAGCTTCCGAAGAAGCTGAAGGTGGGCTACTGGGTCGATGACCACGCTATTAAAGTGCGTTCTTCTCGGTGGCGATAAAGCTGGAAGGTCAGAGCTGATGCTCGCTGCTTGTAGGCTAGCCCAGCCTGCGCCCGAGCGGTGTTGGAGAGTGTACAAGCCCTAAAGAAGGCTGGTCACGAAGTCATTGCTTTTGATCCCCCGGATGGTATGTTGCATATCTCTTTCCCGTCTCTTGCCAGACTGACAGATATACAGTACCGGAAGCCCTCAAAGTGCGTTCGTCCAATGTCATATCGTATGCCCCGTCAACTCACCGTCCATTTTAGATCTTTGCGGGATTGACGTCCTCCGACGGGTACAAGACTCTGCTTAGCAACATCGGAAGCGATCCTATGGAACCCTCAATGAACCTTGTAAGCTACACGTGCCACGTGCTTTTCGTATATGGCGCTGATACATCTACTATAGGTCATCAAGCCTGTAAAGCTTCCAGGATGGATACTACTGATCCTGGTCTGGTTTGTCGCGAAAGTTACTGGAGATCAGCTCTTCGCGGACGTTCTTTGTGAGTCACGGGCGTGAGGGTGCGAATGGTGTACTGATGATTGGTGTCCCAGCCAATTGTCGTCAAAAGAGTACACAAGAGTTCCTGCAGTATACGCATAGAAGGAATGTGTATATTGACAAGTTCAGGAGAGCTGTAAGTACTCAAGACCCGCTATAGGAATGATACACCGTACTGAAACGATTCTACAGGCTTGGGACGATAACAAGTTCGACATTCTGCTGACCCCGACTCAAGCCGTACCTGCTCTCAAGCACAACCAGACTGAATGGCTCTCTCCCCTCTCGCAAGTCTCATTCGTCCCTAGACGTCCTCATGTCTGATCTGATGCCCCTATAGTATCGCCACGATTCTCTTTAATGTTGTCGACAGTACCGTCGGCGTCCTTCCCGTCACCCGCGTCAGCAAGGACCTTGACACTCTGCCCAGCGACTGGCTCGAGGGCAGTACCGGCTCGAAGCTTCTGCAGGAAAGGATTTATCTCGGGAAGCCTGGCAAGACCGATCCTGCGTATGTGCCGGAGCAGATGCATGGCTTACCTGTCGGGGTGCAGGTCGTCGGAAAAGCTTGGGAGGAAGAGAAGGTTTTGAAGGTGATGAAGCTCTTGGAAGGTCTGGTTGGCTATGAGACTCGATAGAGGTATTGTAGATTCATATTTGTAAGAGTACTTTTTCCTGTTATGCCCAATCCGGTGCAGGTCTCCGAAGTTTTTCAAACTCGTCTCGCTTGATACCCTTCGATACCCATCGATTCAACATATCCTGCGCCTCTTTGGACGTACGTTGATTGATGGCATGCACGATCATATGATCAGCCATTCCACTATCGACCCCACATCGACTCTTGATCTTGCCTTTGATTTCTGCAAGCTTTTTGACATCAAACCTATGTGGCCCACCACCAGTGTAACCCCCACCGATATACACGTTCAAAGATTTGGCGAGAGGAATGACCTTTCTCTCAAATTCGCGCCTGGAAAGGGGTCGCTGAATGTACGCCAACCATTTGACGTGGTCCTCCTTGGACCATTGCTTCTGCGCCATGGCCTGGTTCAAGGTCTGGACAGTGTCTTTCGATAGCTTGATATCGCGATACCCACCATGCCCATCCGACTCGCCCATTTTGTGACCACTGCTGCTGCTTTCACCGCCTTCACCTCCTTTGGGAAGTTTCACGGGTATACCCATCTCTTTCAGGATCTTGCCAGCTGCCTGCAGCTCTTTCTCGGACTTAGGATGTTTCAAGAGATCCATCACCTTCTTCCTCTCCTCCGAAGGCACCTTCTTGGACTTCATGGACGCTCCAGCTTTTTCTATCGCCTCTTGCGGTATAGCAAGCGTCGTCTTTCCACCCCCACTTCCCTCCCCACCCTGCTCAAACTTCTTCGGCCACCCAGCCTTCTTGGCACTCTCCGAATACCGCTTGTCCCGCCTCTCTATCTCTTTCCGATCCTTCTCCTGAACCCAGGCGTTCATCTGCTTTCTCGCCCGGTCTTTCTCGGCCGCGTTGAGAGCGAGGATCATGCCCGCTATAGCCGGGTCAGAGTAACCCGCGCGGTGCAGGTATTTGTAAGGGTTGGAGACGTTCTTAGAAGTAGGCATGTTGGAAGGGGTGGAGGATCCGGAAGAGGAGGGTTTGCTTTCGGAGCGCTCGGAGGTATCGGGAGCTTGGGAGGAAGAAGAGGGTTTTGGTGGTCGGGAAGAGGAAGAATTGGAAGTTTCTGGTCGGGTCGATGAGGTTCTGCTGGAATCACGAGAGGTTCTCGGTGGGGAATCAGAGCCGCCACTGCGTCTCGAGCTGCTGCGTCCGTCGCTGTCCCGTACCGATCCTCCTCCTGATGAACGACGGCCGGATGGATCGAAAGGCGACTGAACCTTGATCTGCACCATCCCATTAGACTCGGCTCTGCTGTCCATGAAAATACACTTACGGGTAGTCCGTCTTGGTCTCTTATCATCCATAGAATCGTCATCGCACTGGTCTTCAGACAGACTATGAGCGTGAATAGGTCGGGGTGGAGAAGGAAGAAGCAGACGCCTTCGATCAGGCAGCCCATCATGAGCGAGGGCCAATAGTTCTCCAAATGCTCCGCATGTTTCTTTCGCAGATACTCGTTGTCTACATACTCAAGTCAGCCATGCGAGCGAGGAGACAAGCAGGAACATACTGTAGTATTGGAGAGGTATAGTGAGGTCGAACACGAAGGCAAGAACCATCGAGATCTCCATCGGACTTGTCCTCACCACGATCCAAGCGCAGACAAAGACGCCGGCGATGATAAGGACGTCCCATACTCCAGTAAGATCCGAGATGAATATGACTAGCTCTCCAAGCCATCCTCCAGAAGGCGCCAGCTAGAAACAATCGTCAGGGATGTTCTGAAGGTAAAGAAAGAGGAAGTACCCATTTCTCTCTGAAGTCTTGGGCCCGTTGTCCAAGGTCTCTCGGCATGGGATCCCAGGAGTGTCATCAAGACTCTGGGATAAGCCCGGAAATCGCCTTCTTGTTGTTTATGTTGCCAGGTGCCGAGAGATGACCGGAGTTTGAACTGTATAGTGACAAGGTTTTCGAGTTTGGATATCCACAATGCAAGGAGAGAGGCACACGTTTCGAGATGTGGCGATTGTTCGATCCAGGACCACCAAGTCCAAGACAAAAGATGGTACGGGTTAGCATATAGCTCAGTACGCGTATCGCGTACTCCTAAGACCCAGTCCTCCTTTCACATCTATCCATAGGGCAGGGGCTGCTGGGCTTGAAAGGATGCTCCGTGTCGCGCGTTTCACCACCGAGATAGCGGTATGGCATCGGACCTGCTTGCATGCCTGCCCACGCTGCGGAGAAGAGAAGGCCAGAAGGCTGGGAAAAGCATATCTCTGTGCGATGGCCGGTCGACCTCCTCCTTTGACACACCGACGCGCGCGTTATCGACGCTGTTCCGCCTGATAACCGTTGTTCTCTGTTTGCGATAGTCCCTGCCCTGCTGGATATCCGCCAGCCCACAAATACGAATGTGAATTCCAAATTCCCTTCTCCTCTCCAACTCTTGCACAGCAGTGCCTCCACCACGATGGTCCACACCCAGAACACACCGGTAGCTACTAGCTCTACCCCTCTCCTCGCTCCTGCCGAGTATTCCTCTTCCAACCCTGCCCCCATTCCCTGGCGTCTGCTCGTTCCCATCCTTCTCATCCGTATCGTAGACTCCATCTCATACATCCTCGTCTTCCCATTCATCACCGAGTTCATCACCTCTCTCCATGCCCCGCCCGACAAAGTTGGTCTCTACGCAGGCTTGGCTGAGGGGTGCCTCATGGCCGTCGAGGCGTTCTGCGCCACCAGATGGGCCAGAGCTGCAGACCGATGGGGCCGCAAGAGGTGCTTGGTATGGGGAGTATTGGTGACTGGGACTGGATGTGCGTTGGTAGGTTTCGGACAGAGTGTGGGTTGGATCATATTCTGGCGAGCTTTCTGTAAGTCATATCAGCATCTCTCCCGCTCATATGCTGACCCCATCTGCGCTAGATGGATTGACTCCTGCTGGCGTGCTCACAAGGACCGTCGTCGCCGAGATCAGCCACTCCTCCAACCGATCCCGCATCTTTGCCATCTACTCGCCCATGCTTTCTCTTGGCGTCATCATTGGCAACCTCATCGGCGGCGAGCTGGCCAAGCCGTACGGCAAGCTCCCATGGTGGATGGGAGGCTCGATGAAGATCTGGCAGCACTTTCCCTATGCTCTTCCCTGCGTCGTTTGCTCTATCTTGTGGGTTGCACTCGGCTTCACCTCAAGAAGATAGCTGATATCCGGTATAGGAGCTTATCCGTTGTCGTACTTTGCTGGTACACTCTGGAAGAGGTAAGCTAGAGCCCTGGCACAATGCAGCAGACACTTACAAGTCCCAGACAAAGAAGAGTCCCGAGAAAGACCAAGACGAAAACGCCCAAGGAGAGGCGCGAGAAACCAACACCTTCAAGGCTGTCCTCCAGGTCCCACACTTTATGCTGGTCATGGGGATTCTCTGCAGTGGGTTCAATCCTATACTCCGAGCAAGTAAACATACGCTGACATGTTTTTTTTTTGTTTTTTTTTTCAGGCTTCCAGCTGGGTCAGTATATACGCGTACATATTGGACAGAGCGTGAGCTGACTCTTTGCGTAGCGAGCTTTGCCTTCGAAGGCCTTTTCACCGTCTTCCTCTGGACCCCCATCAAGCGCGGAGGACTCGGTCTGCCTGTCCACTTCATCGGTCTCACCAACTCTCTCTCCTCCGCCATCTACATCCTCGTCTCCCCTGTCCTTGCCCCTCTTATCGAAGACAAGTTCGGACTGAAGGGCGGTCTAGCTTTGACGAGCGGCGCCATGCCCCTTGAAGCCCTCGTCATTCCTCTCGCCCAATTCGCAGCTACCAAAGGCCTGGCTTGGACAGGTGTGATGTTGGGTGTCCAGTGTCTGCTCAAGAACTTTCACTGCATGGGCTGGTCGTGAGTACTATGCTGTCGATGGGATTCAGGCGCTGATACTCGATGCTAGGCAAGGCGATAATATCATATTCGCTGTTGTTGGCGCGTACCCAGAGCTTACAGCTTCCGCCAGCGCCATCCAATGTATTGCCGGGGTACGTCGAGTGTCTGTCGATACTGAGGACATGACTCATGTTGCGATAGGCGATCGGTCGAGCTTCAGGTCCTGTGATCTCTGGGTAAGCTCCTTCTCTTCTGTCATCCATATCAGCTTACTCACCATTGTGCAGTTGGGTCTTTTCATTCTCCACCGCCTTCCCTGCAGTCTCGCTCGGCCGTCAACTATCCTGGATCGTCCTCTTCCTCATCTGCCTTCCGCCGCTTTTGCTTGTGACCGTCATCCCCAGGCTGACGGAGGACGGCAAGGACGATGAATCCCAGGTTGAGGTTGTGAAAGAGAACAAGGTCGAGTATGAAGTTGTTGGGGCGTATACTGTTGCTGAAGGGTATTATGGTGCGACTGGTGTTGAGTTGGTGGATGTGCGTTGAATATATCGGTCGTGGTTGGTGGTTGTATACCTACAGACATTTGCTCGTCGTGAGCCCTATATAGATTTTTGTTATGATTCAGATGTATTCTATGATTTTCAGTCAGAATCTACGACAGGCAGCATTCGTACAAACCTGCATGGCCACGAGACGGTCTCGAATGCGAGGTATTGAGATGGGTCAAGAACAGAGATGGGTAGATCTCGGGTGTCCTGATCGGCCCACATAGCTCCGACGCGACGCGTCTGTTCTTTCCAGGTTCTTTCTTGCGTCGTTTCTTTGCATTTCAGCATCGTTTATACCACGACCGCCCCTTCTCGCCATGTCCGGGGACTCGGTACCAGGGCAACAACACCCCCTCCCTCCTCCGTCTAACCAGAATGACTCCGATGAGGAAGAAGTCCTGGAAGGGAACGCATGCCAAGCGCCCCCTCGCAAGGCCTCCCTCGAACCCCAAAGTCCTGTCAAGAATACTCCCAGAAAGACGTATAGTTCCGCAAAGAAATCAGTCGGCGCTGTGGCCTTGACGCCCCAAAGACGAGGTAGAAGCAGTGCTCCCTCATCGGCGGCCAAGTCTACGACAAAGACTGCTGTCAAAGCGGCGTCCAAGGCGGCCCCGTCGCCAACGCCAAACCGTAAAAGGGTGGCCCCTGCGGAAGAGATCAACTCTGAAGCTAGACTTACTCGGAGTGGAGCCAAATCCGCTGCGACGCCCACAAAGTCAAAAGGCAAAAAGGCTCCCAGCAAGACACCGATGTCGACTGTTCAGAGGGGCCGCAATAGCCTCGCTGGGACGCCTACGCTCGCTTCGGGCCTCAGGGATGGGTTGCCGACGCCTTCACCGGCTCTTCGTGCGTCTACCAGAAAGAGAGCGAGGGGAGAAGGTGTCTCGAAAGCTCTTACTTTCGGAGACGACGTTTTCGATGACGATGAAGATGAAGAGATTCGAGCCAAGAAACAAAAAGCGGAGGAATATACCCGAGAGCAATTCTTGCAGAATGAAAAACAACGAAAACTGAGAGAGGCGAGGAATTATCAGTTTACAGGGGATAGCAATGCTCCTCGTACGACTCGAAGTGGAAGGGCCATCCGGGATACGAGAGATGAAGTGATGGACGTAGAGGAAGAAGAGTTGGACGAGTATGGAGGCAAGCCACAGGACGAAGAACCTCTCGCCCCATCTGCTCCTCTCATACCCGAGTTTGAGCTCTCCACTGCCCCCCTTGTCCCGACATCCCCACCTCTCGCACTCTCACCCGCGCCTGAACCCGAGATCATCACAGGTGAACCCCTTCCCGACGACGCCGAGCCTGTCTTGAAGACCATTCTCAACACTCTGAACTCGCGCGGTATAACACAAGATCCCCCACCTTTCCTGGACGAGGACAAGAACGAGGCATTGCAGGGTATCTATAATCTCATCAAAGGTACCGTGGATAGGGGCGAGGGCAATAGTGCTCTGGTGGTTGGTCCTCGAGGATCTGGAAAGACTAGGGTGTGTATCATCCAGTGTGATGGCGTGTACCGGCTGACCCAATATCTTCAGACCGTTGCTAGGGCTCTCAGCCTTCTCCCTTCTTCCGCTGCCAGAACAGCACCGATAATCGTCCGTCTGTCCGGCCTTGCCCAAACAACGGATAGGCTGGCCATCAGGGAGATGGGCCGTCAGATTGCTGAAGCGGAAGGACGAGTCATGGAGGAAGAGGCTGTGGATGAGGATGAACGAGGAGACGATGAAGTACATTCTTACCTGCCTATCTACTAATCCAAGAAGGTACTGATCCAATTCCAGGAATACGCGCCAACTACACTACCATCTCACTTGCTCGCGCTGTTGACCGCGCCGTCACCTAGGGCGATCATCATCCTCATAGAAGAGTTTGACCTCTTCACAGAGCATGCCCGTCAAGCTCTCTTATATTGTCTCTGTATGTTTGAGTCTCAATCTGGGGAAAGTATGCTGACCATGATATAGTTGATGTCGTGCAAAGTGTCCGCTCCGGTCCCGTCGGCACCACTCCTCGAGGATTGGCAGTCATCGGCATCACTCCCCGGCTCGACACCCTTCTTCTCCTTGAGAAGCGTGTCAAATCCCGATTCTCTCACCGTATCTGGCGAGTCACTTCCCCTCTGGCCTCTGTTATGCAAGGAGGCGTTGGAGGAGTCGGCAATGGAACAGAGGGACAAGGTCGAGGCGGGTGGGAGGTGCTTCTGAAGATGGCGTTGATACCTTGGTATCCCGAGAGCGTGTTGGATGACCCGGAAGAGAAGTGGAGAGGCGACTGGGAGTATGTCGTTATTACTGTGAGTTTCTTGGTGGTATTTCTCGGCACCTGCTCACTTTCCATAATAGACATTGGGCGATGAGCGCATCAGACGGTACTTTGATCGATTGGTCGGTTTGACGACCGACGTACGCGTATTGTACCGCCCCTTCGTGCGTTCTTTTCCCCATGCAAAGAGATATCCTGACAGGCCTTGTAGATACTCCCTATAACTCGCGTTATAACGCGCTTGGACCAGAAGCTCGACTCCAAAATCCTTGCCGACCAGATATTGGCCCAGGTCGAGACGTCTTCTTTCGGACTTCAAAACAATAAGCTCCGTGGGCTCCCAACTCCTTGTCTGGGCATATTGATCATTGCCAAGCATCTGGCTTTTGCGGGACGAGAGGAATTCACCTACGCAATGGTTGAGGAGGAGTACCTCAGGTTCGCGAGGACAAGACTTGTCGGTATCGGAAAAGTCAGGTGGAGTGTAGGGGTCTTGCGGACTGTGCGTATCACCTGCTTTTCCATAACCACGCTGATGGCTTGTCTAGGCTTTCAGCAATCTCGTACGCATAGCCCTGCTCGCCCCGACTTCATCATCCACAACTGTGACAAACAAACAACATCCTAATTTCTTGAAAGTGCGGTGCACTCTCTCACCCAACGAGATTGTAGAGTGGTTTACTGAGGCGGGCAAGGACAGTGTCGGTCCCGAGATGGGCACTTGGGGAAGAACCTTGGGTGGGCATGCTTGATAAAGTAGAGGTATGTTTGTATAATCAGCATTGAGCGGAATCATGTATGCATATCTGTAGCGTCAGCGTCTCCTCGCTTCATAAGCCTCATTAGCGCTATGTCTTCAAGCAGCCATGGACCACTCTGGAGAAGAATCCAAGACTGCATACATATTGCGAAAAGATAAATACTGCTGAGACATAAGTACCTCTTGAGACCCAAAACATTCAAGATATACAAACAAAAACTCGATAACAACGACCTGGCAATGCGACATTGCCTTCCAAAGACCACGGGAAACCGACTTGATAAGGAAAACAAGCTAGGATCATACTTCGGGGACAGTGTGGAACCCAACTCTCTGGATGTCCTTGTCCTCACCAAGTGAAGCTTTCTCCCCCTGTGCTGGGTACTCCTCATGGACAAGAGGGCATGTGCTCAGGTATTCACCCTACAACATTGCTGTCAAGGAGGTCATCGATTCCGGGGTTCTGGGTGAGATTGTCAACATCCAGGTGAGCCTTTACAAGACGATACCTCAAGCCATGCTGACAGCTTTGCCATAGCATATAGAGCCTATCGGGAACGTGTGTTGATTTCTTGTATAGTCTGGTCGATAATGCTGACAAGAATTAGCAACATTTTGCTCATAACTACGTCCGGGGCAATTGGAGTAAAGAGGCAGTTCACCCCATGTACAAAGTGATTGCTGAGATATATATATATGGATGCGTGAATGTCCGGATTACCAGCGTATCAAATGCCCGCTCTGCTATTCTGATCAACACAGCTGCATATTGTGACAACGATAATCTCCACTAAGGTCTAATTGCGCCATGCAACTCTGAGCATCTAGCACATGAAAGTGAAATACTTTATGATGACAACCTGGCATTACGACCTTGCCCCCGAAAAAACAACTAAAAGTAAAAGGCAAACAACAATCACAGTCGTCTATTACACTTCCGGAACACTGACAACCCCGACCCTTTGAATCTCCTTCTCATCACTCACGGACGAGTCCTTCTCTCCCGGAACATGCTGCTCCTCGTGATCCTCCCCATGCACACGATACCCCTGAGGCACCGCCGCCGCCCCAATCACACCCCCATCCACATCCCCCACCTCCACCACGCCCTCCTTATCGTAGTTACTGTCCGAGCACCCCCAGAGCACGTACCCACACAAAGGCAGTGAGATGAGCAGGATGATCCAGCTGACGAGATGCTCGGTGAGAAAGGGGGTGGCGACAGCGTCCATGCCGAAAGAGACGGCGGCGCCGGCGGATTGGATGCCTTTGTAGTAACCGGCCATACGAGCGAGGCGGAAGGGGTCGTTGGTGACGCAAGACATGGTGTAGTACGCGAGACCTTGGAAGGAAGCGTCGCCGATGTAGTCTGTTTCAAGTCAGCAATGGCGTCGGGGAAGAGAGGATAGACTCACAGGCCATGAGGAGGATGATAGGTCCGACTGCGGGTCCTTCAGACCAATCCCAGACAGTGTGATCTGTCGCCCTTGAGAATTGCACTTGGAACCCAAGACCTCCAGCCCAAATGATGATGTTGAGCACGGTAACCACACCGAGACCGATGAGAGACCTCTTCTTTCGGGAGAGGACGGGCATCTTGTCGAGTACGATACCGATAAAGATGGCTCCTGCGACTGCGCCGACACCGGTGAGGAGGGATACGAGAGCACGGGTTCGGCCGTTGAAGAGGAAGGTGGTGATAGCTCCTTGGTAGGCATAGACTAGAACGTTGATGAGCGTCTATGTTTCAGGCAATGCGAGGGAAGCTTACAGTAGTTTGATGCGAAGAACATGGGGCTGGAGCATAACAGTCAGCACACATTGATCATTGATAGATGACACTCACAATAGCAAGAGCATCCTGATATCCTTGAACATTCCCAAAAAGTACTTGAACTCTTGTTTCGGAGTGATGGCATCTTCAATCTTGACAACCGTACCATCGCCTCGAACCACGAGATCTGCACAGCTGTCAGCCACGACGACGCGCATAACCTAGCTGACTTACGAGGAGGCAAGATGAGCCAGGAGGTCAAGATAGCAGTGAGCTGAATGATCATAAAGACGACATAGATGACCGTAGATACTTCCGGCATAGTACTATGCGCCTGGATACCCAAAGCAATAGCCGACCCCATGACGTTGCCCATGAAGAAGACTGTCCAGAAGAGAGAGAATGAACGCCCCTTGTCCTTTTCCATAGGGTACGACATCATGATCGCTCCTTGGGCAGACCAGAGGAGGGCGGCGGTGACTCCGAGAATACCACCAGCCAGAATCAAGAACCATCGAGTACCATGCAGTTGGAAAGCCCAGAGGGAGCCGACGTAGAGAGAGTAACCAGTAGTGCCGATGGAGAGGGTGAGTCGGGGACCGAGAACGTTCTGAACCATAATCAGAGTTGCTCCTCATCAGATCGCACGACTCACGCTGATGCTTCCCGAAACGAAACCGGTAATCGCAAAACAGCCGTACAGGACAGCATTGGCAGTGTCTGAGAGAGCAGTGTCCTGGGTACCACCGGCTCCCAATCCACTGATAGCCTGGGAGATGTTCAGCTCATATGTATCACCAACAGTGCGGCAGGACATACACTGAAGAGGCCGACTGAACAGAAGCTGTGATCAAAAGTCAGTACAGGCACGCTGGTAAGGACTTGTGTTACTCACCAGACGAATCCGACGATGAACACCTGCGTCCACGGATCGTTATCTGCAGACTTGGGTCAGTCTCCAGTCAAACAATAGTCACGCTCGGACCTACATCTGTATTTGCCTATCTTCAAGCCAGCAAGCTTCTCGTCCAAGGAGAACATGGTGCAAGATCTTGTGATCGGCGAGGGTCCCTTGGTGAAGGAATAGAGATGCGTATAGCGGGTGAAACGGAGCTGAGACGAGTATACACAAGAGGCGGGGGAGAGGTCGGAGGATAGGAGTGAAAGGGATGTAAACAGTGGATCGGAATAGGAAGAAGAGGATGGGGAGTATGGTTATAAACAGCAGGCGGCGGAGGCTCGTGACGGAAGGACGGGAGATGGAAGAGAGGAAGAGGAGATAGATGTATGGTTCCCTCTGCACCCGACCTCCTCCTTATCGGCTGATACCAGAGCACAAGGTCGCAAGCAACATTCGCCGTTTTGCGCGACACTAGCGCCTCCGCTTTAGCCGATCCCTGAGACGGGAAGAGCGAAAGAGGAGATAAGCTGGCACGGCGTGAGAGAGGAACTGAGGAAGCGATGAGCGCGAGTACACATTCGACCCAGCACACAGAATCAAAGGATGGCTGTGGCACACATGTTTAGGCACGAGAGATAGGTGTAAGCGACGAAATGGAATGCATCCCAGAGCAGTGGGAGATTGAGAGGTGGAGGCAATGAAGCCGGTAATCGCCCTGAACTGAAAGCCGCACGATCCAAGATGCCCAATAGGGCGGCTTGCGACGCTTTCCCCTGCTCCTCGTATCATCCACTGGGCGGCAATCTGCAGTTGCAATGTCCTTATCTGCACTGTCCTTGGCTCGCCCACATCGCTGATGACGGCAAAGAAGCGCCGGGAGGGGACATAGAGCCCCGGACGGAGAAGCCCGAAAGCCGAGGTCCCATGATGCAGATGATAAGCACGGCGGAGGTCAGAAAGTGCGTTGCCTGCTCAGTATTGCGAGCCATATGATTGGTCCCGCGCATTGCCACTAGACACTTACTTTAGAAGTGCTCCCTCTGGCCTCTGGGCTTTGATAAAGCACATTGACTCGACTATCATCAGCACGCTAGACTCTTGAAGCTGAAAAGACATGGCCCCAATCGCTATACGTTCGCCTGTGTCCTCGTCCCCTGCCGTCGAGCCAGAGGCAAAGAAACAAAAGCTTGCCAACAGTCAGATCCCCGGTTCTGACCTCGCCGCACCCAAGAGCGACATTGAAGACATCCTGATCTCTAAGACTACTCCCGCAGAGGCAGGAGCCAAGCGGCCCGTGACCATGGTCGTCATCGGTGCCGGTGCTCGAGGACAGGTACGCTCTTGATGTCCACTGGGAGAACAAACGCTGACAGCATACCAAGGTATACACTGCTTACGCCTTGGAGCACCCAGGTCTCGCACAAGTCGTAGCCGTAGCCGAACCTCGTGCTCATCGACGTAAAGTTATGTCCCGTCTCCACTCGTGCGTCCCTCCCTCCTTTCGGCTATCCGACCCCTTCCTTTGCTAACGCCTTTTCAGTATTCCGAAAGAGTACCAATTTGACTCTTGGCAGCCCCTTCTCGCTCTAGGTAAGATTGCCGACGCAGTACTCATCACTGTCCTCGACGATCTTCATGCCGAGCTCGTATCTGCCTTTGCGCCCTTGGGGTATCAAATCCTTTGCGAGAAACCTATGGCGACCAAACCGGAGGAATGTCTCAGGATTGTCAAGGAGGTGGAGGCGAATCACACTGATGTATTCGGCATTGGACATGTTTTGAGGTACTCGCCTTACAACAAAGCCGTCAAGGAGGTCATCGATTCAGGGGTTTTGGGTGAAATTGTCAACATTCAAGTGAGTCCCCCAGACGGCCATTGGCTCTGAGCTGACTATGCGGTAGCACATGGAGCCTGTCGGGAATGTAAGCTTGACGATTGGGGTATGTATAAAGCTGACGCGACTTAGCAACACTTTGCGCACAGCTATGTCCGTGGCAATTGGAGTAAAGAGGCCCAAACGTCTTTCGCATTGATGACCAAATGCTGCCAGTCAGTCCCCCTCTTGTCCTTTTCTCCTGCCTTTCAAAGCGCCAAGCTGATGGGTACCAGCGACATCGACATCCTCTCCTACTTTCTCTCCGGCCTCCCTCCTAAGAAGGTTCATTCCTTCGGCTCGATCCACCACTTCAAAAAGCCCAAGAAACCCGTCCAAGCCGGCCAGGCCATGAGGTGCACGGATTGTGCTTATGAGGGTGAATGCGTGTGGAGCGCCAAGAAGATCTACCTAGAAGGACTCGAAGGCGGACGACATAAAGTGTGTCTCTTCTCTCCATCCTTGCTTTTTCCAGGCTGACAAGAGTCCTCTGATCAGTGGGCCGACCACATAGTCGATGCCGACGTATTAGACATTGAGAACATCACCGACGCCCTCAAAACAGGCCCCTACGGCGTCTGCGTGTATGAAGCAGGCAACGACGTCGTCGACCACCAAGTCGTCAATATCGAGTATGAAGGCGGCGTCACCGCGAGTATGACCATGTCTGCTTGTAAGCATCCTTTCTCTTCAGTGGAAAACGAGCTGAACAGAAGGATGTAGTTACAGAGTCGATCTGTGACAGGGGCACGCGGATCCAGGGTACGAAAGGCGAGCTGATTGGCGATATGGTCACATTTGTAAAACGCCCTTCTTCTTCTTCCTTTAGGATCCCTCATCATAGTTGAGGACTGACACGTGAACGTATAGGACGTATTCGACTTTTTGACACGTACCAAATCCCACCACGTCCCGCCGATCCTCCCAGGCCATCATGGCGGCGGTGATTCCGGCCTCGCAGCCGCTTTTGTGCAAGCCGTGTCGGAGAAAGATCAGTCTGTACTAGGGGTTACACCGGGAGAGGTGTTGGATTCGCATTTGTTGGTATTTGCTGCCGAAAAAGCGAGGAGGGAAGAGAGAGTTGTCAACTTTGACGCGTTTAAGAAGAGCGTCATGGTGGAGGGCGCAAAGTGAGATGGGAATGAGGTTGAGCGGTTTTACATGTGAAGAAGACAAGAAGGTGTATTTTCTCTGGTTGCGAATGTATGGGCCTGATCCCAGACACGATAAACAAGGATCGAGACCGTGGCATGGTGTGACATATATATCCCAAACGAATAAAAGTACGAAGAAGAGCACTCGACAAGAAGAGGAAAGCAGACGCTCAAGAAATACTCGAGAGTACTCTAAATCGTACGAGTACAAGAGGTGACCAAGCGAAACAAATGGGTATACAGACGTATGTATACAAGATAATCCAAAAGTACACTAGCACTATCAAAGCTGAATGCAAAACTAACCATATCCTTCGGAAATCGTGTCTCACTTTCTTCTCCCTTCTCCCTTCTCGTCTCCTGTTTTTCGTCTTTTCGCTTCCGTCTCCGGTCGTTGGTCTTTGCTCCTCAAGACGAACGCAAAGATCATCCCCACTGCACCTTGGCCAAACCCCTAGCACCCTCCACCGCGGCATCACTCACAACCACAACCTTCCCCACCCTCACCCCCTCCTTCTCCAGCCCTTCCAACAACATCCCCCTATACCCCTCACTCATCATCAGCCCCCCACCTAGGGCCAAACAGGAAGAAGACGGCCGGACGATTGATTGGTCGCCAATGAGCGAGAGGGCGAGTTGTATAAGTGGGAGGGATGATTGGCGGGAGAGTTGGAGGGCGAGGAGGTGGGATTGATGTATTGTCTCTTCCGAGTCTGCTGATTCGGGATCAGGCGAGAGCGAGAGCATAGAGGACGACGATGAAATCGATCCTCGTTCACTTTCACTCCAATCCACATCCCCTTCCCCTTCCCACCCCCTCATCCCCCTGTCTGCTGCTAAAGCCGCCGCCTTTCTCGTCCGATCTTTGTCTTGCCGGTCTTTCACGACTTGTTCATCGTGGGGGAACGCATAGCGAAAGACTATCCTCGCTGCGCCAGCTATGAGGGCATTCCGTTTCCCGACCGCTTCGCCCACGCCCATCCCCAAGCTACCCACCTCTCCTCCCAGAGAGACGAGGCCTATAAGCTCCAGAGGGTCTGTCACTCCGAAATAGTCTAATAGGTCTTGGTGCAGAGGGAGAAGAGGCGGAGGCGGGGAAGAGTAGATGGAGGAGGACGAGAGGCGGTCGGAGAGGGAGAGCAGTAGACGGATGGATAGACGGCCGAGCCAGTAGGCGCTGCCTTCGTCACACAACCTAGCCCAACTGTCAGTATCTGGAACGGAATGAAGAGGAGAGGGACGTACAGATATCCCCAGCCTTTCGCGACAGCGACATCGTCCAAAGGCAGAGTCTGCTTCTGCCCGGCGGTGGGCGAGCTGAGCCGGATGGTACGCCCCACAGACCCTGTACCAGCTACCAGCGTGAGAACGTGACTGATCCCCGGGAAATTCAGGGCGGGCGCTGCCAACAAGTTGACATCTACTCTCCTCATCAGCATCATGCACGAAAGCAGGAAAAGGGACTGACCATTGCTGATTTTGACTCTCCCTGCGTCCATGGCAAGGGATCCTGCAATGTACCGCCCAAACGTATCTTCATCGTTCTTGGAGCTGATTCCCGCAAGCCCTAACCAGGCCGAACGGAACAAGGGCACGTTCAAGGGTGGGAGTAGGCGAGGGGTTGATGCGCCGTTGCCATTTGGACGAAAAGATGGGGGAGGGAGTGGCGGAGCGAGAGTATTGTTCATCGCGGCGGCGAGGTTCGGTTCGCCCAAAGCCGAGCTGACTGAGCTCGGGGGTGTCGGCAGACCCTTGCCATTTGCCTGGAGTGAGATGGGGAGAGCTGCGGATGGAGCAGGGGCAGACACGGGTACCACGGGCGCAGGAGCGATGGCCTGAGGGACAGGCGAGACGTAGCCCGAAGAGGGACACGAGATATCTTGCACTGGTGGGATCTCGAGCGATGGCGGGATGTGCGTCGAGGGGAGGAGGGAGAGGGCGCGGTACGCCGCCAGGAGGATATTCTGCGAGGCGGCCTGGTAGCCCACACTTTGTCTAGTGACAGTATCAGCTGGGTCCCTGGTCACAGATGGGAACGTACACGTTACTGGGCCCGGCATACCCTCTTCGCTCGAGGCCGTCCTCGCTCCTGACGACGACGCAGACCTTGCTGCCGCCGCCGTCTGCACAGAGGATGAGCTGGGGGCGGGCGGGGGAGAGGGGCGGGGTGGGGAGGCGGGGGAGCATCTCTGGGCGGGGGGTACGGGTGGCAAGGTCCATGGGCGCAGGTGATTCCCTGTTTTCTACGGGACCCATCGCTCGGAGGGGAGGCGCACGTTGTGGAGGCGGGTGGGGGAGTGGGGGATCGGCTGATGAGCTTCGTCAGCCACCGCCTTATGTACGCCACAAGGAATGGACACACCGAGGCACACAGAAGCACCGGGAAAGAGATCGCACAAAGGACCGCGGTGAGCACCCGGGACACTCAAAGGGGGTACAGTGATCGGGCCGCGGATGATGCCGGGTGTTACGTAGTGTTTGCTGGGAACACGAGGGCGCAGGTGCTGACTTATGTATAGCTCGTGTTGAGGGACACCCACGAGGAGTTGCAGGATATAAGAACAAGAAGGACAGAACAGGGGAGCAATGCACTAGGAGCAGGCTATATCCTCGGCCAAATCGCCGTACCGGAACTCTCCGTGCCTGCAACATCCGCCGATTTCCCCGCCGCCGATTGTCTCGGCCCCTGAGTGCGCAAGTGGAGGTCGCCCACGTATCAGGCTAAAGTTGAACCGGCTGCATTGTATATCAGCGAGGCCCCCTTCTGCTTTGCACCACCGCGCCATGGCTTCCCCGGACGGCATTGTCCGCTTCACAAACGGCTACCTCGCCCTGGCGGACGGCACCGCCCAGCAGAAGGACCTCTACATCTCTTCCCGAACCGGCAAGATCATCTCGGGCCAAGATGCCTTCTACTCCCGCTCTGCTTCTTCGGCCCCTTTCCGCACAGTCGACTTGAAGGGCAACATCCTCAGCCCGGGCCATATCGATATCCAAATCAACGGTGCATGGGGCGTCGACTTTTCCGAGCTCGACATTGATCAAGGCGAGGCTGGCGAGCAGGCGTATGTCGAGGGTCTGCAGAAAGTCGCGAGGCGCTTGGTGAGGTATGGCACCACGTCATTCGTCCCGACGATCATTACGCAGAACAGAGAGCTGTATGCCCGCTTGCTGAGCTTGTTGGCGCCAAGGGAGACGGCAGGCGGCGCGAGTATACTAGGTTACCACGCCGAAGGGCCTTTCCTCCATCCTACGCGCAAAGGAGCACACTCTTCCACCCTCCTTCTTACCGCTGACACTCTTTCTCCGATGAAAACTTTCGAGTCCGTCTACGGCTCCCCTGGCCTCGACCAGCCCGGCGTCAAGATTATCACCCTCGCACCCGACGTCCCCGGCGTTATGGAGTGTATACCCGCTCTAGTCGAGCGGGGCGTGACGGTTTCGGTCGGGCATACCGATGCGACTCTGGAGCAGGCGGAGGAGGCGTTTGAGAAGGGGGCGAGGATGATAACGCATCTGTTCAAGTGAGCTTCTTCCCTTCTTCTCTCCCCCGAAGAAGTACTGATCGAGTCTCAGCGCAATGCCTCCCATCCACCACCGCGACCCAGGCCTCGTCGGGCTTCTCGGCCACCCCACCCTCAGACCATACTACGGCATTATCGTGGACGGATGGCATAGCCATCCCAACACTGTCCGTATTGCGTGGGGCGCTTGTAGGGAAGGGTGCGTTTTGGTTTCCGACGGTACGTCTCCCCCCCTCTCTGTGGGCTGCCGAAGAGGGCTAACGAGATGGTTAGCGCAAAGTATAATGGACCCCGAAGCGCCTGACGGAGTGATCGACTGGAGACCTGGACTGAGGTTTAGGAAAGAGGGCTTGAAAGTGCTTGTGGATGGTACCAACACTCTTGCTGGATCGTACGTCCCCCTCCCTCCCTCCCCCTTGCCCATACTAACCAAAAACCCCAGCGCCGCCCCCCTCGCTCCCCTAATCAAAAACCTCTCCACCTTCGCCTCCATCCCCCTCCCCCTCGCCCTCCTCTCCGCCACCCTCCATCCCGCCACCTGCCTAGGCGGAAGAGTAGAGCGGACGAAGGGGAGGTTGGAAGAAGGGTGGGATGCGGATTTGTGTGTGATGAACTGGGAGGGGGAGGTGGTGGGGACCTGGGTTGGGGGGAAGGAAGTTTGGGGTGAGGGGGGGTGGAGGGATGGGGGGGATGATGATGGGGCGCTGAGAGAGTAGAGGGTAGAGTGCAAGGGCGGTGTGTGTTGTTAACTTGGGCGTCAACAAACATGTTGGTATCATTATCTGGATGTCGTATGATCTTATGCAGCGATGTGATGCAGGAAGATTAGAGGAACGAGTATGAACGTATGACAGAAGAAACTCTCCCAAAGTCCTGCTATATCTATCACTCAACTTGTCAACTGAAGAGGCGGCTGCGCTTCCTAGTCAACAGACCAGCTTGTCATCATTCAGATCTCAATCACTGCTCCTGGGAGGCTGTCTGCATAACTCGGGACGAGAAGAGGGGATACTGACGTGACTTGTAGCGTCCGTGCGGGGCGTACAGGCCGCAGCATCGCATGCTGCAAAACCCCAGGCGGGAAATTCACAACTGTTATGAGTAATCGTCTACCCTCGAGGACAGTCAACTCACCATGATCTCAGGGCTTCGATCAAGGCATGATATGGGTCACATGAGACCGAAAAGGGGGCGGCATTTTTACATGTTGATTGATGAGCGGCGGCGCCCCCCACGGCCATGGCCGCCTGATGGCCGCAAACAAGATCCTCCTGCTCTGTGCGAATTCCCATTTCTAAAGTGCTTCTCATCTTCCCCCGAACCCCACTTCGACTAAAATTCCCTCAGAATATGACTTCTTCCTACCAGACACTTGGACAGCTCGACCCCAGCCCTTCCCGAGTGGCCCGAAACCCTCAAGGCTTTTCTCACCCACGATATACCGGCTTACATCAACGCCCAAGTCGCTACCGAGGTTGCAAAGCAACTTCGGGAAGAGAGACGACACGTGGAGAC